AAGTTACTACACAACCTACGAAACCGACAGATTCTGCTTTTGAATTTTTTACGCCTGCAATTGTAACCAGTGAGGGAACTAGTGAAACAAAAGATATTTCTACAGCAGCTACAGTAACTGATGAAAAAACAGAGAAAGATTTAACTTTCAAAACCCCCTCTGAAGATTTGACTACTACAAGTTCAGAAGTTAGTACCTCATCCGGTTTGTACTCAAGCACAATTTATTCTGTGAAAGCAACAGAGGAAATGAGTATAACTACCCGTGAAGTAGCGGCATCTGAGCATAAAACTGAAGCAAGTTACGCTTCTCAGATACCTGTAGAAGCAACCAAAAAGTATTCTAGTGAGCCACTTACAACTACTATCGGAGCAATGGTTACTCGACCAGAGCCTCAATTACCTAAAGTTTCCTCTACCGAAATTGTAAGTCAAACTACAAAAACTTTGGCTGAAACTACTATCGACCATGACAAAACTGACTTTCCTCAGACCTATACCAAATCTCTTATTGAAGAAACTACTCCTAAATTTTTTTCTCCAATTTCAAAAGCTTATACTTCTCCAAATGACAATATTTCAACTCCGACTCCCTCAAGCGATACCACAAGTACAACAAGCAAACTACCTACTGATGATGCAACTGTGGAATATTCAACTAAACAAATTACGATTACCGAAACCCCTACTGAAGCTGGTACCAGATTTTCGACTGATGCTAGTACTCTTGTTACCCCGACAACAGAGTTGTACTCTTCTTCGATTCCTTCCACGAAAACGACAGAGAGAATTAAAGAAAGTACTACTGAAGTCACAGTGGTTGATTATAAGACTGAGTATCCTATAATTACGGAAACGTCTCCCCTTAGTACAGAACTAAAATACCTTCCAAAAGTTACTATACCACCTACGAAACCGACAGATTCTGCTTTTGAATTTTTTACGCCTGCAATTGTAACCAGTGAGGGAACTAGTGACACAAAAGATATTTCTACAGCAGCTACAGTAACTGATGAAAAAACAGAGAAAGGTTTAACTTTCAAAACCCCCTCTGAAGATTTGACTACTACAAGTTCAGAAGTTAGTACCTCATCCGGTTTGTACTCAAGCACAATTTATTCTGTGAAAGCAACAGAGGAAATTGGTTTAACTACCCGTGAAGTAGCGGCATCAGAGCATAAAACTGAAGCAAGTTACGCTGCACAGATACCTGTAGAAGCAACCAAAAAGTATTCAAGTGAGCCGCTTACAACCACTATCGGAGCAATGGTTACTCGACCAGAGCCTCAATTACCTAAAGTTTCCTGTACCGAAATTGTAAGTCAAACTACCGAAACTTTGGCTGAAACTACTATCGTCCATGACAAAACTGACTTTCCTCAGATTTATACCAAACCTCTTATTGAAGAAACTACTCCTAAATTTTTTTCTCCAATTTCAAAAGTTTATACTTCTCCAACTGATATTATTTCAACTACGACTGCCTTAAGCGATACCACAAGTGCAACAAGCAAGCTACCCACTGATGGTGAAACTGTAGAACATTCAACTAAACAAATTACGGTTACCGAAACCCCTACTGAAGCTGGTACCAGATTTTCGACTGATGCTCGTACTCTTGTTACCGCGACAACAGAGTTGTACTCTTCTTTGATTCCCTCCACAAAAACGACAGAGAGAATTAAAGAAAGTCCTACTGAAGTCACAGTGGTTGATTATAAGACTGAGTATCCTATAATTACGGAAACGTCTCCCCTTAGTACAGAACTAAAATACCTTCCAAAAGTTACTACACAACCTACGAAACCGACAGATTCTGCTTTTGAATTTTTTACGCCTGCAATTGTAACCAGTGAGGGAACTAGTGAAACAAAAGATATTTCTACAGCAGCTACAGTAACTGATGAAAAAACAGAGAAAGATTTAACTTTCAAAACCCCCTCTGAAGATTTGACTACTACAAGTTCAGAAGTTAGTACCTCATCCGGTTTGTCCTCAAGCACAATTTATTCTTTGAAAACAACACAGGGAATTAGTAGAACCCGTCCTGAAATGGCAGCAACTGAGTATAAAACTGAACCAACCTACACTTCTAAGATACCTTTAGAAGAAACCGAAAAGTATTCAAGTGAAGTGGTTACAACTACTGTCGGGCTCACAGTTACTTCACCAAAGCCTGATGTGCCTATATTTTTTTCTACAAAAGTAGTAAGCGAAACGGCAGAATTTCCTCCTGAAGCTTCTACTGTTTTGGCGCAAAATTATACGAAGCCTGTTCTTGAAGCAACTACTGCCAAATTATTTTCCCATATTTCAGAAGTTTCCACTTCCAAAACAGATATCATTTCATCTGCGAGTCTCTCAAACGATACAATAAATGTAACGATCAAAATACCGCCAGACGAGAAACAATCTATAGGAGAAACCAAAAAGTATTCAAGTGAAGTGGTTGCAAGTACTGTCGGGACAACGGTTACTTCTCTGAAACCTAATGTACCTACAATTTTTTCAACAGAAAAATTAGGTAAAACGACGGAAAATGTTCCTTCAATTACTGCTATGTACACGAAAACTGAATTGTTTCAGACTAATACTGACTCTCTTTTGGAAGCAACTACAACTAAAATTCCACCTCCGAGTTCAGAAATGTATACTTTTCAAACAGACTTAACTTCACCTACACCTCCCTCTAATAATGATAATACAATTGTCAATTACAAAACTAAACAAGCTGTGACTACTGAAAAATTTCTTGGTGAAAAAACTAAAGTGAATATCACAACCCCTCTTGTTGTAAGCACCACATCCCAAATTTCACCTCTTAATATAACAATTATCCCACTGACTAATGTATTTACTACTCCTGTGACTGTTCTGACACCTTTATTAGTTGAAACTGATAAAACTGTTACTGAGAAAACGATAATTAGTAATATAACACTGGATTGTCTCATAGATTATGATTGTGAAACTAATGAAGTTTGTGTTAATCGTGAATGTGTTAGTCCGTGTTTTTTCTATAACATGCTTTGTAAAAGTAATTATCCAATATGTCGCACTTTTAATCATACCGCAATATGCTTTTGTGATGAAAATGCAGATTTAAACACACCTTATTGTCATAATGTGGCAGGTAAAAACTCAAATAAAAAATTTTAAAATATTTTCAAAGTTTAAACCTACATTGTATATCAAAACATTAAATACAAAAATGAGTTTTAGGTTTAAACATTCTGAAGAATGATTCATACTGCAAAATATTCAATACATTAAAATAAATTGCCATTTGACAAAATGCAATTATGGATACAATTATAATATAATGTTTTTGTTATGGGTATACGCAATTTCTAGACTAAATTTAAATTATTGGTTTTCGAATTATTTTTTTGAATAAATAAGATGTTTAGAATCATTAAACTTAAAAACATTAAACTTTTTACGAAAAATATTAAATTTGTGATGTATAATGCATATGACATTTTGCATAACATATTGCAAAAAAAAATATTCAATCATTTATGTTTTGCATTACTGCCTGCACATAAAAACAATCAACTATAGAAAAGATTATGCAAGTCACATTTTTAAAAGGAAAAAATATTACAATTCCAAAAAAGAAAAAAAATCGATATGTACAATTTAATTAAGGTTCATGTGTTTACACAATTAGTCAACTGTATGCCATATTATATTATTATGTAAAGGAAGAAAATACATATATTACATAAAAGTACAATGAATCTGTAGAGGTTGATTAAAAATATTTTATATTGTAGAGTTGGAGGTCTTCAATGTTGAAATCTTACCCTTCAAAATAAACTTTTTTATTAATTGTCAATTATTTTTCACTTGTTCTAAATTCTTATCAAAAAATAAATTGTATTGTTACAGAACTTATATTCCAAATTTTTACATTTGTTTTTAATTAGATTGAAAATACAAGTAGTTAAAATCAATTCTTTTATAAACCGTACTTTAACGGTATGTAAAGTCATGAAAATAAAAAAATTTGTGACAATGAATTATTTTGGAACTACCTTAAAATCATTAAAGATGAAAAAAGTGATAAATTGATTCATTTTCTTTTATGTAAATGTAAGTTACTCTTTTAAACTTTTCTTTTTTATGACAGAAAAGTTAACTCTTTTAGATAAAATATTTCTATTGGCATTAAATATATACAATACCTGCAAATGTAAGTAAATAAACAAATATATAACTTTGCAGACCAAAAATAAAGTAAGAGAAATTAAGGTAAAAAAATTATTTAAGGAGTTTTAAAATTATTAATTGTTTTTACTCTATTTGTACTGTATTTCTTCTCTTTTCCGTTCAGTTAATTATAAAACTCTATACATACAATATTATTCTATTAACTTTTAGCTTAAACTAAGAAACAAATTTATATTAAATAAAAATATTGACAGTTTACTTTTGACAAGAAAACTGCGTAGTTTAGAAGGGCAAGTATTTATTTTTACTTGTTATTTTTTTTTGATTTTGTATTGCATCTGAAAACGATTTTGAAGAGATCTCAGATGAATGCAAATTTCGCTATATTTTAACTTTTCATTTTTCTGTATTTTTCTGTAATATGACGTATTCTGAAAAAATTTGTATAAATTCTGTAAATAAAGTATGGTTTGCAATATATTGCGGTGTTGGATTTTTCTGTAAATATTTTTCTGTAAATATTTTTCTGTAAATATTTTTCTGTAAATATTTTTGTATTATAATTTTTTTTTGCTTTTCCTTTATTTTTATGTAACTTTTTTGCTACATTATGTATATTTAGTATTATATTAAGACATTATTACAGAATTGCATGCTTGTTATTTCTTTCTTTGATATATATGTAAAACAAGAGTACCAACATATTAACAATTATATATAAATCTAAAAAGTGTTTTCTTTTTTATGTACACCATAACATTTTTTCTATTTCTTTTAATTTTAGTAATTTTATTTTAAAATCAAATATGTGTTGTAAACTTTCAGAAATTGGTTGCAAAACGAATAACGACTGTCCATCTCAAAAAGCATGCATCAATTCTTTGTGTGTAGATCCATGTTCTTATTCGAATCCTTGCTCCACAGAACACGAGTGTCAAACAGAGCATCATGAAACTGCTTGCGTCAAAGGTATGAAAATGTGGCATGCTCTTACTCATTTCTAATGGTTTAATTACCTAATCATTTAATATGACGTTGATTATCTCATAAGTCTATAAATTCCTTCAAATTGTACATATACTAATATTTTAAATATACAAATACATAATTATGTAAGTAAATAAGTTTCGATAACGGTAACATTAAAAAAATTTTCTTTCTAGTTTGTGAATGTAATAAACCTTCAGATTGCAGAAGTGGATATTGTGATGGATGCAATTGTTTGGATAGGCAGCCAATTGTACCGGGCTGCGAACACTGTCCTTCCGGTCTAGGCTGTGATCCTTCAACTGGAGCTTGTATCAAAGGTATTTATTTTGATGTATAATTAATAAAACAGATTAGATTTTTGTAGATTATTTTTCAAAACAGCTTTATATTTCAAACAATACTTTCCCTAAAAATTTTGTAAATCATGTATATTATATAATATTCAAATTTAGAGTTAGATGCAAAAAGCTTTAATTGATTTAGTATAGGAATCAGTTATACAACATTATCGTTAGCTCTTTTGTAAAAAAAAGCACCAAAGTTTTTTTTTTAAATAGAAATAAAGTTTAATGCATTGGAAGTACATGTCTTAAAAAATGTTAAAGAAAATGTAACTTAAGCTAAATTGTTTGCAAAAGGTTACATCTTTAACTAAACTTTTATAAATTTAATTCTTTTGTTTATTCATTTATTTTATTAAAATTACTAACTTAGTTTCTAATACAAAAAATTGTCTTGTAAAATACTACCCCATAAACTAATACAAGTTAATATAAAAATAACAGTAACAACAATATCACCTGGTTCGGATAATAAAACAATAACAACAACTATCAAATCTACTAAATTAACAACAAAAGCTCCGACAAAAGCTAGTACTAATATCAATATGGTTAGCAAAGACACAAAATCTTCTGATATTACTACGACTGATCATAGCACCACAGACAACTTTACGACGCAAACGTCACCAATAACAACAACAACAATGGAAGCAATTACAAGGACAATGCCGCCAAAAAATAATCGAGCTGGAGATAATAATATAACCGAAACAACGCATTTATCAACAGATAGTACAATGTTTACAATGGAAACTGCTACCACGCCTATTCCAGAAAAATCAACATTAACTAACAAAGACATTGATATTGCAACTACAAAATCGACTAAGGCAACTACTGTATCATACACGACGGAGGCAATAACAACGTCACAGAGCGCAAAAGTAGAAATGAGTACAAGTACTCCATTTTTGTTTAACTATACTGAAGAAACCACGACATCAATAGCTCCAATAACGGAATCAGTCACTGAGGTAGTAAGAATAACCGAAAAAAAAACAGGTACAGCAGCAACATTACCAACAACAGAAGTATTTACAACACAATTTGATTCAGTAACTGAGTTCGCAACAACAAAAATCACATCTACAACAACTAAAGAATCTTTCACTGACATTGGTGAAAATTTAGTTACATCATCATCGACAGTTAAATCGCCAACACCTGATACCAGAAGACCATCCACCCGTGGAGACATGTCATTAGAAACTGATTATTTTAATTTTACAGCATTTACGATATTAAATAAAACTTCGACAACTCTACCAGTAGATTACACTATTACTACAATAACAACAGAGAGTAGTACAACTCCTATTTCCACATCCACACCATCTAGCACTGATAAACAAACTAACCCTATAACTACTACAATATATATACCAGCATCTACTACAGTAGGTGCTGAACAATTTACTCCAATTACTACTGAAATCATAACCTCTAGTCCTCCTAATTTAATTACATCTACAACGTTAATTACATGTAAATATCAAATGGATTGTGGTATTAACGATACTTGTGTAAATAACCGTTGTATAAAAGGTATTTAAAAGAAAAATAATTATTTTAATTTTTTCCTTTCTTGTAAGAAAATCAGAAATATTTTACAAAACTAATTTCGGAAAATAAATATTTAAGTTGTTCGAACAAATATTTCATTTAAAATTTATGTTTAAAACTTAAAGTTTCAATTTTTATTAAGAATAATCTAAATTAATTTTGAAAATATGCGATCTATAAAAACAAAGCACGTCTATCCAAATACAGAATTAACATGAATTTGACTTTTTCGGCAATAAAAATAGATATAAAATATATATTATGCATATTGAATACATTCAATTTAAAATCGATTTTTGATTTAATTTAATAACGTGTATAGTATTTGTAAACCTTAATTGTTTATCGCTGCTTTTGCTTTATAAATCTGATTTTCTTACTTGAGTGTAAAATTAAAAAACGTTTTTAAAAAAATTTTATTAATTTTGTAAATATTGTATATATTGTATATTGTTTTTTTTCTACTATTTGAGTTGTTGCACTTGTTGCACATTTTGCAATTGCAGTAATTTTACTTAGCTATTTATTTTAAAGTTGTCGTATATACATAATATGAAATATTTGACTAAAATCAGTATATGTATTTATTAACATACGATCAAATTTGGGTCAAAAATGGTAGTATAATTTCAATCAATTTTATTAAAAATTAAAAAAGAACTTAAACTTTAAAGAATTTGATCTTTTAAATTTGTTGAGCTGAGCTTTAAATTGTTTTTTCAATAAAATCTTTTTTTTACTAAAAGAAAAAAAAAGCCTTTAAATTATATTAAAAAATGTTCACTTTTAAGTTTAAAAAGCTCAATTTGAGATGGAAAAACTTTATTTTGAAAAGAACGTTTTCACGCGCAGAATACATTTAAAAATAAATTAAAAATAAATTGCGGCTTTTCTATCATTTTGGTAAATTATTTTGTTTTTGGCCATTTTGGGTAAAATTATAAAAGTCACAAAATTTGAAAAACATACCTTAACAATGTTTATTTAAATATAGTTTCAATATTTTATACATGTGATTATATAAAAACGAACCTATCTCAAATAATATACTACTTTTGTTAATAAATATTATCTTCGAATATTTTTTTTTGTATTCCAATAATATACTTATTATTATAAATTGCATTAAATAATTTTTTTTATTTTGATTTATTTTATACGAAATACATTTTTTATTATTAATTTTCCTTGAATAAGTTTTATATTAACGTAATTAATAATACTAATTTAATAACATTTTAACATTGCTATTTAACATTTCCTATAACTAGAACCAGGATCAGCTAAGGTACATGAACCTTGTCAATCTGATAAAGATTGTATTGAAAGTGAGGCATGTTACATGGGTCTTTGCCAAGATCCATGTGAGTTTTCAAAGATGTGTTCTTCAACTGCCATATGTCATACTAAAATGCATAGACCTATTTGTTCATGTCCAAAAGATCATGAAGGAAATCCAACTATTAAATGTTCACCAACTGGAACACGTAAGATATACTATGCAATTACTAATAAAATTAATTTTGGCATTATCGAAAATAGTGTATATGGTAAAGATAAAATTGATTTAACGAAAAGTTAAAAATTGAAAAAAAAAATAATTTGTTAAAATATTAATAAGGAAATTATTGATACTAATCAATTGTATTAATATTTTAATAATATTCTAATACACAGTTTTCTGTACTAAACACTAAACATAGTTTTTATGTATTTATTAAGAAAAGTTGTTTTGTACTGTTTTTAATCTCGTGTTTATGTTACAATAAGAACTCGAATTTTTTTAAATTTAAGTATTATTCATAAAATAATTCTCTGTTTTTAGAGATTAGAAGATATATGCATAATATGAAATTTTAAAAATAGTTGTACTCAAATTTAGCGATAACGCTCATAATAATATACATATGTATACGTAATGTTACATATTAGCGTATGTATACCGTAAAAAAAAATATACTTGATTTTATACTTGATTTTTATTTATTTTCAAATTATATTATTAAAATGCTTATTAAAAAATTATGCCTGAATTTCATATATATTATTTATGTTACACTTAACAAGACCTATTCATTTTTATAAATACATCCAAAATATAAAAACATAATGATATTAAAATTAAATAAAACGTTCAATTCAAATTGTCTTTAACAATTTTGCACGAAAATTGTCCGCGAAAATTGATATATGTATAAAAGTTTTCTAGCATAATTGTTCGATGCCGGTGGTTGACCGTCAGATGTAATTGTGGTCAACAGGCATAGTAAGTGACGTCATTGATTAAATCTATATTCATGAAAAGATTTTCATCAGTATACAAGGATACTTTTATTCTTTATTTACTGTAACATAAATGTTATTTTAATATGTACATAATATAATGAACTTATTGTTGTAGAAAAGTAATGTTTCCACGTTAAAATTTATCATAATGTAATATACACAGAACCAGAACTATTAATTATTAAGGTTATTGAAGAAATATTTAGGTTGATTTATAAAATTTTTAAATTTTGCAAGCATATTTTAGTTTTATTTAATCAAAACTATGCAATTATAGATCATTTGTATTATTTATAAGATTAAAAGCATAAGTTTATACAAAACAAATTGAAAAAAGTATAAAATAAGCAATAAAATATATAAAATATTAGGGGTCACGTTGATTTACACAAAAATTTCACATATGTATTTCATATTTTATATACAATACACTAGTATCACTTTTGTCTTATACACCAAAAAAATTTTTTGCACTTTTAACATTTACAGTTCTTTGCACAATAAATGAGGATTGCCAAATAATTGAAGCTTGCATCAATGGTAAATGTCAACGGCCTTGTGATGTACATAATCCCTGCGCTCACAATGCCGTTTGTGTAAATACTAATCATGAATCAGATTGTAGTTGTGTTGAAGGGTATCAAGGCAACGGGTTCATTGGATGCCAACCGGGTAAGAAAAGTTGTATTTGAAAAGAAAATTTTCTATATCGTTTTTGTGTCATCAAATATTTTAATATTTAAAATAGTTGTGGTACATGAATCGATTTGCCAGTATAATGAAGATTGTCCACCAGATAAACTTTGTGATCGTTTGAATCGTAGATGCATTAGTCCGTGTATGCACGATTCATGTGGTCATAACGCTGAATGTATTCCGAGAAATCATGGCATAGAATGCCATTGCTTAGAAGGATTTCATGGAAATCCCTATATTGAGTGTTCGAATGTACAAGGATGTAGATCCGATTCTGACTGCACATCAGCAGAAGCTTGCATCAATGGAAAATGTTCATCTCCTTGTTTATGCGGTGCTAGTGCATTGTGCGATGTTTTTAATCATAAAGGAATTTGTAAATGCCCACCAGGATATGATGGTAATCCAGAAGTTAGCTGTAATCCACCTACAAATCCTTGTGACCCTAACCCTTGCGGAATCAATGCTTTATGTGAAATCGATGGTGGAAACCCTATTTGTTTTTGTCCAAAAGGTCAAACTGGAAACCCTTTCAAAAATTGCAGTACGTGTTGATTTATTATTTTTGTATTTGCAAATTAAACCATGTTTTTATTTATTTTTCGTTTTACATTTTAGTACCTGAAGGTGATGAATGTTCTATAAATCCATGTGGACCAAATAGTGGTTGCCGTGTAAATGACGGGATTCCTATATGTTTTTGTCTACCGGAATTTGAAGGCCAACCGCCTGAAGTTCAGTGCACATTGCCATCAAAACCTTGTGATCAATCACCATGTGGTCCAAATACACAATGCACTGTTCTTAGTAATGGATTTTCTAAATGTACTTGTCTTCCTGGTTATATCGAAAGCCCTAACACAATTCGAGGTTGTGTTGAGCCGATAAACGCATGTGAACCCAATCCATGTGGTTATAATGCTATTTGTGATGCAACACGTTCTCCAGTGTGTTCGTGTCCTGGAAATCTGATAGGAAATCCGTTTAAAGAATGTGTGGAACCATCTATTTCCAAAACACTGTGCCGACCTGGCCCATGTGGAAGAAATGCTGATTGTTACGTTGCTAATAATCGAGAACAATGTTTTTGTAAACCTGGTTTTACGGGTGATCCATATGTTGATTGTAATGAACCTCCTAGAACTCCATGCGATCCTAATCCTTGTGGACCAAATGCACAATGTATTGTTTCAACATCTGGCCAAAGCATTTGCGTATGTCCTGACGGAATGGGTGGTGATCCTACGAGTATTACAGGCTGCCATGGATTTGAATGTCAAATTGATGATGAATGTCACGAATTTAAATCATGTATGGGTTTCCGCTGCCACGATCCATGTCCTGGAGCTTGCGGCTTAGGTGCTGAATGCAGAGTTGAACATCATCGTCCTGTTTGTTTCTGTTCACAAGGTTTTACAGGAAACCCTGCAATAAGGTGCTATGAGATACCAACATTACCACCATCACCCAAAAATCCATGTATACCATCCCCATGCGGCGATAATACTGCCTGTAATGTTCAACGCAATAGAGCTGTTTGCACATGTTTGCCAGATTTCTCTGGTAACCCAAAAATTGGATGTAAACCTGAATGTGTAGTGAACTCGGACTGCACAGAATCGCAGTCTTGTATAAATCGAAAGTGTGTAGATCCTTGTGTTGGAATTTGTGGCCATGATGCTGAGTGCAGTGTGTTTCAACATACACCTGTATGCAACTGTATTGCAGGATATACTGGCAATCCCTTCTTTTTGTGCACTCCCATTGGAATATTAAATGACACTAAGAGAGATCCATGTACACCATCACCTTGTGGTCCTAATGACGTTTGCTCTATTTTTGGAGATGGAATAGCTCTGTGTAATCCTTGCTTTGGTCCGAACGCCCACCAAAATCCAAGCTGCAGACCAGAGTGTGTATCCAATTCAGATTGTCCATTTGATAAAGCGTGTCTTGGGCAAAGATGCTTAGACCCTTGTCCTGGTTCTTGCGGACATCATGCTGTTTGTAATATTTATGAACATAATCCTATATGCTCTTGCCCACAAGGATATATGGGAAATCCTTACGAATATTGTTTAGTGCCAAGTCAACCAAAAGAACCTGAAACCTGCAATACTATTCAGTGTGGTTCAAACGCTATTTGCAAACAACAAAGAAATGGAGTTTTAGCATGTATATGTCAAAAAGGTTATTTTGGAGATCCTTTGATTGGTTGTCGGCCCGAATGTGTTTTAAATTCAGATTGCCCTTCGAATTTAGCTTGTATTAACACAAAATGTGTAGACCCTTGCCAAGGTGCTTGTGGAGCCAACGCAATGTGTTCTACTGTCAATCACGCTCCTATTTGTTTCTGCCCCTCTGGATTTACAGGCGACGCAGCCATAAGCTGTAATCATATATATTTGCCCCCAGAAAAACCGATTATTATTAATCCTTGTGAACCATCACCTTGCGGTGCAAATAGCCGTTGCCTTAACACACAAGAAGGTAACGCTGTCTGTTCTTGTTTACCAGGATTTAAGGGGTCTCCACCTGCTTGTCAACCGGAGTGCATAGTTAACTCTGAATGCCAACAAAATCGAGCTTGCATAAATCAAAAATGTGTAGATCCATGCCCAGGAACATGTGGTATTGGTGCATATTGTGAAGTGTTACTACATAATCCAGTTTGCAATTGTGAATCAGGTTATGAAGGAGATCCGTTTGTATCTTGCTCTAGGATACCTGCCATTGAAGAGCCCAGAGTTCCAGAAAACCCATGTTCTCCATCACCATGTGGGCCAAATTCAATTTGCCAAGTTAAACAGAAGCGTCCAGTATGCTCATGTGTCGAAAATTACATTGGTAGTCCGCCTTATTGTAGACCAGAATGCACATTAAATAGTGAGTGTCCACAGAACAAAGCATGTATTCGAGAAAAGTGTAAAGATCCTTGTGAAAATACTTGTGGGACGAATGCAAGGTGTACTGTAGTATCGCATGCAGCACATTGTAGTTGTGAAAATGATTACGAAGGTGACGCTTTTGTTGGTTGTAGTAGAAAGGTTGTTAGTGAAGAGCGTAAAGATCCATGTTACCCGAACCCATGCGGAGAAAATGCTGTGTGCACCGAAAGAAAGGGCGCTCACAGATGCACATGTATTGAACCATATATTGGTGACCCATACACCACAGGATGTCGGCCAGAATGTGTACTTAATTCGGAATGTCCTTCAAGTTTGGCATGTATCAAACAGCATTGCAGAGATCCATGTGTTGGAACTTGTGGACCCAACGCCGAATGCTATGTCGTTAATCACATTCCAAGTTGTACATGCGAAAGAGGTTTCGAAGGGGATCCATTCATTGGATGTAAACGTTTTAAAGAACCCGCACAATCAAATCCATGTGCTCCATCACCCTGCGGACCTAATAGCGTTTGCCGGGTGACTGATGGTCGTCCAACCTGTTCATGTCAAAATGGATTTTTTGGTGCACCTCCAAACTGCAGACCAGAATGTATAATAAATTCGGAATGCTCACAACATTTGACGTGTATTAACCAAAAATGTGTTGATCCATGTATTGGAATATGTGGATATAATGCTAAATGTCAAGTTATAAATCACAATCCTATTTGTTCCTGCCCACCTGATCATGTAGGGGATCCATTTGAACAATGTGTTATTAGACGTTAGTATCTATTTATTAATTTGATGAAAGTTAATTAATGTTAAATATTTAAATATTCAGCAATGGAGCCGCCAGCAAATCCATGTATTCCAAGCCCATGTGGTTCAAATGCGGATTGCCGAGAAATGGATGGAAGAGCAGTATGTTCTTGTATACCGGGTATGTATGGTGCTCCACCTAACTGCAGACCAGAATGTTTAATACACGAAGATTGTCCATCTAATCGAGCCTGCATACGTCAGCGTTGTGAAGATCCATGTATTGGAGCTTGTGGATTTAATGCTCTTTGTAATGCTCAAAATCACAAACCAGTTTGTTCATGTATTGAAAATCATGAAGGTGATCCATACGCAGGTTGCAATATGCGTTCAGGTAGGTCAATAATCATTACATATTTGCTTTTTTTTCAAAAACAATTATCGTGGCAATTATTTATTACATTATATTGTACCAAATTATAATTTTGTATGGAACATTTTATTAAATTCATAAACGGAAATCCACATGTTTATTTTAAGCATATCATCACATTTTCATCTTATTTATATATATACATACATATATGCATGTTTTTATTTTGTATTATATATTATACGTTTTTATATTTCATTCTTTTCTTTATATTTCTTTTATTTCATTTTTATTTTTCTTCTTCAATTTAAATAAAATTTTACTATTCAGTGGTGCCAGAATATGTTGATCCATGCCATCCTTCACCTTGTGGATCCAATGCTATATGTAAAGAAAGAAATGGTGCTGGTTCTTGTATTTGCATGCAAAATTATTATGGTGATCCTTATATAAATTGTAGACCTGAATGTATACAAAATTCTGATTGTTCTGTACATAAGTCTTGCCAAAATATGAAATGCGTTGACCCATGCATTAATTTATGCGGAATTAATTCTGAATGTATAGTAAATAATCATCAACCAATATGTAAATGCGCACCTGGGTATACAGGCAGCCCATTAAGAATTTGTCACGAAATCCCTCAAATTACAAGTAAGCAAGCGGGACCACGCTGTTAAAGAGTAACATTAATCTTAATTTGAAATTTTGTTTTTATACAGTAGTACCTGATAAGTCTATCGATCCGTGCAAACCATCACCCTGTGGTTTATATAGCAAATGCACGAATTTGTATGATAGACCTGTATGTGCTTGTCTTCCTGACTATGTAGGTGCTCCACCAAACTGTAGACCTGAGTGCATGATTAGTTCTGAATGTCCGTCGAACAGAGCATGTATAAATAAAAAATGTATAGATCCTTGCCCTGGAACTTGTGGAAATAACGCTTTATGTAAAATTGTGAATCATTCACCAATTTGCAGTTGTATAACTGGATATATCGGCGATCCATTTATTAACTGTATGCCGATGAGAAGTAATTTATATAAATATTAATTTGCAAAATTGAGAAATATGTAACTGCCAGTTTTTTTTTTTTTTAATTTATTTATAAATTATGTATTGTATAGTAATTTTTGAAATTATTGCTAAATTATTATGTCCCTCATTTGAAACTGTCTTTTGAATTTCAAATATTATTTCAAAAAGCAAATTTAATTTCTTATATTATTTCTCAATTTTTTAATATTAACTTTATGGGTCAATTATGATAAAATCATTTATGTTAGGACCGATTGAAGAAGAGCAGCCTTTAGAACCATTGAATCCATGCATACCGACTCCATGCGGAGTTAATTCTAATTGTCGTGTACAAAATTCAAGAGCAGTTTGTTCTTGTATTCCTAATTATATAGGACGGCCCCCTAATTGCCGCCCAGAATGTACTATAAATTCAGAATGCCAAAGCAACATGGCTTGCATAAATTCAAGGTGTGTAAATCCCTGTATTGGATCTTGTGGAAATTACGCAGAGTGTAGTGTTATATCACATACACCGCAATGTATGTGCCATCCTGGTTATACTGGCGACCCATTCACGGGATGTTATCGTGATGTTCCTTGTAAGATAAAAAACAAAATCTTTAAAAATTGAGTGCAACCTTTATAAATTTTAAATCTATAGCAATCGAAGAACCTTCTAATCCATGTCAAACTAACCCATGTGGTTTAAATGCCATTTGTGAAGAAAGAAATGATGCAGCTTCTTGTAAATGTATATCTGAATATTTTGGAGATCCATATATTGAATGTCGACCGGAATGTATTATAAATTCTGATTGCTCCAAACATCGCTCGTGTGTAAATAATAAATGTATTGATCCTTGTCCTGGAATTTGTGGTGTAAATTCTCAGTGCTTTGTAATAAATCATACTCCTAATTGTGAATGCTTGCCGGGCTATATTGGAAATCCATCAACAGCCTGTCATCTTTCCATTTCAAGTAAGACTTCAATTTCATTATTTTGATTTAGATAATCAAAATTTATTTTTAATTAAGCAAAAATTGGTGAATTTTAAATAAAAAGTGAAAAAAAAAACTTAAACTAGATTATGTCGGCTATTCGAAGAACTTTAAACTTTGGTAGTTCGTAACTATAGATTTAATATTACGTTGATCACATTTATTTAAAGTACTCCAATTTTTTTCTAACTTGTCGCACAATAGAGACTCAGTTCAAATGCAATATTCAGAAAGGAATTAGACAGGTTATTCTGAAAGAAGCCATTGAATCAAACTTTGAAATAGGAGACTTTTGATAATTCCCACATGGTCTGAAAGTTCTAAATTAAATCTTAAAAGTCGTTTTTCACAAATACCTTAAATTTGCAGAAAATTTATTTTGCAGATTTGTAACATAGCCGAGCAATTCCTCAATATCGAACATCATTTTATTATGCTCTTGTAATTTTTAATATTTTTCTATAAGTAGTTATAAAAAACTTAAAAAATCATTTAGAACGTAAAGCACAACTGCCATTTTCGAACTATTTCAAATACTATTTTTGAAGATTTTGCAGTTTGGATTTATCGAACGTATTTTAAAACTGAATTATCGAAAACCCCCGTAACTGAAAGACAGCCGCTCTTAATCTGTAATATGTAATTCCATATTAATATGTTGGGAATTTGTTCTATTAAAGAAACTAAAGCTTGGGAAATAAGTTCAATAAAGACAAAGTTTTATGATTATTTTATTAAATTATTTTCATAATTTTTATAAAACTATTTTTTTCTTTCAAAAATATTTCAAAAAATTGAGTTATAAGTTTCAAAGTTTTACTTATTTATGTATATACATATGTATGTGTTAATAAAATAAATTTATTTCCTGAAAACGTGAAAATCATTTTGAACTCCATTGTGCGAAAGGTTTTTATTTCATCACATTTATTTCATCATTCTATTACACAACTGTAACTTTTCTTTTGCATTAATTGAATTAAACAGAGCCAGCTGTTGTTGAAAATCCATGCCAACCATCTCCATGTGGTCCATACAGTAATTGCCGGTCTCAAAATGGACATGCTGTTTGTTCTTGTGTTTTAAATTATATAGGAGCACCACCAAATTGTAGACCAGAATGCATGAGTAGTTCGGAATGCAATCAAGATAAGTCTTGTATTAATCAAAAATGTTCTGATCCGTGTCCCGGCACATGTGGTTTCAATGCCCAATGCCGTGTCATTAATCATAATCCAGTTTGCTCATGTTTGTCTGGTTTTGTTGGTGATCCATTTATACGCTGCATTTTCGAAGAAAGTATGTTAATTAGAAATATTAATTTTGCTTTGAAATCATAGCTTTTCATTTTTTACACATTTTTTTCAATTATTTCAAAAACATTTAGAGCCTATGATAAAAGACCCTGAAAATCCTTGCATTCCGACACCTTGTGGGCCAAATTCTGAATGCCGAGAGTTAAATAACAGAGCAGTTTGCTCTTGTATTCAGGGTTATATTGGACGTGCCCCACACTGTCGTCCAGAATGTACTTCCGATTCGGAATGTCCCACAGACAAAGCATGCATCAATATGCTATGTGAAGATCCTTGCCCTGGATCATGTGGCTCGCATACTACTTGCATTGTATATAATCATAAACCTAATTGTAGATGTTATGAACAATACACTGGTGATCCATTTTCAAGCTGTGTTCCACTTAGAAGTAAGATTATGATAATTTTCTGTGTTTTTTTTAATATTTTTTTAGGCTATGAAAACTTTTTTTTGGCTATGAAAATTTTTTGTATTTTTTTTTTTATTTTAACAATTTTTTTTAATTAAAATATTTGGTGTTTGTTAAATTATTAACCATTGCTATTAAGAAATTTCTGGTGATTCAGAAAACGACTTTAAAAACGCGTTGAATAAAAGGATCGTTTTCTGGATATATTTAAAAACTGCAATATAATTAAAAATCAATAATTTAAAGTTCCGCAAGAAGAAACTCCCGAACCATGCAATCCATCACCATGTGGTGCTAATGCAGTTTGTAAAGAACGAAATGGGGCTGGTTCTTGCTCTTGTTTACCAGAGTATTATGGAGATCCATACAACGAATGTCGTCCTGAATGTGTTCTAAATTCTGATTGTGCAAAAAATCGTGCATGCATTAATAATAAATGCAAAGATCCATGTCCTGGTGTATGTGGTGCAAATGCTGAGTGTTCAGTTATTAACCACGCACCTACATGCTCGTGCAGTTCTGGATACACTGGAAACCCATCGCAATTCTGTAAAGAAATTCCAAAAAGTATGTTATAAAGAATAATATTCAAAGCAGATGATTTAAATTTTTAAATATATTTTAAAAAGCAGTCGCTGAACCTAGTCATCCTTGTCGCCCATCTCCTTGTGGACCTTATAGTAATTGCAGAGAACATAATGGGGGAGCAGTATGCTCTTGTTTGATAAATTATATTGGTTCACCTCCAGCTTGTAAACCAGAATGTTCTGTGAGCTCAGAATGTTCTCTAGATCGAGCTTGTGTAAATTTAAAATGCGTTGACCCATGTCCAGGAACTTGTGGTAAACAAGCTTTGTGTAAAGTAACGAATCACAATCCAATTTGTTCATGCCCAGCAGAATTTAGCGGCGATCCATTCATTGAATGCATATATAATGAGCGTAAGATATCGAGTTGTATATACAGTTTAATTTTCGTTTATTCAAGTTAATTTTTCTTTTACCAATTGCTTTTACCAAAAGCGTAATCTTCTTTCGCAGCTTTAATTCTGCGACTTGAATAAACAATTTTCTTGAAGAAGTAATTCCGTTAAAATATAATTTGCTTTTATAATTTTATAGCAAAACCAAATTTACCACCAGCCAATCCTTGTACTCCTTCACCGTGTGGGCCAAATTCTATTTGTAGAGATATTAATGGCACACCAGCTTGTTCATGTGTTTCTGATTTTATTGGAAATCCTCCAAATTGTAGACCAGAATGTGTCATAAATGCAGAATGTCCCTCTAATTTAGCTTGCGTAAATCAGAAATGTAAAGATCCTTGTCCAGGGTCTTGTGGTTTTAGCGCACGATGCAGCGTTGCTAATCATGCTCCGATTTGTACGTGTGAAAGTGGATTTACAGGAGATCCTTTTTCGGGATGTGCACCTATACGTAAGCAAAAATATAACGTTGAAATTCGGCGTATGTATGTATTGAGTTTTTTTCAAATATTTAGAACCGGTAGTTGAAGAAATCAATCCTTGCAATCCATCACCATGTGGCGCTAATGCAGTTTGTAAAGAAAGAAATGCAGCTGGATCTTGTACATGCTTACCTGAATATTACGGGGATCCATATAATGAATGTCGGCCGGAATGCGTTTTAAATTCAGATTGTTCAAAAAATAAAGCATGTGTTAGCAACAAATGTAAAGATCCTTGTCCTGGGGTGTGTGGACCTAATGCAGAATGTCAAGTGACAAATCATTCTCCAAATTGTTATTGCATAACTGGCTACACCGGGAATCCATTAGACGGCTGCCGTGCTATTCCTGAAGAAATAACACCAAGTACAAATATTTAACTAATTCTATTATGTAATCGGTTTTTAACTATTTTATTTTATCTGCTCATTTAGAAGAAGATATAAATCCATGCGTTCCATCTCCGTGTGGCCCATATAGCCAGTGTAGAGAAATTAACAAGCACGCTGTTTGCTCATGTCAAACTAATTACATTGGTTCGCCACCCAATTGTAAACCAGAATGTGTTGTTAGCTCTGAATGCCTACAAAACAAAGCTTGTCAAAATCAAAAATGTGTAGACCCGTGTCCAGGTACATGTGGTCAAAATGCTAGATGTCAAGTAATAAATCACAATGCTGTTTGTTCTTGCCCACCTGGTTTTACAGGTGATCCATTTAATCGTTGCGAGGAAATTATAAGTAAGCATTGGGAATGCATATTAAAGTGTCAGTAAAAGATCCAACGAATATTTCAATTTATTTGAGTATATGTGAAGCTTATTTAATTTTTATTTTTGACACATAATTGAGCGTAAATTCTCATTTGAAGAATACGTTAGACGTGTTTAAGTTTTTTAACCGAAAAAACGTATTATATATGGAATACTGTAGTTTTTTACTATTGAGTATAAATATTTGTAAATATTCCTTGGATCTTCTTGTAAAAACTTTAAAACAAGTATTAGAAGATATTGGTAATGCATGCTTTCTTTTTCACTTACTACATACTTTATTTCTTTACTATTTCTTTTCTATTTTTTTAAATAAATCTATGTAGTTAAACTTCCTGATATCCAAGACGAAGACCCATGCACCCCAACACCATGTGGTCCTAATTCAAAATGTACTATTAATTCTAACGGCTCACCTGCATGTTCTTGTTTACCTAATTACATTGGAAGACCACCTAATTGTCGTCCAGAATGTTCTAGTAGTTCTGAATGTGCTGCAAATTTGGCATGTATAAATCTTAAGTGTAGTGATCCTTGTGTGGGCGCATGCGGTGTCCACACATTGTGTACAGTAAATAATCACAATCCTTTATGTCAGTGTGAACCTGGATATACTGGGGATCCATTCTCCAGTTGTAGTTTTATTGAAAGTATGAATAAATCTAACTATATTATTTAGTTTTAATATTATTTTTTTTTGTTTATTCTTACATTGAAAATTAAAAGTTCAGCCAACTGAACCTCCAAGAAACCCATGCAACCCTTCACCGTGTGGTGCAAACGCAATTTGTCGTGAAAGAAGTGGTATTGGTTCCTGCTCATGTCTTCCCGAATATTTTGGCGACCCGTATAGCGGATGTAGGCCCGAATGTGTACAAAATTCAGACTGCGATCGAAGTAAAGCTTGTGTAAATAATAAATGTCAAGATCCGTGTCCAGGAGTATGTGGTTTTAATGCGGAATGCAGAGTTTCAAACCATGCACCAAACTGTGATTGCATTCCTGGATACACAGGGAATCCACTTACTGCTTGCCAGTTAATTGAAATTGTAACACAATCGCCCATACGAGAACCATGTAGACCTTCACCTTGTGGACCATATAGCGTTTGTCGTGAAAATAACAACGTTGCAGTATGTTCTTGTATGGATGGTTACATTGGAGCTCCACCAAATTGCAAACCTGAATGTATTGTTAGCTCAGAGTGCCCATTGAATAGAGCCTGTGTAAATCAAAAGTGTAAAGATCCTTGTCCAGGCACATGTGGAAATAATGCAAGATGTCAAGTGGTTAATCATAATCCAATATGTACATGTGCTGCTGGTTTGACGGGAGACCCATTTGTTTCATGTGTAGAACCTATTGAAATTGAGAGGGACTCCCAAGATCCATGTGTTCCATCTCCATGTGGTCCAAACTCTAATTGTATTGTGGTGGCAAACCAAGCTGCCTGCTCTTGCAAAGTTAGTTATATTGGAAGGCCTCCAAACTGTAGGCCGGAATGTACAAACAATGAAGAATGCTCCAGCCAATTGGCTTGTCGGAATGAACATTGTATTGATCCTTGCCCCGGTTCATGTGGACAAAATGCTTTGTGTAAAGTTGTTCAACATAATCCGGTGTGCACTTGTACTGAAGGGTATGAAGGGGATCCAGCCAGTATTTGTACACCGATTCCTGTAACTGAAAGACAACCCGCTGTTACGCCTTGTGAACCGTCACCTTGTGGTCCAAACGCTGAATGCAGAGAGCGTAATGGTGCTGGAGCTTGCTACTGTCACGAAGGCTTTGAAGGTAATGCTTATGACGTTGATAAGGGTTGCAGACGTGAATGTGAAACAAATAATGATTGCGCACCCAATTTATCATGCGTTCGATTTAAATGCATTGACCCTTGTTCCAATCTTTGCGGAACGTACGCAATTTGTTCGGTTAATAATCATATTCCAACTTGTGTATGTCCGCCTGGAATGACAGGTGATCCATTCTCGCAATGCAGAGAAATTCGTAAGTAGAATTTGTACTATGTCTAGTTCTTTTTAAATACCAAATTATTTTTTATAGCTCTCGAAAGACCTAAGCAAAATCCGTGTGTTCCATCACCCTGTGGACCGAACTCTATATGCAGGGAAATAAATGAACAAGCTGTATGTTCATGTCAATCGGGATATATTGACCAACCACCAAATTGCAGACCGGAATGTGTTGTGAGCTCAGAGTGTGCTACTGATAAAGCTTGTATTAAAAATAAGTGTGTGGATCCGTGCCCGCATACATGTGGAATTGGAGCTTTGTGTTACACGAAAAATCACAGTCCAATTTGTAGTTGCCCAAGGGGAAAAACAGGCGATCCTTTCGTTGAATGTACACAAATTCCAATAACGCATGTTGAAACCACTGAAAGAACACCTTCATGTGTACCTTCGCCATGCGGACCCAATTCTAAATGTCAAATTGTTGGTGGCAGCCCTGCATGCTCTTGTTTACCTGATTTTATAGGCAGTCCTCCACAGTGTCGTCCAGAATGTACCATAAGCTCCGAATGTGGAAGTACAGAAGCTTGTATAAATCAAAAATGCAAAGATCCTTGTCCCGGATCATGCGGTTTTGAGGCAAAATGTCACGTTCTTAACCATGTACCAATTTGCACTTGTTTGGACGGATATACTGGCGACCCTTTTGTTAGGTGTAGTCCTATACCATCAACTACCCCCAAACCAGTTGTATCTGATCCGTGCAATCCTTCACCATGCGGCCCAAATGCAGACTGTTTTGATGGTGAATGTAGATGTCAAAATAATTATCAGGGGAATCCTTATGATGGCTGTCGTCCCGAATGCACTTCAAGCGCTGACTGTTCTCGAGATAAAGCCTGCTTAAAAAACAAATGCATTGATCCCTGTCCTGGAACTTGTGGTGTAAACGCCAAATGTGAAGTTATATCACATATTCCAATATGTTCGTGCCTTCAAGGTTATGAAGGAGATCCATTTAACAGTTGCAAAATAATAAAGGAGAAGCCTCAAATAATTGAACCGTGCAACCCTTCTCCATGTGGTCCGAATAGTCAGTGCAAAAACATTAATAATCATGCTGTTTGTTCTTGTATAATTGGTTTTATTGGTGCTCCACCACAATGTAGACCAGAGTGCGTAGTTAGCAGTGAATGCTCACCTTTACAATCTTGTATAAACAAAAAATGTATAGATCCATGCAGTGGTGCGTGCGGTCTTGACGCTAGATGCGAGGTAATAAATCATAGTCCAATATGTGGATGTCCACCAGGTAAAACGGGGGATCCTTTCAAAAATTGTTTCAATATTCCACCACATACCGAAGACAAACAAGGAGTTGTTCACGAGCCGTGCAATCCCTCGCCGTGTGGCCCAAATTCGGTTTGTCAAGCGAATGGGGATCGACCAACCTGTCAGTGCTTGCCAGAATATTTTGGATCGCCACCAAATTGCAGGCCAGAATGTATTATAAATTCAGATTGCGCATCAACACAAGCTTGTATTAATAACAAATGTAAAGACCCTTGTCCAGGGTCATGTGGAGTAAATGCTGAATGTAGAGTAATTAGTCATACTGTGTCATGTTCATGTGCCGATGGATTTACAGGAAACGCTTTTGTACAGTGTATACCTGCAGAACAAGAAAAAATTGAGCCTTGCGATCCTTCACCATGTGGTCAAAATGCTGAATGTATTGAAAGGAACGGCGCAGCTACATGCAAGTGTGTAGATGAGTATGAAGGAAATCCTTATGAAGCTTGCAGACCTGAATGTGTACTAAGTTCAGATTGTACCACTAATAAAGCCTGTATTCGCAATAAATGCCAAGATCCTTGCCCAGGAATTTGTGGTCAAAATGCTCAGTGTTATGCAGTTAATCATGTACCTAATTGCGCCTGTATTGAAGGGTTTGAAGGAGATCCATTTACTTATTGTAAACCATATACCCCTCCAGTCAAATCAGAAATTTCAGATCCATGTCAGCCGTCTCCTTGCGGTCTTAACAGTAGATGCAGAGTATCCAATGGAGTCTCTGTTTGTTCTTGTTTAGAGAATTACATAGGATCGCCTCCAAATTGTAAACCTGAATGTACAGTTAATTCTGAGTGCCCACAAAATAAAGCATGCCATAAATATAAGTGCGCAAATCCGTGTGCAGGAACTTGTGGGTTAAACGCTAAGTGTGAAGTTATCAACCATAACCCAATATGTAGTTGTGCGTTAGATATGACAGGTGATCCATTTATTAGATGTTCACCTGTTCCAAAAATAGAAATGCAACCAGAATTGATTAACCCATGCGTGCCATCACCTTGCGGATTATATTCAGAATGCAGAAGCATAGGAGATGCACCATTATGTTCATGTTTGTCAAATTACATAGGCTCACCACCTAACTGCCGCCCTGAATGTGTGGTAAACACAGATTGTCCGTCGGATAAGGCTTGTATCGCAGAAAAATGTCGAAATCCATGTGAAGGATCATGCGGAATAAATTCTGAATGTCGTATCCAAAATAGGATTCCTATATGTACATGCAGAACTGGGTTTACTGGTGATCCATTTACTCAATGCATTGAATATAGAGAACCAGAAGTTCAAAAACCTGTTGTAGATCCATGTGACTTACAACCATGTGGTTCGAATACAGAATGTAATGATGGAATTTGTAAGTGTATTCAAGATTACAAAGGAGACCCGTATGTCGGATGTAGACCCGAGTGTACTTTAAGCACCGATTGTTCCCCAAATAAAGCCTGTATCAACAAGCATTGTGTTGATCCTTGTTCCGGAACATGTGGCATAGAAGCAACATGTGATGTTTTAAATCACATACCAATTTGTAGCTGTCCTAAAGGGTATACTGGGGACGCATTCATACAATGTCGACTAGAACCAAAAGTGACACAATCAGACCCATGTAAACCATCTCCTTGTGGTCCAAATAGTATTTGCCATGTTAGTACCTCAGGTGCTGTGTGCGCTTGTCAAGTTGGAATGCTTGGAACACCACCAAATTGTAAACCAGAATGTGTTGTAAGCTCTGAATGCTCATTGCAAACAGCTTGTTTAAATAAAAAATGTGTTGATCCATGCCCTGGTGCATGTGGTCAATATGCCAAATGTCAAGTCATTAATCACAATCCAGTATGCAGCTGCAATCCAGGCTACACGGGTGATCCATTTTCAAGGTGTTATTTGGAACCGGTTGAAAAACCAAAACAACCAGAAAATCCATGCATACCATCACCATGCGGGCCAAATTCAGAATGTAAAGTAGTTGGTGAAAGTCCAGCTTGTTCATGTCTAAATTCATTCATGGGTGTGCCACCAAATTGTCGCCCAGAATGTACAATAAATCCGGAATGTTCATCAAATAAAGCTTGTATTAACCAAAAATGTCAAAATCCTTGTGTTGGTTCCTGTGGACTTAGTGCAAGATGCAGTGTGGCCAACCACATGCCTATTTGTTCTTGCGATGTTGGATTTACTGGAGACCCATTTATTGGATGTTCACCAATTCAAGGTAGGAAATTTTAATATTTATATATTTTGAACGCCGATTAAAATCCTATTTTAAATGCAATTTAACAAAATAAAATTTATAATATTTTAACATATCGCAGTAAGTTAAGAAATCTTAAACTAAAATAATAACTTATGTTGATGAGCTTCTTTAGTGACACTGCATGAAAAAATAATTTTGTCAACAATAAATATTTAAAGTTTAAAATCATAACCAATATAGTTACAATCAATTCGTAAACTAAATTATGAAAAACAAATAATATGTAGGTAGAAATAGGTAATGTAAATCGCTTATTCAATAAAAACATATGTAGTTCTGCAATAAATAATCTGATATCTTTTAAAATAATTGATTTGTCTTCGAAAAATTTATTTTTATATTTTGATAGTATAAAAATTTATTTTTATACACTGGTAATTAACTTAAAATTTTCTAAAAAAAAAATTATTTTGTCACTATTTAACGTTTATTGCGTGAGGTTTTTACATTTTCATGATTTTGTATTGGAAAAATACTATTTATAAAAATATTATACTAGTACTTTTCCAATATTTGTTTAAAAAAGTTTAAAAAGAATATACCTACATATTGAATAACAATTTACATATTTCAATTGTCAGTATTGCAAAGATCAAGTATTTTATACATTTAGATGCATTTTCGGTTAATAACACTTTTAATTAGAATAAATATAACCATATTTGATTAAGATTTGAATTAAACACAGTTGAAGAACTTTTAACTTGACGGACATAAATTTTTAATAACATATTTAACATGTTGCATATTCGTATATTATTTTGTTACAAGAACGAGACGTACAGTTAAAATATTTTTATTGATTATAAAAATTTATCGATTATCAAAAATTTTCAAGTTATACGAGTACTATTAAGCAAATTTTTATGTTGAGCACTAATTATTTTTGTTGACCCTTTTATAAGTTACGGTATTTAATATTATTAATATTGAAATTGCATTTAAAATTTTGCTTATTTTTTATTTTGCTTTTTATTTTTAAATAAATAATATTTGATATATATTTTATTATATAAAACCATAAATATGCAAGAGGAAAGTTCAAAGGGTATAGATAGTTATATCTTTAATAATTTTTGACATATTATTTGGGTCATAACTATGTAGATACCATTTTTTCTTTCCTGAAACAGTAAGAAAAGAAAGAATTTTTAAAAAAGTCGCAAAAGAGTTACATATTAATTTTCGTTGGTCATCACTATTGTTCCTTAATTTTTATTGCTTTTTTCTGTATAAGAAATCGAGTATTTCTTCTATTTCGTAAGGTAAACCTGCACATGCAATGCCACTCAATTGGAAATGTAACTTAAAAGCAAAAATAAAAATATTCTTTCTTTTTGTAAAAAGTTGCATATGTAGTGATATTTGAGCATTATTAAAACAAATTTTACAAAAAGCTTGTTTAAAATGGTATTTAAAGAATTTGTAATAGTTGCGTAAAACAAAAAAAACTAAAAATACAAAATGCTAAGTTATTGGAACCATATCATCGCTTTGTTGTAGTTTTTTAAGTATATAGTACATTTTTTTTAACTAATTGAATTCACTATATGAAATGTAGTCCATCACTTGCGTTGCCTGAATTATAAAATTTTTTGAGATTAAATTTAACATTTTATTAAAAAGTTTAACATTTTAGTTCAATAAACCAGATACTTTTATATTTTAATTGCTTTAAAACACACGCATATTTATAATCAAACTATAAAACCCAAAAAAAAAACTTACTAATATATGTTTGAGCAAATAATATCTTAAAATGCTTTTAGTGAGACAATTATCGTCAATTTAACTTTTATATGAATTTAACATATCAGTTAACAACTCTTATTAAGTATATGGTTTACACTTTAACAACTCGGTTTTTGTTTTATACAGTATAAACAAGGTCCATATTAACCATTTTAGAAAAAGAAAAGTTTATATTCTTAAAAGTTTATATTGTATACACTTGCTTCTTTATCAAATTGTAATACACTTTCCCAAAATAATTTCAGAAATTATTCATGATGTATTAACACCTTGTGATCCAAATCCTTGTGGTTCAAATGCAAATTGCCGTGAATTAAATGGCATTGGATCATGTCAATGTATTCCTGGTTATTTCGGGGATCCTTATCAAGGTTGTCGACCTGAATGTATTATTAATTCTGATTGTCCATCTAATAAGGCTTGTTTACGACAAAAATGTGGTGATCCTTGCCCAGGTACATGTGCGCAAGATGCTGTATGTTTTGTTGCCAATCATGTACCATCTTGCTCATGCCGAAATGGTTATACTGGAGATCCTTACAAATATTGCAAAGTTATACAACAAGAACGTAAGATTAATATTGCATGTCAGAACGTAGTTCTTTCTTCAATTTTATACTCAAATTTTGTACTAAAATTTCTAATCTTATGAGTTTGAAATAGTTTACAACTTTATTCCCTGTTTTTTGAGAAAACTTACCTTTTTCAGCTGTTGCCACTGTCAATGATGTTTGTAATCCTTCTCCTTGTGGCCCTAACAGCCAGTGCCGTCAACTTAATAACCAAGCAGTGTGTTCCTGTTTACCAAATTATAAGGGTAGTCCACCGATTTGTAAACCGGAATGTGTATTAAATTCTGAATGTTCCTCAGAGAAAGCATGTATGAACCAAAAATGTTCAGATCCTTGTCCTGGTACATGTGGACTAAATTCCATTTGTAAAGTTCATAACCATAGTCCATTTTGTTCATGCATAAATGGCTACACCGGTGATGCTTTTCTCAAATGTTCCCCAATACCATGTAAGAGTGATTGTAAAATAAAAACAGTACAGTTCAACTATTCTTAAATTTGAACAAACAAATTTTATTCGATAAAAATTTTTTTATCGAATAAAATTTGATAAAATAAACTAAAAGAAAAGATTTTATTTTAATTTATTTTACACATTTATTTTATCAAAAGCAGATTTATAAGTTATGATTGTTATTTTAAAAGCCGAACTAAACATAATCGTATTTAAAAAAAATCAACGACGATTAAAATTTTATTGTTAATTTAAGTTTATTACTGAAAATAGTTATTTTAAGTTTAAACGTCTTTTTTTGCAACTTAATTTGAAATAAGTTGCAATAAAAGGAACGGATTAAGATTTTTTCTTTGAAATTTCAATTCAAAATGCAATTAAGTCAAACTTCAGCTGCAAATTTATTTATAAAATTTAAAATGGGGTCGGTTTATTTTCTTCTCCGAAAAGAAACTTTTTCGTAATATAAGAAGTTCTGAACTGTATGTTGCTCATACCTCGGATAGTAACAGTGCGAACAAAACTAATGTCTTTACTACTTATAGTGCCAACAATAACGAGTGAAAAAATTCAAACTGATCCATGTATTCCTTCACCTTGCGGCTCTAACGCATTATGCAAACCTATTAACGGAAATCCCTCATGCAGTTGTTTGCCAGATTATTTTGGTATTCCACCGAACTGTAGACCAGAATGTACAATAAATGCAGATTGCGCAAGTGACAAGGTTTGTATTAATCAAAAATGCGTCGATCCTTGTCCAGGTTTGTGTGGAATATTCGCAACTTGCAATGTTATTGACCATACCCCATCATGTACATGCATACCTGATTACACGGGGGATCCTTTTATCAGTTGTCACTTGGAGGTCAAAGAACGTAAGAAAAATACTTCACACTATAAAAATAAAAAATAATGTCCCATTTCAATTAAAAATTAGAAGAGCCTATAAAGCAAGACGATCCATGTTTGCTTTGCGGTCAGAATACACGTTGCATTAATGATGCTTGTACTTGTATACCAGATTATCACGGGGATCCGTATGTGGGATGTAGACCAGAATGTGTTTTAAATATAGATTGTGATAAAAAGAAAGCATGTTTAAAGAGAAAGTGTACAGATCCATGCCCAGGAATATGTGGATTCAATGCTATATGCGATGTTTTAAATCATATACCTATGTGTAGATGCCCTGACGGAATGACTGGAAATGCTTTTATACAATGTAGCCCTATTCAAAGTAATAATCCATATTTTTATAAGTACAAAAATTATGTAGTTTTGTTTCTAGACCTTGTAAATATCAACCCATGTTTGCCGACGCCATGTGGTCCAAGTAGTCACTGCAAAGTTATTAATCAGCAACCAGTCTGCTCTTGTGTTCAGGGGTACTTAGGAAGTCCACCTGCGTGCCGGCCTGAATGCACAAGTAACTCTGAGTGCTCATTCGACAAGTCCTGTCAAAATCAAAAATGCCGTGATCCTTGTCCAGGAACTTGCGGTTTTTCAGCAAAGTGTAATGTCCTTCATCACACGCCGATTTGCAGCTGCCCTTCCGGTTTAACTGGTGATCCTTTCTTGAGATGCGAAGTCATCGTTGAACCGGCAGGCGATATAGATTTTAAAGAGCCATGCATACCTAATCCATGTGGTCCTAACTCACAATGTAAACCAGTTGGAGATTCGCATAGTTGCTCTTGTTTGCCAGAATTTATTGGAGCTCCGCCAAATTGTCGCCCTGAATGTGTATCAAACTCAGAATGCTTAGCCACTTTAGCATGTATAAATCAAAAATGTCAAGATCCGTGTCCTGGTTTATGTGGTCAGAATGCTGAATGTCGAGTAATAAGTCATGTTCCACAATGTGTTTGCTTACCTGGATATAACGGAGATCCCTTTACGCAATGCCTAATAGCAATCCAAGATGTTGCATCGTCTGATCCATGCAACCCAACACCCTGTGGCATTAATGCCAAATGTAAGGCGAAAAACAATGCGGCTACATGTAGCTGTCTACCAGATTATTTGGGCGATCCCTACGAAGGATGCAGACCTGAGTGTATTTTAAATTCAGATTGTCCGTCAAATAGGGCATGTATACAAAACAAATGTAGAGATCCGTGTATTGGCACATGTGGACAAAACTCCGAATGTTTTGTCAGAAATCATTTACCTAATTGCAATTGTTTACAAGGATTTTCAGGTGATCCATATGCTAGTTGTGCTGTTATACAAAAACGTAAGTGTGTAATTAGTCATGGAAAAATCATATTCTAATATTAGTTAAAATAAAAACTGACTCCTTTTAAAATATGCGATTAATAACCGTAAGTTAAATTTTTGTTATTCAGCCTCTTTAGATCATTACAAGAATCCCTGCCAACCATCTCCTTGTGGCCCTAATAGCCAATGTAGGGAAATCGATAAACAAGCAGTATGTTCTTGTTTACTTTCCTACCGAGGAGAACCTCCATTTTGCAGACCGGAATGTACTACGAATTCTGAATGCCCTTTTGATAAATCATGTGTAAATTTTCGATGCATTAATCCATGTTTAAATGCTTGTGGAAAGGGATCTCAATGTCTTGTACGAACTCACAGCCCAATCTGCGCTTGTAACTTCGGTTTCACGGGTGATCCATTTACACAATGCTATCCCATACCACGTAAGAAACTATGATTGTAAGACGTATGACAAAATTCTATGCAGTTTTTTTTTAACAGCCCCGAAGATAACATCACTAGAAGAAAATGTTGATCCTTGTTTTCCTTCACCTTGCGGACCGAATTCTGAGTGTAGATCTGTTGGAGTTTCTCCATCTTGTTCTTGCCTTCCAACTTACTTTGGAGCACCTCCAAATTGTAAACCAGAATGTACGATTAATGCCGAATGTGCTAGTAATAAAGCTTGCATTGATCAAAAGTGTATAGATCCTTGTCCAGGATTGTGTGGATTAAATGCTCTTTGTAATATAATAAACCACACTCCATCATGCACTTGTCTACCTGGATTTGAAGGCGATGCTTTTACTAACTGTCGGCTGGTACCTGAAAACTGTAAAACATGATATTAGTATGCAAAAGAAACAAATAATTATTTAATTTCGCCTTTTAGTGGAACCAGTAAAAGAAGATGATCCCTGTTCTGTTTGTGGTCCCAACACAAATTGTGAAAACGGTGTTTGTGTTTGTTTGCTAAATTTCTACGGAGATCCCATTACTGGCTGTCAACCAGAATGCGTTCTTAACTCAGATTGCCCTCGCGACAAAACTTGTATTAATTTTAAATGTAAAGATCCATGTCCTGGAACTTGTGGTATAAATGCTATATGCGATGTATTTAACCATATTCCCATGTGCAGATGCCCAGAAGGAATGTCCGGAAACTCATTTGTCCAATGTAGTCAAATTATCAGTAATATTTTTAAAATTTTTTACAAAAACCATAATTTTGAATACTTTAATTTAAATTATTATAGAACCCTTAAATTTAAATCCTTGTTCGCCTTCCCCTTGTGGCCCCAATTCTCACTGTAGGGTAATAAATCAGCAAGCTGTATGTTCTTGTCTTCAGGATTATATTGGAAATCCACCATCATGTAGACCTGAATGCACAAGCAACTTCGAATGTCACTTTGATAAATCTTGCCAAAATCAGAAATGCCGTGATCCTTGCCCAGGAACTTGTGGTAGAAGAGCTAAATGTGATGTACGCAATCATATTCCAATTTGTAGTTGCGATATAGGATTTACGGGGGATGCTTTTTCGGGATGCGACCTTATTATAGAATCCGTTGCAGTTGAAATTGAGAACATAGATCCTTGTACTCCTAACCCATGTGGGCCAAATTCGCAATGCAAAGTTGTTGGCGATTCACACACTTGCCTTTGTTTACCAGAATTTACAGGAGCACCTCCCAATTGCCGGCCAGAATGTGTTTCGAATTCTGAATGCCTAAGTAATTTAGCGTGCATTAATCAGAAATGTAAGGACCCTTGTCCAGGATTATGTGGAGAAAATGCAGAATGTCGAGTTATAAGCCATGTACCGCAGTGTGTTTGCAATCCTGGATATAATGGGGATCCGTTCACGTTATGTTTAGCAGCTATTCAGCAATTTGAAATTGTAGATCCTTGCAACCCCTCGCCTTGTGGTGCAAATGCTGAATGTAAATCTAGAAATGATGCTGCCACATGTAACTGTATATCCAATTTCTATGGAGATCCTTATCAAGGATGCAGACCAGAGTGTGTACTTAATTCTGATTGTCAATCTAACAAAGCATGTGTGCAGAACCAGTGTAGGGATCCTTGCCCTGGCTTATGTGGGCCAAATGCCGAATGCTATGTTAAAAATCACTTGCCTAACTGTATTTGTTTGTTTGGATATTCTGGTGATCCATATTTGAACTGCATTCCCATTCAACAACGTAAGTTTTTTTCTAAAACAGTTATTTATACTTCAAGTTGTCACAAATGATTTATATCATTTTTGATTGAGCTTAAATTGTAATTTTAGCTGTTTTAGTGGAAAATGGAAGTCCCTGTAAGTCTTCTCCTTGTGGTCCTAATAGCCAATGTAAGGAACAAAATAAACAAGCCGTTTGCTCTTGTTTACCTTCGTATAAAGGAACTCCACCATTATGTCGACCAGAATGTACCACAAATTCTGAATGCACCTTAAATAAAGCTTGCGTTAATTTTAAATGTGTAGACCCATGTCTGAATACATGTGGAAAGAAAGCGAAATGTCATGTACGTAATCATAGTCCAATCTGTTCTTGCGATTTTGGATTAACAGGCGATCCATTTACAAGATGTTATCAGATACCTAGTAAGAGTTTTTTTACTTATATTGCGTTAGATATTAAAAAAATTGTCTTGGCAGCAGCTGTAATTCCAATTAAAGATGAAATCATAAATCCATGTGTACCTACGCCCTGCGGTCCTAATTCAAAATGCATATCTATAGCGGACGCCCCAGCGTGTTCATGTCTGCCTGATTTTCAGGGATCTCCTCCAAATTGCAAGCCTGAGTGCGTAATAAGTGCTGAATGTGCAAGTAATATGGCGTGTGTTAATCAAAAGTGTGTGAATCCTTGCCCAGGTTTATGTGGATTATTTGCCGTTTGTAATGTTATAAATCATACTCCATCGTGTGTATGCTTAACAGGTTATGAAGGAGATCCATTCACAAGTTGCGAAAAACTTCCTGAAAAACGTAATGAATGCTTGCATATACAAACTTTTTTCTTATTTGTATTAACATTTTTTAGCTTATTTTGCTGAAAAAGATGATCCATGTTTACTTTGTGGCTTTAATACACATTGCGTTAATGGTTATTGCGCTTGTTTACCTGATTTTTACGGGGATCCTCTTGATGGATGCAAATCCGAATGCATTCTTAATTCAGACTGTAATAAAAATAAAGCGTGTATAAAAAAAAAATGTAAGGACCCGTGTCCAGGGATTTGTGGAAAAAACGCAATATGTGAAGTACGCAATCATATCCCAATGTGTAGATGTCCAGATGGAATGACAGGAAATAGTTTTGTCCAATGCAAACCTATTCAAAGTAACTTAAATACATTATAAATCTCATTTATTTTGAAATTAATTTTAGGCCTCTTAATATCGAATCCATGTGCGCCAACCCCATGTGGTCCAAACTCCCACTGTAGAATAATAAATCAACAGGCGGTTTGTTCTTGCGTTGAAAGTTACTTAGGAACTCCTCCCTTTTGTAGACCAGAATGTACCCTAAATTCAGAATGTTCTTTTGACAAGACTTGTCAAAATCAAAAATGCCGAGACCCATGTCCCGGAACTTGTGGGCGAGGTGCAAAATGCAATGTGCGTAATCACAATCCAATTTGCAGTTGTCCTCAAGGATTTACAGGTGATGCGTTCATTAGATGTGATATTATAAAGGATCCGATAAAAGACGAATTAGATAGAAAAAATTCTTGTATTCCCTCTCCATGCGGACCGAATTCACAATGTAGAATATCTGGCGACTCATATACTTGTTCGTGTTTACCAGAGTTTCAAGGAGCACCCCCACACTGTCGCCCAGAGTGTGTATCTAATTCAGAATGCGCAAGTAACTTAGCTTGTGTTAGTCAAAAATGCAAAAACCCGTGCCCTGGGTTGTGTGGACAAAATGCAGAATGCCGAGTTATAAGTCATGTACCGCAATGTGTATGTGATGCAGGTTATAACGGAGATCCATTTACTCAATGCGTACCTGTCATCCAGATGACAGAAATCGTCGATCCTTGTAACCCTACGCCATGTGGCACCAATGCTAAATGCAAATCTAGAAATGGTGCTGCTACATGTAGCTGTCTTCCAGATTACTTTGGAGATCCTTATCAGGGATGCAGACCAGAATGCGTACTGAATTCTGACTGTTCATCAAATAAGGCTTGTGTTCAAAATCATTGCAGAAATCCATGTCCTGGAATTTGTGGTCCTAACGCTGAATGTTTTGCAAAAAATCATTTACCTAATTGTAACTGCTTACATGGTTACACTGGTGATCCCTATTCTTACTGCTCAGTCATACAAAATCGTAAGTTTTCTTTTGTTATTGTCGTTTAAATTATAAGTTTGCATAATTTGAAAAAATTTTTGTGACTTTTATTCTTGATCTCACAGTGTATACTTGTTTTGCTCTTGTGATGAAATATTCCAATAATAATTTTATATTGAAAGAAACTATCTCAATAAGATTTTTTAACTATAGAAATGTTTGTTTTCGTTCTTCGTTTAGGCCAGTTTATATTGTTGCTGTGTTTTATGATAAACAGGTGTGCAGTTATTTTTACAGATCTTAAAATTTGAACAATGGTAATCCTGGCTGCCGATGTTTCTTTAATTCTATACTTTTAATACTTCGATTTTTACTGCTTGCATTTAGGATTTCAGTTATTTGTTTTTTATTGTAAAACTAATCTCACGAAGTTAATTTTTTATTTTGGTTAATGCCATTTCACTTTATTTTCTTGACCTGGTCCGATCAGGTTTGAAACGGAAAGGGATAAATTCTTATTTCAATTTCATGTTTCCGTTTACATTTGCTTGATGTTATTATTATGTTTGATTAGGCTTTCGTATTTAAGAACGTCTTTCATGTAGTTTTCCTAGAAAGCTGCTATAAAATATGTAGTCGATAAAAATTATGAGTTTGTAAAACAGGACACTGCCCTATATCATATATAAAATTTCTTATTTAATCCACTTATATAACCATATTATCAATACTAAATGTCAGATTTACTGTTTTCGCAAAAATGGCTTAAATATGAAATTTTGAGTTACGAATCTAAAATTTTTTCAAAAGAAGTTAATTTAAGTTAATTTCACTATTTTTTTGTAATTAAGATAAGGTAATTAATTTTATGATAATTAGCGTGTAATTTAATTTAATGTCCAGATGTGTCTAATTCTCCTTTTAGAAGTATAAACAAGAAAGCTATAATAATTTTTATTTTTGCCAATTTTTGAAATTATCAACTGGATATGTTACATTTGTGCAATGCTGGAGCTGAGGTATAATTGATTCCAAAAGCGTATGCACAAATAGAGCAAAGGTGCAGACATCTTATTCATATACTTTTGTACAGATACAAAAGTGAATGTAATAAATTCAATAATGTTTTTCATTGTAACAAATTAAGCAAATGAACTTCCTTATGCTTGTTTTTTACTTACCTAAAAATTCCATTAGTTTTTTGACTCGAATATGGTGAATTATCATTTTACACGCGGATACTACCAAATTTACAAAATAACATAAAATATTGCCAACGGTTCTATAAAATTTTATCTAAAAAATCCTTGTTGCTCAGCTATTTTAGATGAAAGGAAAAATTTGTGTCAACCCTCTCCCTGTGGACCTAATAGTCAATGCAAAGAGCAAAATAATCAAGCCGTATGCTCCTGCTTACCATCTTATCAGGGAAATCCTCCATCGTGTAGACCAGAATGTACTACAAGTTCTGAGTGCACTTTAGACAAATCGTGTGTTAATATGAAATGCGTCGAACCATGCCAAAATGCTTGTGGAAAAAGTGCCAAATGCTACGTTCGTAACCATAGTCCAATATGTTCATGTCCAAATGGATTCACAGGGGATCCCTTAGCTAGATGTTATCCAATACCACGTAAGAGATATATTCATCTTATTTTTGGATGGTGAATAAAACTTAAAAATTTTTAGCACCTTTACCTCAATTTGATGAAGAAATTAAGAATCCTTGCGTCCCTACTCCTTGTGGTCCAAACTCCGAATGCAAATCGTTTGGAAATTCACCATCTTGTTCTTGTCTGCCAAATTATCTAGGAGCACCTCCTAATTGTCGACCTGAATGTACAATTAATGCTGAATGTACTGGTGATAAGTCTTGCATAAATCAGAAATGTGTTGATCCATGTCCAGGCCTATGTGGATTGTCTGCGTCATGCAGCGTAATAAATCATACACCGTCTTGCGTTTGTTTACCTGGTTTCGAAGGCGACCCGTTCACTGTCTGTCATTTAGTTTCTCAAAATCGTAAGAACAAACTGCTCCAAATTTAAGTATAGATTAATTACAAATAAATAATGTTTAGAAGGCCCCGTTGAAGAAGATGATCCGTGTCAAGTTTGCGGCGCAAACACAATTTGCCAAAATGGTTTATGTAGCTGTTTACCAGACTTTTTCGGAAATCCGGTAATAGGTTGTAAGCCAGAATGTATCTTGAGTACAGATTGTAGTAAGGAAAAAACATGTATACAGAGAAAGTGTAAGGATCCTTGCCCTGGAACTTGTGGGGTAAATGCTAAATGTGATGTTTGGAATCATGTCCCGATGTGCAGATGTCCAGAAGGAATGTCTGGCAATGCCTTTGTACAATGCTTCACAATTATAAGTAAATTTATTAACCGAATGAAAGTAAATTTGTTATATCTTTTTATCCTAATTTTATTTTTACTTTAACAGACCCTATTACAATAAATCCATGTTCACCTACCCCTTGTGGGCCCAATTCGCATTGTAAAATTATAAATGGGCAAGCAGTTTGTTCGTGCATTGAAAACTTCTTGGGAAGTCCTCCTCTATGTAGGCCTGAATGCACAAGAAACTCAGAATGCGCCTTTAATAAAGCTTGCCAGAATCAAAAATGTCGAGATCCATGTCCCGGAACATGCGGTCGTGGGGCCCAATGCAACGTTCGTAATCATAATCCGATTTGTAACTGTCCTTTAGGATTCACTGGTGATGCTTTTGTTAGATGCGATTTTATAAGAGAACCTACTACGGTTGAACTAGATATCAGAGATCCCTGTATTCCATCCCCATGTGGGCCTAACTCCCAATGTAAAGCCGTAGGTGACTCCCACACTTGCTTATGTTTACCTGAGTTTGTGGGAACACCTCCAAATTGCCGGCCAGAATGCATATCAAATACAGAGTGTGCAAGTAACTTAGCGTGCATAAATCAAAAATGCAAGGATCCTTGCCCAGGTTTGTGTGGACTTAATGCAGAATGCCGAGTAATAAGTCACGTTGCACAATGTGTGTGTAATTTCGGCTACAACGGAGATCCATTTACACAATGCTTACCGGTAATTCAGCCTGTTGAGTTCTTAGATCCATGTAATCCATCACCATGTGGGACCAACGCTGAATGTCAAGCACGAAATAATGCTGCCACTTGCAGTTGTTTAAATGATTTCTTTGGTGATCCTTATGAGGGATGTAGACCTGAATGTATACTGAACTCAGACTGTGCATCTAATAAAGCTTGTGTTCAAAACCACTGTAGAGATCCATGCCCTGGAACTTGTGGCCAAAACTCCGAATGTTATGTTAGAAATCATTTGCCAAATTGTAACTGTTTGCAAAGTTATACGGGTGATCCTTACTCTTATTGTTCGATAATCCAAAAGCGTGAGTTGTGATTTTACTGAAAAATGCTTAAAACGAAAAAAAAAAACAGAAATTTTAATTTATTTTGAAATTTCTTTGCATTTTAGCAGAAGTTATTGAGTACCAGAACCCCTGTCAACCATCTCCTTGCGGCCCTAATAGTCAGTGTAAAGAACAAAATAAGCAAGCGGTTTGCTCTTGCTTGCCCACGTATCAAGGATCTCCACCATCGTGTAGGCCAGAATGTACTACAAATTCCGAATGCACTTTGGATAAGTCTTGTATTAATATGAAATGTGTAGATCCATGTCCAAACATTTGTGGAAACAGCGCAAAATGTCAAGTCCGTAACCATAGTCCAATATGTTCATGTCCTCAAGGATTTACTGGTGATCCATTCACACGATGTTTTATCTTGCCACGTAAGAAATATCTCTTGAATTATATAAAGATATTTAATACTTCTTTAATAGAACATACCATAGCACTAGAAGATGAAACTATAAACCCTTGTGTTCCTTCACCCTGTGGACCAAATTCTGAATGCAAAGCGATTGGATCTATTCCATCATGTAGCTGTTTACCCACATTCCTTGGGGCACCACCAAACTGCAAGCCAGAATGTACAATAAATGCTGAATGTGCAAGCAATAAGGCCTGTATAAATCAAAAGTGTATTGATCCATGCCCTGGTCTTTGTGGAAATTCCGCCTTATGCAATGTCATAAATCATATTCCATCTTGTGTTTGCTTAGCTGGATATGAAGGGGACGCTTTTACAAGTTGTCATTTAATACCGCAGAAACGTAAGAAGTGTTTTATCAATTGTGTTCGTCTCAATAATTTTATAATCACATAGAAGAGCCTATTGAAGATGATCCTTGTTTACAATGCGGTTCAAACACGCAATGTGCAAATGGTATTTGCTTTTGTTTGCCTGATTACTTGGGAGACCCACTTCTTGGATGTAGACCAGAATGTATTTTGAATTCGGATTGCAGTAGAGATAAAGCTTGTTTACAGCGGAAATGTAAGGATCCGTGTCCAGGAACTTGTGGAGTAAATGCAGTATGTGATGTATTCAATCATATTCCTATGTGCAGATGTCCGGAAGGAACTTCGGGCAATGCTTTCATACAGTGCACGCCTGTTAAAAGTAATAGAACTTCCGTCTACGTCTAAATCCTACTAATTTAATTGTTTGTTATTCTAGGCCCTGCAATATCTAACCCATGCTCACCCTCTCCTTGCGGTCCAAGTTCCCATTGCAGGGTGATCAATCTACAAGCTGTTTGTTCTTGTATTGAAGGATATTTGGGAAGTCCGCCATCCTGTAGACCAGAGTGTACAAGTAACTCAGAATGCCATTTCGATAAAGCTTGTCAAAATCAGAAATGTCGCGATCCCTGCCCAGGAACTTGTGGGCGTGGAGCTAGATGTTCTGTTCGTAATCATAATCCTATTTGCAGTTGCCCCATAGGATTGACTGGAGATCCATTTATAAGGTGTGAGGCGATCCGAGAACCTGCGCAAATTGAAAGTGATTTAAACGATCCTTGTGTTCCTTCTCCATGTGGCCCAAATTCTTTATGCAAACCTGTTGGAGACTCTCATAGTTGTTTATGTTTATCGGACTTTATAGGTACACCACCAAATTGTAGACCGGAATGTGTTGCAAATTCAGAATGTTCCAGTAATTTAGCGTGCATTAATCAAAAATGTAAAGATCCTTGTCCAGGTTTGTGTGGGCAAAATGCCGAGTGCCGAGTAATAAGTCACGTTCCACAATGTATCTGTAGTGCCGGCTATAATGGAGATCCATTTACACAATGTCTTATTAATGTTCAGCCTATTGAAAGAATAGACCCATGTAACCCTTCACCATGTGGAGTAAATGCCGATTGCAAAGCCAAAAATAATGCTGCAACCTGCAATTGTTTGCCAAATTTTCTTGGAGATCCCTATCAAGGCTGTAGACCTGAGTGCATTATTAATTCTGATTGCCCATCAAACAAAGCATGTGTGCAGAATTATTGTAGAAATCCTTGTCCAGGAACTTGTGGACATAATGCTGAATGTTATGTACGAAATCATTTACCTAATTGTTATTGTTTGGCGGATCATACCGGTGATCCTTACAAATACTGCACAATTTTACATCGTCGTAAGTTTTTTTATTAGAAATTTCTTTTATTTGTAAGACAATATTTTCCACTAGAAAAAAAAAAACGATTATGTGTTACTTTTAGCTGTTCAAACTGATAACCTTAATCCGTGTGAGCCATCTCCTTGTGGTCCTAATAGCCAATGCAAAGAACTACATAATCAAGCGGTGTGTTCTTGTTTGCCGTCCTACAAAGGAAATCCTCCATCTTGTAGACCAGAGTGCACAACGAATTCGGAATGTTCTTTCGATAAATCATGTATTAATTCAAAGTGTGTTGATCCTTGTCCTAACACGTGTGGGGAAAATGCTCAGTGCCATGTTCGAAATCATAGTCCAGTTTGCTCATGTAATTTAGGATTCACTGGAGATCCATTTACCCGTTGTTATAAAATACCAAGTGAGAAGGTTTTGTGTTTTAGTGTAAATTATTGAGTGACTTTTCTTTTAACAGCCTCTATAATAGCCTCTGAAGATGAAAGTATTGAACCATGTTTCCCATCTCCTTGTGGACCTAATGCTGAATGTCGAGCAATTGGTAATTCACCTTCATGTAGCTGCTTGCCAACCTTCTTAGGAAGTCCCCCTAACTGCAAACCAGAATGTACCATTAATGCAGAGTGCGCGAGCAATTATGCCTGTATCAATCAGAAATGTGTTGATCCTTGTCCTGGTTTATGTGGACTATCTGCCACATGTACTGTTACAAATCACGTTCCTTCGTGTAACTGTTTATCTGGCTATGAAGGCGATCCATTCACAAATTGCCAAATAATACAACAACAACGTAAGAATAGAATATTAGTGTATGTTATTTAATATTAACATGAATTTTATGGTTTAGAAAAACCTACTGAGGATGATCCATGTGAAATTTGTGGACAAAATACATTTTGTCAAAATAATATTTGCGTATGTTTGCCAGATTTTATTGGTGATCCCACTGTTGGTTGTAGACCTGAGTGTGTTCTTAGTTCCGATTGCGACCGAAATCAAGCTTGCATAAAGCGAAAATGTAAAGATCCGTGTCCTGGTACTTGCGGTGTTAACGCTATATGTGATGTATTCAATCACATTCCTATGTGCAGGTGCCCGGAGGGAATGTCTGGCAATGCTTTTATACAATGCAGTCTATCGCTGAGTAAATTTAAAAATTTTATGATGAATTTATATACTATTAAAAATAAAAAATGGTTTTCAGTCCCCATCAACACCAACCCATGTTCACCATCTCCATGTGGTCCTAGCTCTCACTGTAGGGTCTTGAATCAACAAGCAGTTTGTTCATGTGTTGAAGGTTATTTAGGTAGTCCTCCGTCATGTAGACCGGAATGCACAAGCAGTTCAGAATGTTCGTTTAACAAAGCTTGCCAAAATCAAAGATGTCGTGATCCTTGTCCTGGTACATGTGGACGTGGCGCTAAGTGCAATGTGCGTAATCACAATCCAATTTGCAACTGCCCTTCAGGTTTTACCGGTGATGCATTTGTTAGATGTGACATTATAAGAGAACCTCCTAAAGCTGAACTTGAAATAAAAGATCCTTGTATTCCCTCACCTTGTGGCCCTAATTCTCAATGTAAAGCAATAGGAGACTCCCACACTTGCTTATGTTTACCTGAGTTTGTGGGAGCACCTCCCAATTGCCGACCAGAATGCATATCCAATACAGAGTGCGTCAGTAACTTAGCATGCATAAATCAGAAATGCAAAGATCCTTGCCCAGGTTTGTGTGGGCTTAATGCAGAATGTCGCGTAATAAGTCATGTTCCACAATGTGTTTGCCATTCCGGATATAACGGAGATCCATTTACACAATGTTTACCGGCAGTACAACCAATTGAGATTGTAGATCCATGTAATCCATCTCCATGTGGATCCAACGCTGAATGTAAGGCGCGGAATAGTGCTGCCACTTGCAGTTGTTTTAAAGACTTTTTTGGTGATCCTTATCAAGGATGCAGACCTGAATGTATACTGAACTCAGACTGTGCATCAAATAAAGCTTGTGTCCAAAGCCACTGTAGAGACCCTTGTCCTGGAACTTGTGGCCAAAATGCCGAATGTTATGTTAGAAATCATTTACCAAATTGTAACTGTTTGCAAGGTTATACGGGTGATCCTTACTCTTATTGTTCGATAATTCAACAAAGTGAGTTCTTTAAAATGTGTCTTAAAAATGTTAAAACCAACTTAAAGCAATTATCTTACTTTTACTGACTTCGAAATTTACTTATATTTCAGCTATAGAGACTGAGTACGAAAACTCTTGTCAGCCATCTCCTTGTGGCCCCAATAGTCAGTGTAAAGAACAAAATAAGCAAGCGGTTTGCTCTTGCTTGCCCACGTATCAAGGATCTCCACCATCGTGTAGGCCAGAATGTACTACAAATTCCGAATGCGCTTTAGAAAAGTCTTGTATCAATATGAAATGTGTAGATCCATGTCGAAACACTTGTGGAAACAGTGCAAAATGTCACGTCCGTAATCATAGTCCAATTTGTTCATGTCCTCCAGGGCTTACAGGTGATCCTTTTACACGCTGTTTCGTTCTACCACGTAAGAATTATTTTGTAATTATGGTATAGATACCTAATGTTTGCTTAATAGCAGCGGCAGCTGAATTGGAGGATGACGATATAAATCCCTGTGTTCCTTCACCATGTGGACCAAATTCTGAATGTAGAGCTGTTGGAAGTCTTCCATCATGTAGTTGTTTATCTACATTCCTAGGTACACCACCAAACTGCAAACCTGAATGCACCATAAATGCTGAATGTGTAAGCAATAAAGCCTGTCTAAATCAGAGATGTATTGATCCATGTCCGGGTCTTTGTGGAAATTTTGCAATATGCAATGTCATAAACCATATTCCATCTTGTGCTTGCCTACCTGGTTATGAAGGCGATGCTTTCACAAATTGTCAGTTAACACCGCAAAAACGTAAGAAAATCACTGAAAATTTATTTAAGTAAATAATGTATTAATTTATAATATAGAAGAATCTATAGAAGAAGACGATCCATGTTTACAATGTGGTTCAAATACGCAATGTGAAAATGGTGTTTGCGTATGTTTGCCTGAATTCTTGGGAGATCCACTAGTAGGCTGTAAACCACAATGTGTTCTTAATTTTGACTGCGAGAGAGATAAAGCATGTATAAAACGAAAATGCAAAAATCCGTGTCCGGGTACATGTGGCACAAACGCTTTATGTGATGTATTCAATCACGTTCCGATGTGTAGGTGTCCCGAAGGAATGTCTGGAAATGCTTTTATTCAATGCACCCCAATTAAAAGTAACATAACCATAGCATTTAGTATGGAATCTCAATTTATATTCTTTTATTTAAGGTCCGGTTATTTTAAATCCTTGCTTACCTTCCCCCTGCGGCCCAAGCTCACATTGTAGAGTGATAAATCAGCAAGCTGTGTGTTCTTGTATTGATGGTTATTTAGGAAACCCCCCATCATGTAGACCGGAATGCACAAGTAATTCAGAATGTCAATTTGACAAAGCTTGCCAGAATCAAAAATGTCGCGATCCTTGCCCTGGGACATGTGGCCGTGGAGCTAAATGTACTGTTCGTAACCATAATCCTATTTGCAGCTGTCCTGTAGGACTAACTGGCGATCCGTTTGTACGATGTGAAACACTACTAGAACCTCTAAAGGCAGAAATGGACTTCAAGGATCCCTGCATTCCTTCACCATGCGGTCCAAATTCCCTATGCAAAGCTGTTGGAGATTCACATAGTTGCTTGTGTTTACCAGATTTTATAGGATCGCCTCCAAATTGTAGACCACAATGTGTTGCAAATTCAGAATGTTCTGGTAATTTAGCTTGTATAAATCAAAAATGTAAAGATCCTTGTCCAGGTTTGTGTGGGCAAAATGCTGAATGTCGAGTGATAAGTCACGTTCCACAATGTGTCTGTCATTCTGGTTACACGGGAGATCCTTTTTCACAATGCTTTGTAGACATTCAACCACTTGAAATTATAGATCCCTGCAATCCGACACCGTGTGGTACAAATGCTGAATGTAAAGCCAGAAACAATGCTGCGACTTGCACCTGTCTATCCGACTTCTTTGGTGATCCTTATCAGGGGTGTAGACCTGAATGTATACTTAATTCTGATTGTCCATCCAATAAAGCTTGTGTACAAAATCATTGTCGAGATCCTTGTCCAGGAACTTGCGGCCAGAATGCTGAATGTTACGTGCGAAACCACATACCAAATTGTAATTGTTTACCACAACATAGCGGTGATCCCTACAAATATTGCGCGATATTACAACGTCGTAAGTTTTTCAAACAAAAATTCACTTATTTGCAAGAAAAAAAATACCTGACGTGCAATAGAACTCATACTAGGCATTAACCATACATGTTACTTTCAGCTGTCCAAATTGAATATCAAAATCCGTGTCAGCCTTCTCCTTGTGGCCCTAATAGTCAATGTAAAGAACTAAATAATCAAGCAGTGTGCTCTTGTTTGCCGTCCTACAAAGGAAGTCCTCCATCTTGCAGACCAGAATGTACATCAAACTCAGAATGTCCTCTTGATAAATCATGTATTAACTTAAAATGTGTTGATCCTTGTCCTAATACATGTGGGCAGAACTCCCAGTGTCACGTTCGAAGTCATAGTCCAGTTTGTTCATGTAACTCTGGGTTTACTGGGGATCCATTTACTCGATGTTACCGTGTTCCAAGTGAGAAAAATTATTTTCTTTGTGTGTTTTGATAGCAATTAAGTAATCTCACCTTGTAGCACCAGTGATTTCAGTTGAAGATGAAAATATTAATCCTTGTATTCCTTCTCCTTGTGGGCCTAATGCTGAATGTCGAGCGATTGGCACCTCACCTTCCTGTAGCTGCTTACCAACATTTCTTGGAAGTCCTCCTAACTGTAAACCAGAATGCACCATCAATGCAGAGTGCGCTAGCATTTATGCTTGTATTAATCAAAAATGTATTGATCCTTGTCCTGGTTTATGTGGATTATCGGCTACGTGTTCAGTGACAAATCATATTCCCTCATGTAACTGTTTGCCAGGTTATGAAGGAGATCCTTTTTCAAGTTGTCAAGTTGTACAACTACCACGTAAGACGAAAAAAAAATAATTGTGGTATTCTATAAATAAATTTTTTGATTTAGAAAAACCCATTGAGGAAGATGACCTCTGCCAGATTTGTGGACAAAATACGTATTGTGAAAATAATGTGTGTGTATGTTTGCCTGATTTTATTGGTGACCCAACAGTTGGATGTAGACCGGAATGTGTACTTAATTCTGATTGTGAGCGCGATAAAGCATGTATAAAGCGAAAATGTAAGGATCCGTGTCCTGGTACATGCGGAATAAATGCTATATGTGATGTATTTAATCACATTCCTATGTGCAGATGCCCAGAGGGAATGTCTGGCAATGCTTTTGTTCAATGCAATCCTGTACTAAGTAATTATTTTCAAGCCGACCATGAAATTTAAAATTTAATTATAATAACATAAAATAATTTACAGGGCCTATAGATAATAATCCATGTTCACCATCCCCGTGTGGTCCCAGTTCTCACTGTAGAGTCTTGAATCAACAGCCGGTTTGTTCTTGTATTGAAGGTTATCTAGGTAGCCCTCCATCATGTAGACCGGAATGTACAAGCAATTCAGAATGTACCTTTAACAAAGCTTGTCAAAATCAAAAATGTCGTGATCCTTGCCCAGGAACATGTGGGCGTGGTGCTAAGTGTAATGTGCGTAACCACAATCCAATTTGTAACTGCCCTTCAGGTTTCACTGGTGATGCTTTTGTAAGATGTGATATCATAAGAGAACCCAGTAAAGCTGAGCTTGATATAAAGGATCCTTGTATTCCAACCCCTTGCGGACCTAATTCTCAATGCAAGGCTATAGGAGAATCTTACACTTGTGTATGTTTATCTGACTTTATAGGAGCTCCTCCTAATTGTCGACCAGAATGCGTTTCGAATACGGAATGTGCAAACAGTTTAGCTTGTATTAATCAAAAATGTAAAGATCCTTGTCCAGGATTATGTGGAGTTAATGCAGAGTGTAGGGTCATAAGTCATGTACCACAGTGCGTGTGCAGTTCCGGATACAACGGAGATCCATTTACACAATGCTTAGCCGTAGTGCAACCCATTGAGATTTTAGATCCATGTAATCCATCTCCATGCGGAGCCAACGCTGAATGTAAGGCGCGGAATAGTGCTGCCACTTGCAGTTGTCTAAAGGATTTCTTTGGAGATCCTTATCAAGGATGTAGACCTGAATGTATTCTTAATTCCGATTGTGCATCTAATAAAGCTTGTGTCCAAAATCATTGTAAGGATCCATGTCCGGGAACGTGTGGACAAAATGCTGAGTGTTATGTTAGAAATCATTTACCGAATTGCAATTGTCTACAAGGTTTTTCTGGTGATCCATATGTTTTTTGCGCAGTTGTTCAAGAATGTAAGTCTTATATTTTCATGAATGTTTATCGATGGTAGCATAAAATCATTGTTCTTCTATAGCTATATCACAAGAATATAAAAACCCCTGCCAACCGTCTCCATGCGGGGCAAACAGCCAGTGTAGAGAACAAAATAATCAAGCTGTGTGTTCCTGTTTACCGTTATACAAAGGGTCACCTCCCTCTTGTAGACCTGAGTGTACCGTTAGTTCAGAATGTGCTCTAGATAAGTCTTGCATGAACTTAAAATGTGTGGATCCTTGTCCTAATGCTTGTGGTACAAACGCCAATTGCCGCGTACGTAATCACAGCCCAGTTTGTGTATGTCAATCTGATTTTACAGGCGATCCATTTACTCGATGTTATCCAATACCAAGTAAGAAAATCTGTTAGTATACTCACAAAAACCTAAACAAAATTGTGTTTTAGAACCTGTAGTTACTATTGATGATGAAATAATAAATCCATGTATTCCATCTCCATGCGGGCCAAATTCAGAATGCAGAGCTGTTGGAAATGCACCATCTTGTACTTGTTTGACAACTTTCTTAGGTGCTCCTCCAAATTGTAAACCGGAATGTACAATTAATTCTGAATGCACAAGTAACCAAGCTTGTGTAAATCAAAAATGTATAGATCCTTGTCCTGGATTGTGTGGGATATCGGCTACTTGTTCTGTTGTAAATCATATTCCCTCTTGTTTGTGTTTGCCTGGATATGAAGGTGATCCTTTCACAATATGTAACATCCCAGAAAAGCGTAAGATAAAAATTTGAATGGTTTTGCAAAGTTCATATTACAATCGTTTCCCATACAGACGAGCTGATCCAAGAAGATGATCCATGTTCGTTATGCGGTTTGAACACACAATGTCTTAATGGGGTATGCCGCTGTTTGTCAGATTTCTTTGGTGATCCCAATATTGGATGCAAACCTGAATGTATTCTTAGCTCAGATTGTAGTCGAGATAAAGCATGCATTCGAAGAAAATGTAAAGATCCTTGCCCAGGAACATGTGGTATAAATGCTATTTGTGATGTAATTAATCATATCCCAATGTGTAGATGTCCAGAAGGAATGTCCGGAAACGCTTTTGTTCATTGCAAACCTGTTCTAAGTAAACATATTAAATATTATTTTTTTTCCAATGAGCGAAAAAAAAAAAATAATTTTAGGCCCTGTTACCTTGAACCCATGTTTGCCATCACCCTGTGGACCAAGCTCACATTGTAAAATATTAAATCAGCAAGCTGTTTGTTCTTGTATTGAAGGTTATTTGGGAAGTCCACCATCGTGCAGACCGGAATGCTCTAGTAATTCGGAATGCCAATTTAACGAAGCTTGCCAAAATCAGAAATGCCGTGATCCTTGCCCAGGAACTTGTGGCCGAGGAGCTAAATGTGACGTACGTAATCATAGCCCAGTATGCAGTTGTCCTCCAGGTTTTACTGGAGACGCTTTTGTTAAATGTGATGCCATAAAGCAGCCTATTAAAGTTGAACAGGATAATCAAGATCCATGCATTCCTTCTCCATGTGGTCCAAATTCTCAATGTAAAACCATTGGAGATTCACATACTTGCCTATGTTTACCGGAATTTGTAGGAGCTCCTCCACATTGTCGACCAGAATGTATATCTAATTCTGAATGTCTCAGTAATATGGCATGTATCAATCAAAAATGTAAAGATCCATGCCCAGGATTATGCGGGCAGAATGCCGAATGTCGTGTAATAAGTCATGTTCCACAATGTGTTTGTAGCCCAGGTTATAATGGAGATCCATTTACACAATGTCTAACAATTGTGCAACCAATAGAAATTATTGACCCCTGTAATCCATCGCCATGCGGCGTAAATGCTGAATGTAAATCGCGTAACAATGCTGCAACATGTAGTTGCTTACCTGATTTCTTTGGAGATCCCTATGAAGGATGTAGACCTGAATGTATATTAAATTCCGATTGTGCTTCAAATAGAGCATGTATTCAAAATCATTGCAGAGACCCTTGCCCTGGAACTTGTGGACAAAACGCTGAATGTTATGTTAGAAATCATTTAGCTAACTGTAATTGTTTGCAAGGTTATACTGGAGATCCGTATTCGTTTTGTTCTAATATACAAAAGCGTAAGTGTTTTCCTTAGTGACAAAAAATTATTGTTTCTTTTTTATTAATAATTTGATTTATACTAATGCCGAACCATTAGCAATATGTTAGAATTTTTTTTTCATGAGTGCTCTTTGAATTGACTTGTTTTTTATTCATGACACTAAAATGAAAGCAGGCGTATAACAGCAATAGGCTTTTTGAAAAATCTTTGAATTACAGTAATTCTGTAGTATAACATATAGATAAAGATCAAATATATTATCAAGTCATTAACAAAAAATCTGATTTGGTCAGCACATAACCGACCGTAATGTCTATTGTCTAGTTAAGTGAAAGTGTTACAGAATATTATAAATATTTCTGTTAAATACTTCTTTCCAACTTTTAACACATTAGCAAGCTTATAGTTAACATACCTAGAAAAATGACAATTTGGCTCTTAGTAGAGTTTCGTTTTGTGCTACCCGAATTCACTGAAATGCTCGCCAGTTAGTTTCGGTAACAAACAAACTCAAATATCAAATTTCAAGAAATTTCATCGATTTGTTCCGCAGATATGGTGAAAAATGTAAAATCAGTTTTCGAGCTCTGATCTTCCCAAAAAATGTATGTGTTCATTGTTTTAATACGAAGAATACAAATATTAAATCTCAATGAAATCGGTTGGTTATTTCTCTTTATATAAGCAAAAATGTATATTTGGCCCGTAGTAAACGTCCAGTTGCTGACATCTGATTTTTTCCAAAAGTTGGGAGGTTTCGCGGACAAAGTTATCGTCTCCGGAAATTTGTAAAAGTTTTTGGCACTTAATCCTTAAATTAATCTGACCATTGGTGCAGTGGTTATGGCACCGGCCCTTTAAACGAAGGGTCTCGGGTTCAAACCCCGGTCAGGTCACTATAAAGATTATATTCAATATTATATAACTTAATATGCAATACTAATAAATATTATACAAGTAATTTACAAATATTCGTAATATTCGATACTAAAGACTAAGAAAAAATAAACAGTAAAATATTAATAAACTGAAATATTTAATATAAATAAAAACTACGGTAGGCTAGTCACCTACCTAACTAACTCTCTATGACTATAGAAACTAGGGCATGATAGATATCATGCACTAGCCCTATACTCTTCCTAGGAGTGAAGAAGGAAAAAAAAAAAAGCCCTTAAATTCAAGAATTATTTTAACTCGTAAATTTTTTTTTCATTTTAAAGATGGTATATGAATGGAATTAATTTCAATAATGTAGCACGCAGATTGTTTTAAAAGCAGTATTTTGACTCGTTGAAGGAAAAAGTTTTACACTATAAAACATTGGTTTAACCCAACTTTATTTGTGTCTGTGTTCATATTTAACTTTTATTCACTATTCACTTTACTCTATGAGTACTTCTTATTTACTCATTTTTAGGTTTATTATCACCGTGGAAAAACGTTTACAAATATCTCTTAATCTTACGCAAAATAAATTGGAAAAAAATACTCATCAGTATTTTCTTTCCGTCCGTCAGTCCTTCTGTCCTTATATCTGTTAAAAAAACCTCTGCACCTTTTAAGGTAGAAAACTTATATTTTATACGCAATTATATCGTTACTGGAAACTTATTTCACCAGAAGATGTTTAATTATCTCCCTTGTTTAAAAGTTATAACCCCTTAAAATCCTAAAAATGCTATTTATTTACTATTTTTTGTAAGAAAACACAAACCCACTTTAAATTCCGCAAACGCAGAAAGATAGCGACGTGTTCTCTATATCGTAGCACAGCATAGTGGAGCAATTAAACAACAATATGGTAGCTAAAATTAACCATTATCTAAAATCATTTTTTCCACATATTTGATATTGTTTTTCTTCTAGACGGTAAGATGTACATATAAGTTTAAATTTCAACAGCTTTTAGGAACTAAATGTCAATAGGCCAGTCAATATACAGTAGTCGTTGTAAGTGTGTGTTACCAATAGTCAGCCAGTAAGACAATCACAGATAGTGAATAAAAACAAGTTACAGTTGACGAATGTTTTTGTTAAATGTTTTTCGACTATATACTCTATTATAGGATAATTTGTTTCTTATACGAAAGAAATTTGCTATTATGTATAGTATTATGTAACCATAATGATTGAGTTTATTAAAAAATAAAACTGTTAAAAAAAACTTTATTAATAGTAGAAATAAAAGTTTATTAATAGTAGAAATAAAAATGTACCGGAAATATCACTTTAAAAGTTAAAATTTGAAGTGATGAAAATTTTAATTAAATAATTCAGTAATATTATTCCTTTCATTTATGACATTTTTACATCGCACTGTTATTTCGAACAAATACTAACGAGTATTTCACAAATATTTTAACCGTATTATCTGCATTATAAATGCACACATTACTCTCAAATATCAAGATTTATAGTTTTTTAGCACTTTTCCAAAAATTTTTTGAAAAAAAGTGCTTATTAGTTTCACTCTGTCCGTCCGTCCGTCAGTCCGTCAGTCCGTCCGTCCGTCCATCCGTCCGTGGACATTTTTTTGTTTACAAAACTTCTACACCCTTGAAGATAGAAAGCTGAAATTTACTAGAAACTTATTTCCGTAGAACAAAATTTTTACCTATCTCCCCCCCTCTAGAAGTTATACCCCCCAAAACCCTAAAAATGGCCTTTTTTAACTATTTGTTGCAATGAAACTATAAACGTTTTTGAAATTTTGCAAACGCAGAAAGGCAGTGGCTTGCTTCCCCTAGCGCGGTATACTACTGTTAAACATTAGAAAAACAAAATGGCTGTTTAAATTTACTGTTATCTAAAGTCCGTTTTTTTTTCCAAATTTTTGATATTGTTTTTCTTCTAGACTCCAGCCTGGAGAAGGTTGAAATTTTAGGGGCTTTTAGACACTAATAAATGCGCATTTCTTTAGAAGAAAATTTTTTTCCATGTCCACTCCCTCTCAAGTTATCACCTCTTGAAATTTGTAAAATTTAAATTTTTGACACATTATATTTCCGAAACTGTAAGATTTTTAAAATTTATATAAGCGCAAAAAGCTAACGGTGAATTCCATGACTTTAAAAAATGTAATTATTTTTCTTAACTCACACAATTAAACCTTAAAATCGAGCCTTATGTTAACCCCTTTTTATATTAATTTTCGCTTTATTTAAAAGATTGCATAAATAGTTCATCCTAAATATATGCAATCCTAGAAATAGTTTCGTTTATGAATGAAAATAATTTTAATAGTGTGGTAGATATACATTGACTGTATTTAAAAGCAGTATTTTCATTTGTTGAAGGAAAAAGTGCTACAATACAAACCATTGGTTTGACCCAACTTTATTAAATATTTGAAATTAGCTTCAGGATATACATATATACGATGTAATTGGTTACACGTTAAAATAAATGTCATATTAATTACTGTTTCTGTATCCTATACCTCAATTGAGGTTGTTCTCAACTTCTTTCTATATCCTACATCTCAGTTAAGGTTTAAAATATAAAAACAAGTTGATTTAATATTCTCAAAAATAATATTTATCCGCCTTGTACCAAGTTGTTGAATATGAAGAAATGAAAAGTTTTCTGAAATATAACTTGTAAGTAAATTCTGAATATTATTAATTTTATAGCCATAACGGAATATCAAAATCCTTGTAAGCCATCACCTTGTGGTCCCAACAGTCAATGCAAAGAGCAAAATAATCAAGCAGTTTGCTCCTGTTTACCATCTTATCAAGGAACTCCTCCACTATGTCGCCCAGAGTGCACTACTAATTCTGAATGTGCTTTAGACAAATCCTGTATTAACATGAAATGTGTGGACCCATGTCCAAATACTTGCGGGAATAGTGCAAAATGCCATGTTCGTAATCACAGTCCAATATGTTCATGTCCTAGTGGATTCACTGGAGATCCTTTTACTCGATGTTATTCAATTCCACGTAAGAAATTTTCTGTCATTATCTATACGAAAAGAAAGAAAAAATACTTTTTGTTAATAGAACCTGCAACTATAGTTGAAGATGAAATCATAAACCCATGTGTTCCCTCTCCTTGTGGACCGAACTCTGCATGCAAGTCTGTGGGGAACTATCCATCATGTAGTTGTTTACCCCAATTTCTTGGTGCACCGCCAAATTGTAAACCTGAATGTACAATAAACGCTGAATGTCCCAGTGATAAAGCCTGTGTTAACCAAAAATGTATTGATCCTTGTCCTGGCCTTTGTGGAATTTCCGCAGTTTGTAACATCATAAATCACACTCCATCCTGTGTTTGTTTACCTAATTATGAAGGAGACGCTTTTACAAACTGTCGTCCAATAACACAGAAACGTAAGAACTCTTTTGTCAGCTGTTTCCCTATATACAAATTTATAACGATTTCAATAATTCACACAGCCGATTTTATCGAGGATGATCCATGTTTAAAATGTGGTTCAAACACCAAATGTGAAGATGGTGTTTGTGTTTGTTTACCTGACTACTTGGGAGATCCGTTTGTTGGTTGTAAGCCAGAATGTCTTTTGAATTCGGATTGTAATAGAGACAAAGCTTGTTTGCGACGAAAATGCAAAAATCCATGTCCTGGAACGTGTGGAATAAATGCCATATGTGAAGTTTTCAATCATGTTCCGATGTGTAGATGTCCTGAAGGAATGTCTGGAAATGCTTTTATTCAATGTACCCCAATAAAAAGTAATACAAATAATTTACTTCTTTAGACTTGGAATCCTCTTATTCTTGATTATTTCAGGCCCTGCAATATCAAGCCCTTGCTTACCTTCTCCATGTGGCCCAAATTCGCACTGCAGAGTAATAAACCAACAAGCTGTTTGTTCTTGTATTGAAGGTTATTTAGGAAGTCCGCCATCATGCAGACCAGAGTGCACAAGTAATTCGGAGTGTCAATTTGATAAAGCTTGTCAAAATCAGAAATGTCGCGATCCCTGCCCAGGAACTTGTGGGCGTGGAGCTAGATGTAACGTTCGAAACCACAATCCGATTTGTAGTTGTCCTGTAGGACTAACTGGAGATCCTTTCGTAAGATGCGAGGTTAACAGAGTGCCAGTAAGGTCTGAAAGTGATACAAAAGATCCTTGCGTTCCTTCTCCATGTGGTCCAAATTCTTTATGCAAAGCTGTTGGAGATTCACACAGCTGCTTGTGTTTACCAGATTTTATAGGATCGCCTCCAAATTGCAGACCAGAATGTATTTCAAATTCAGAGTGTTCCAGAGATTTAGCATGTATTAATCAAAAATGCAAAGATCCCTGCCCAGGTCTATGTGGACAAAATGCCGAATGTCGAGTAATTACTCATGTTCCACAATGCATTTGTAACCCCGGCTATAAAGGAGATCCATTTACACAATGTGTAGTTGAAGTTCAGTCAAATGAGTTTATAGACCCATGTAATCCATCGCCTTGTGGTGCAAATGCCGAATGTAAGGCCAGAAACAATGCTGCGACATGTAGTTGCCTGTATGATTTCTACGGAGATCCTTATCAAGGATGCCGACCTGAGTGCGTACTTAATTCTGATTGTGCATCTAATAAAGCTTGTGTACAAAATCATTGCAAAGATCCTTGTCCAGGAACATGTGGCCAGAACGCTGACTGTTACGTAAGAAATCACATACCAAACTGTAATTGTTTGCAAGGGTATTCCGGTGATCCATACAAATATTGTTCTGTGTTACAACTCCGTAAGTTATTGTTTTGAAAGAGTTCAGTATTGCTTTAAAAAATTATTGTTACCAAAAGACTTAAGTTCCAAAAAAGAACTATTTTTTGTTGTTTTGAAATAACTTGCTTAATAATAGACTAGTGGTGATAATCAAAAATTTGTATATTACTTTTAGCTATCGAAAATGAATATCAAAATCCTTGTCAACCATCTCCTTGTGGTCCTAACAGCCAATGCAAAGAAGTTAATAACCAAGCTATATGCTCTTGTTTACCATCTTATAAAGGGAATCCACCTTCTTGTAGACCAGAATGCACATCAAATTCAGAATGTCCTCTTGATAAATCATGTATCAATTTAAAATGTGTTGATCCTTGCCCAAATACCTGTGGCAAAAATTCTCAGTGCCATGTTCGTAATCACAGTCCAGTGTGCTCATGCAATTCAGGATTTACCGGGGATCCATTTACTCGATGTTATATAATTCCAAGTGAGCGATATATTTTTTCTTCCCTGTAGTACATATTTGTTACTTGTAAAATTTTTTAAATAGCTCCAGTGATTCCACTTGAAGATGAAAATATTAACCCTTGTATTCCTTCTCCTTGTGGACCTAATGCTGAATGTCGGGCAATTGGTAGCTCACCTTCATGTAGTTGTTTACCAACATACCTTGGAAGTCCCCCTAACTGCAAACCAGAATGTACCATCAATGCAGAATGTGCAAGTAATCATGCTTGTATTAATCAGAGATGCGTTGATCCCTGTCCTGGTTTATGTGGCTTATCGGCTACATGTTCAGTGACAAATCATATCCCGTCCTGCAATTGTTTGGCTGGGTATGAAGGTGATCCGTTTATAAGCTGTCAAGTAATACAACTACAACGTAAGCATATAAAATGATATATTATCTATATATATTATATAAACGAATTTTATGGTTTAGAAAAACCTATTGAGGAGGATGATCCTTGTCAAACTTGTGGACAAAACACACATTGTCAAAATAATATTTGCACATGTTTGCCTGATTTTATTGGTGATCCAAATGTCGGATGCAAACCTGAATGCGTACTTAATTCAGACTGTGAACGAGATAAAGCGTGTGTAAAGCGAAAATGTAAAGATCCGTGCCCTGGTACTTGTGGAATAAATGCTATATGTGATGTATTCAATCATATTCCTATGTGCAGATGTCCAGAGGGAATGTCTGGCAATGCTTTTGTACAATGCAGTCTAACACCTAGTAAATTATAACAATTCTATCATGAATTTATTTACATTTTGTAATACAAAATAATTTTCAGTTCCCATTAACATCAACCCATGTTCTCCATCTCCATGTGGTCCTAGTTCTCACTGTAGAGTCTTGAATCAACAGCCGGTTTGTTCTTGTATTGAAGGTTATTTAGGTAGCCCTCCATCATGTAGACCCGAATGTACAAGCAATTCAGAATGTCCGTTCAACAAAGCTTGTCAAAATCAAAAATGCCGTGATCCTTGCCCAGGAACATGTGGGCGTGGTGCTAAGTGTAATGTGCGTAACCACAATCCAATTTGCAACTGCCCTTCAGGTTTCACTGGTGATGCTTTTGTAAGATGTGATATCATAAGAGAACCCAGTAAAGCGGAACTTGATATAAAGGATCCGTGTATTCCAACCCCTTGCGGACCAAATTCTCAATGCAAGGCTATAGGAGAATCTCACACTTGTGTGTGTTTACCTGATTTTGTAGGAGCTCCTCCAAATTGTCGACCAGAATGCGTTTCAAATACGGAATGTACAAGCAGTTTAGCTTGCATTAATCAAAAATGTAAAGATCCTTGTCCAGGATTATGTGGAGTTAATGCTGAGTGTAGGGTCATAAGTCATGTTCCACAGTGCGTGTGCAGTTCCGGATTCAACGGAGATCCATTTACACAATGCTTACCCATAGTGCAACCCATTGAGATTTTAGATCCATGTAATCCATCTCCATGTGGAGCTAACGCTAAATGTAAGGCGCGGAATAGTGCTGCCACTTGCAGTTGTTTAAAGGATTTCTTTGGAGATCCTTATCAAGGATGTAGACCTGAATGTATTCTAAATTCCGATTGTCCATCTAATAAAGCATGTGTTCAAAATCAGTGTAAGGATCCATGTCCGGGTACTTGTGGACAAAATGCTGAGTGCTATGTTAGAAATCATTTACCAAATTGCAACTGTTTGCAAGGTTTTTCTGGTGATCCTTATGTTTTTTGTTCTATTATTCCCCAATGTAAGTTTGATGTTTTTATAACTGCTTGTTAATAGCAATACTAAATTTGTTTTTGCAACTTTAAAATTTAAACAAATTATTTGTAATAGCTGTGTCAGAAGAATATAAAAACCCCTGCCAACCGTCTCCATGCGGGGCAAACAGCCAGTGTAGAGAACAAAATAATCAAGCTGTGTGTTCCTGTTTACCGTTATATAAAGGTTCGCCTCCCTCTTGTAGACCTGAGTGCACCGTTAGTTCAGAATGTGCTCTAGATAAGTCTTGCATGAACTTAAAATGTGTGGATCCTTGTCCTAATGCTTGTGGTACAAACGCTAATTGCCGCGTACGTAATCACAGCCCAGTTTGTGTATGTCAATCTGATTTTACAGGGGATCCATTTACTCGATGTTATCCAATACCAAGTAAGAAAATCTGTTAGTACATTTACATCACAAAAACCTAAAAAAAATTGTGTTTTAGAACCTGTAGTTACTATTGATGATGAAATAATAAATCCATGTATTCCATCTCCATGCGGGCCAAATTCAGAATGCAGAGCTGTTGGAAATGCACCATCTTGTACTTGTTTGCCAACTTTCTTAGGTGCTCCTCCAAATTGTAAACCGGAATGTTCAATTAATTCTGAATGCACAAGTAACCAAGCTTGTGTAAATCAAAAATGTATAGATCCTTGTCCTGGATTATGTGGGATATCGGCTACTTGTTCTGTTGTAAATCATATTCCCTCTTGTTTGTGTTTGCCTGGATATGAAGGTGATCCTTTCACAATATGTAACATCCCAGAAAAGCGTAAGATAAAAATTTGAATGGTTTTGCAAAGTTCATATTACAATCGTTTCCCATACAGACGAGCTGATCCAAGAAGATGATCCATGTTCGTTATGCGGTTTGAACACACAATGTCTTAATGGGGTATGCCGCTGTTTGCCAGATTTCTTTGGTGATCCCAATATTGGATGCAAACCTGAATGTATTCTTAGCTCCGATTGTAGTCGAGATAAAGCATGCATTCGAAGAAAATGTAAAGATCCTTGTCCAGGAACATGTGGTATTAATGCTATTTGCGATGTTACGAATCATATCCCAATGTGTAGGTGTCCAGAAGGATTGTCCGGAAACGCTTTCGTTCATTGCAAACCTATTTCAAGTACACATATTACATATTACTAAGTTCTTGTTGAACAAAAAAACAAATAATTACAGGTCCCGCAACCTTGAACCCATGTTTGCCATCACCCTGTGGGCCAAGCTCACATTGTAAAATATTAAATCAGCAAGCTGTTTGTTCCTGTATTGAAGGTTATTTGGGAAGTCCACCAACATGCAGACCAGAATGCACTAGCAATTCGGAATGCCAATTTAACAAAGCTTGCCAAAATCAAAAATGCCGCGATCCTTGTCCAGGAACTTGTGGCCGAGGAGCTAAATGTGACGTGCGCAATCACAACCCAATATGCAGTTGTCCTCCAGGTTTTACTGGAGATTCCTTTATAAAATGCGATGCTATAAGACAACCTACTAAAGTTGAACAAGATAGTCAAGATCCGTGCGTTCCTTCTCCATGTGGTCCGAATTCTCAATGTAAGGCTATTGGAGATTCACATACTTGTATATGTTTACCGGAATTCGTAGGAGCTCCTCCACATTGTCGACCAGAATGTATATCTAATTCAGAATGTCTCAGTAATATGGCATGTATCAATCAAAAATGTAAAGATCCGTGCCCAGGATTATGCGGCCAAAATGCCGAATGTCGTGTAATAAGTCATGTTCCGCAATGTGTGTGTAGCCCAGGTTATAATGGAGATCCATTTACACAATGTCTAATAATTGTTCAACCAATAGAAATTATTGACCCATGTAATCCATCGCCATGCGGCGTAAATGCTGAATGTGAATCGCGTAATAATGCTGCAACATGCAGTTGTTCACCAGATTTCTTTGGAGATCCCTATGAAGGATGTAGACCTGAATGTATATTAAATTCCGATTGTGCTTCAAATAGAGCATGTGTTCAAAATCATTGCAGAGACCCTTGCCCTGGAACTTGTGGACAAAACGCTGAATGTTATGTTAGAAATCATTTAGCTAACTGTAATTGTTTGCAAGGTTATACTGGAGATCCGTATTCGTTTTGTTCTAATATACAAAAGCGTAAGTGTTTTTACTAAAGAAAAATATTGTTGGTGTTTATACTTATTATATAATCTTAAAATTTATTTTAAGATTTTATTATTAATATACAACCTTAAAATTGTACTGGCGATAGATGCCTCTGTTGAATTTTATAGAATAAAATGTTGCTAAATTCCGTGGAAAAGTATTACCAAAAACTAGTTTTAACTCTTATGCAGGGTGTCCGGGACTCAATGGTATTCCCGAAGCAGGGTGATAGAATGCATGCAGGCGAACTAAAAACACCTAGTGACATTTTTCTTTTCGGGCTCTAGTTCTCGAGTTATGGGCGCCTTATTTGAATTTGAACATTCAAAAACCGTCTGATTTTCACTGGTAAATGTAATTTTGTATACTCATTTTAAAACTAATAAAATTCTCTTTCTAACGGTGTACCAGAGTTGCAAAGACTTTTTTAGTTTCATTGTCTTCGAAGGAAATTTAAGATCAAATCTAAAAAAAATAACAAATTAATTATAATTCAAGTAATGTTAACACTTCAACCTTCTGTGTATTTTGTTATTATTCGAAAAATGTAATAAATGATCTTCACCTATAGGTAATATGGAAAATTTTAATTTTCCTATTACTTCAAGAGCGTTTTTTTTTATTTTAAAATTAAAGTAATTAAAGCAAAATTAATCAAAATTAATTAAAATCCTATTTATACAACCTTTTATATTTCATATCCTTAATAAAACTCTGAATAATGTAAATTAAAAAGTAAAAGTACTTTATTTTAGTAAAGTTAATTTGTGTTCTAAATCTTCATGCAACAGAAACTACTATTTTTTTGATACTTAAATTGATTTAAACTGAAGTGAAAAGTGGTTGAAGAAATAGGGTTCAATGTAACGTAGTTATAGTAAAAAATATTTCATTTTTTTTTTATTAAGAATACTAAAATACTTTTTAACTCTTCTTTCATATAAAATAGAATAATAAAAAGCATTATTAAGGAAATATGAATATGAAAAAAAAAAGTTTACTTACAAAAAATCGCTTTTGTAAATAATAAGAAATGATAATTACATTTTTGGAATAATATTAAAATACACGGAAGATCAAAGGACGAATATTACTTGGGCTATAAATTATTTGTTGCGAAAAAGCTTGTTTTTGTGGTTTTTTTTAACTTAATCTTAAATTTCCCTCGTAGACACGATATTTTTGAAAGTTTTAGAAATATTTTGTAGACAAATAAAGGTTTTGCAAATGTCTTTCATTTTGGAAAAGAAAAAAGACATGTTAATAATGCATAATACTGCGTAATAAAGCTTAAAAAAAATTCTTTTTGTTCGAAAAGGTTTTGAGCTCAATTTTTCACCTGATAGACATGTTATTTCTAAAATTTTTACCACATTATATATATCAAAATGAAGGTCAGAATATAGGGCTTTTCTTCCTGTAAAAAAACGATAGAATAATAATGTGGAATTATGAATAAAATTTTATTAAAAATTTTAACTTTTCATTTGAATCTCTCTGAAACTAAAAAAAGTCTTTGCAACCACGGGTATACCGCTAGAAAGAGAATTTTATTAGCTTTAAAATGAGCATACGTAGTTGAATTTACTTGTTATATTTCTAGAGTTATAAATAAAAATGTGAAAATTAGATGGTTTTCGCATGTTCCAAGTTTGAGACCCCATAACTGGAGAACAAGGGCCAAAAAAGAAAACTGTCACTAGGTGTTTTTTCTTCGTCTGCATGCATTCTATCACCTTGCTTCGGGAATAACATTGAATCCCGAATACCCTGTATACTTTGGATGATTTTTGTGCTTCATCATTATTAAATCTATATAAGATTTTTATTTTAACAAAATGATCTTACAAAATTTTTAATGAATGCTTATCGCTACCTGCTACGTACAAAAATCCAATAAAAATTATTATTATAGAGTTGTACTTTTGACGGCAACTTTTTCAATAAGGAAATTTTTTTAACTTCATTCTTCTTTCAATAGAAGAATGAAATCAAAAAAATCTGATGTGGTTAGTGCAACAATATTAGAAAAAATTTTTTTAAATATTTTGATATTTTGATATTCGCATGATATTGTAGTGAACAACACTACATAATTTTCATGCAGAAATAAGGCATAATTTATTTGAAAACCGTTTTTGGTGTGTTTTAAAAAGTGTGAAAAATATATTTTTCCAAAAAGTCGTTGAAACTTTAAAAATACATATTTGGTTAAACTTCTTAAGTTTTTTGTGATGTGATGCAAGGTAAAAGATTGAATTTTAAAAATGTTATAAAATTGTAGCATAACGCGTGATCTAAATGCCTTTTAAAAAACTTTTGTTGGTTGCCAAATTGTTTAGCATATAAGTGAGTTTTTATTTCAAGAACGATATATTATTTTATAATGCATAGTTTATATATTTAACGTTATCCCTTTATCCCTTTAAAACATCACTTTAAAAACATTGTTTCACAAAAATAGTTTTTGATGATTTAGTTTTATATACATTTAAATTACAGCTACAGTTGAATATCGAAATCCTTGTGAACCCTCTCCTTGTGGTCCTAACAGTCAATGTAAAGAGCAAAACAATCAAGCAGTTTGCTCCTGTTTAGCAACTTATCAAGGAACTCCTCCACTATGTCGCCCAGAATGCACTACTAATTCCGAATGTGCTTTAGATAAGTCTTGTATTAACATGAAATGCACGAATCCATGTCCAAATACTTGCGGGAATAGTGCAAAATGCCATGTTCGTAATCACAGTCCAATATGTTCATGTTCTAACGGATTCACAGGAGATCCTTTTACTCGATGTTATCCCATACTGCGTAAGAGACAATAAAAAATATTTCGTTTGATACTAATCAAATTGTTTCTAATAGACCCTACAACTCCACTTGAAGATGAGACTATAAACCCATGTGTTCCCTCGCCTTGTGGACCGAACTCAATATGTAGAGATGTTGGAAACTCTCCGTCATGTAGTTGTCTACCTGAATTTCTTGGTGCGCCGCCAAATTGTAAACCCGAATGTACAATCAACGCTGAGTGTGCCAGCGATAAAGTTTGTGTTAATCAAAAATGTATTGATCCATGCCCTGGCCTGTGTGGAATTTCCGCAGTTTGTAACATCATAAATCACACTCCATCCTGTGTTTGTTTACCCGGATATGAAGGAGACTCTTTTACAAACTGTCGTCCAATACCTCAAAAATGTAAGAATTCTTTTGTCAGCTGTTTGCTCTTGAAGTAGTTTATAATAATTTAAATAATTCCCTCAGCCGATTTTATCGAGGAGGATCCATGTTTAAAATGTGGTTCAAACACCAAATGTGAAGATGGTGTTTGTGTTTGTTTACCCGACTACTTGGGAGATCCGTTTGTTGGTTGTAAACCGGAATGTCTTTTGAATTCGGATTGTAATAGAGACAAAGCTTGTTTACGACGAAAATGTAAAAACCCATGTCCCGGAACGTGTGGAATAAATGCCATATGTGAAGTTTTCAACCATGTTCCGATGTGTAGATGTCCTGAAGGAATGTCTGGAAATGCTTTTATTCAATGTACCCCAATCAAAAGTAATACAAATAATTTACTTCTTTAGACTTGGAATCCTCTTATTCTTGATTATTTCAGGCCCTGCAATATCAAGTCCTTGCTTACCTTCTCCATGTGGCCCAAATTCGCACTGCAGAGTAATAAACCAACAAGCTGTTTGTTCTTGTATTGAAGGTTATTTAGGAAGTCCGCCATCATGCAGACCAGAGTGCACAAGTAATTCGGAGTGTCAATTTGATAAAGCTTGTCAAAATCAGAAATGTCGCGATCCCTGCCCAGGAACTTGTGGACGTGGAGCTAGATGTAATGTTCGAAACCACAATCCGATTTGTAGTTGTTCTGTAGGACTAACTGGAGATCCTTTCGTAAGATGCGAGGTTAGCAGAGAGCCAGTAAAGTCTGAAAGTGTTACGGAAGATCCTTGCGTTCCTTCTCCATGTGGTCCAAATTCTTTATGCAAAGCTGTTGGAGATTCACACAGTTGCTTATGTTTACCAGATTTTATAGGATCGCCTCCAAATTGCAGACCAGAATGTATTTCAAATTCAGAGTGTTCCAGAGATTTAGCATGTATTAATCAAAAATGCAAAGATCCCTGCCCAGGTCTATGTGGACAAAATGCCGAATGTCGAGTAATTACTCATGTTCCACAATGCATTTGTAACCCCGGCTATAAAGGAGATCCATTTACACAATGTGTAGTTAAAGTTCAGTCAAATGAGTTTATAGACCCATGTAATCCATCGCCTTGTGGTGCAAATGCCGAATGTAAGGCCAGAAACAATGCTGCGACATGTAGTTGCCTGTATGATTTCTACGGAGATCCTTATCAAGGATGCCGACCTGAGTGCGTACTTAATTCTGATTGCGCATCTAATAAAGCTTGTGTACAAAATCATTGCAAAGATCCTTGTCCAGGAACATGTGGCCAGAACGCTGACTGTTACGTAAGAAATCACATACCAAACTGTAATTGTTTACAAGGGTATTCCGGTGATCCATACAAATATTGTTCTTTGTTACAACTCCGTAAGTTATTGTTTTGAAAGAGTTCAGTATTGCTTTAAAAAATTATTGTTACCAAAAGAGTTAAGTTTCAAAAAAGAACTATTTTTTGTTGTTTTCAAATAACTTGCTTAATAATAGACTAGTGGTGATGATCAAAAATTTGCATATTACTTTTAGCTATCGAAAATGAATATCAAAATCCTTGTCAACCATCTCCTTGTGGTCCTAACAGCCAATGCAAAGAAGTTAATAACCAAGCTATATGCTCTTGTTTACCATCTTATAAAGGCAATCCACCTTCTTGTAGACCAGAATGCACATCAAATTCAGAATGTCCTCTTGATAAATCATGTATCAATTTAAAATGTGTTGACCCTTGCCCAAATACCTGTGGCAAAAATTCTCAGTGCCATGTTCGTAATCACAGTCCAGTATGCTCATGCAATTCAGGATTTACCGGGGATCCATTTACTCGATGTTATATAATTCCAAGTGAGCGATATATTTTTTCTTCCCTGTAGTACATATTTGTTACTTGTAAAATTTTTTAAATAGCTCCAGTGATTCCACTTGAAGATGAAAATATTAACCCTTGTATTCCTTCTCCTTGTGGACCTAATGCTGAATGTCGGGCAATTGGTAGCTCACCTTCATGTAGTTGTTTACCAACATACCTTGGAAGTCCCCCTAACTGCAAACCAGAATGTACCATCAATGCAGAATGTGCAAGTAATCATGCTTGTATTAATCAGAGATGCGTTGATCCCTGTCCTGGTTTATGTGGATTATCGGCTACGTGTTCAGTGACAAATCATATCCCGTCCTGCAATTGTTTGGCTGGGTATGAAGGTGATCCGTTTATAAGCTGTCAAATAATACAACTACAACGTAAGCATATAAAATCATATAATTTGTATATATATTATATAAACGAATTTTATGGTTTAGAAAAACCTATTGAGGAGGATGATCCTTGTCAAACTTGTGGACAAAACACACATTGTCAAAATAATATTTGCACATGTTTGCCCGATTTTATTGGTGATCCAAATGTCGGATGCAAACCAGAATGCGTACTTAATTCAGACTGTGATCGAGATAAAGCATGTATAAAGCGAAAATGTAAAGATCCGTGCCCTGGTACTTGTGGAATAAATGCTATATGTGAAGTATTGAATCATATTCCTATGTGCAGATGTCCAGATGGAATGTCTGGCAATGCTTTTATACAATGCAGTCTAACACCTAGTAAATTATAACAATTCTATCATGAATTTATTTACATTTTGTAATACAAAATAATTTTCAGTTCCCATTAATATCAATCCATGTTCTCCATCTCCATGTGGTCCTAGCTCTCACTGTAGAGTCTTGAATCAACAGCCGGTTTGTTCCTGTATTGATGGTTATTTAGGTAGCCCTCCATCATGTAGACCGGAATGTACAAGCAATTCAGAATGTCCGTTCAACAAAGCTTGTCAAAATCAAAAATGCCGTGATCCTTGCCCAGGAACATGTGGGCGTGGTGCTAAGTGTAATGTGCGTAACCACAATCCAATTTGCAACTGCCCTTCAGGTTTCACTGGTGATGCTTTTGTAAGATGTGATATCATAAGAGAACCCAGTAAAGCGGAACTTGATATAAAGGATCCGTGTATTCCAACCCCTTGCGGACCAAATTCTCAATGCAAGGCTATAGGAGAATCTCACACTTGTGTGTGTTTACCTGACTTTGTAGGAGCTCCTCCAAATTGTCGACCAGAATGTGTTTCAAATACGGAATGTGCAAACAGTTTAGCTTGCATTAATCAAAAATGTAAAGATCCTTGTCCAGGATTATGTGGAGTTAATGCTGAGTGTAGGGTTATAAGTCATGTTCCACAGTGCGTGTGCAGTTCCGGATACAACGGAGATCCATTTACAAAATGCTTACCCGTAGTGCATCCGATTGAGATTTTAGATCCATGTAATCCATCCCCATGTGGAGCTAACGCTGAATGTAAGGCGCGGAATAGTGCTGCCACTTGCAGTTGTTTAAAGGATTTCTTTGGAGATCCTTATCAAGGATGTAGACCTGAATGTATTCTAAATTCCGACTGTCCATCTAATAAAGCATGTGTCCAAAATCAGTGTAAGAATCCATGTCCGGGTACTTGTGGACAAAATGCTGAGTGCTATGTTAGAAATCATTTACCGAATTGCAACTGTTTGCAAGGTTTTTCTGGTGATCCTTATGTTTTTTGTTCTATTATTCCCCAATGTAAGTTTGATGTTTTTATAACTGCTTGTTAATAGCAATACTAAATTTGTTTTTGCAACTTTAAAATTTAAACAAATTATTTGTAATAGCTGTGTCAGAAGAATATAAAAACCCCTGCCAACCGTCTCCATGCGGCGCAAACAGCCAGTGTAGAGAACAAAATAATCAAGCTGTGTGTTCCTGTTTACCGTTATATAAAGGTTCGCCTCCCTCTTGTAGACCTGAGTGCACCGTTAGTTCAGAATGTGCTCTAGATAAGTCTTGCATGAACTTAAAATGTGTGGATCCTTGTCCTAATGCTTGTGGTACAAATGCCAATTGCCGCGTACGTAATCACAGCCCAGTTTGTGTATGTCAATCTGATTTTACAGGCGATCCATTTACTCGATGTTATCCAATACCAAGTAAGAAAATCTGTTAGTATATTTACATCGCAAAAACCTAAACAAAATTGTGTTTTAGAACCTGTAGTTACTATTGATGATGAAATAATAAATCCATGTATTCCATCTCCATGCGGGCCAAATTCAGAATGCAGAGTTGTTGGAAATGCACCATCTTGTACTTGTTTGCCAACTTTCGTAGGTGCTCCTCCAAATTGTAAACCAGAATGTACAATTAATTCTGAATGCACAAGTAACCAAGCTTGTGTAAATCAAAAATGTATAGATCCTTGTCCTGGATTATGTGGGATGTCGGCTACTTGTTCTGTTGTAAATCATATTCCCTCTTGTTTGTGTTTGCCTGGATATGAAGGTGATCCTTTCACAATATGTAACATCCCAGAAAAGCGTAAGATAAAAATTTGATTGGTTTTGCAAAGTTCATGTTACAATCGTTTCCCATACAGACGAGCTGATCCAAGAAGATGATCCATGTTCGTTATGTGGTTTGAACACACAATGTCTTAATGGGGTATGCCGCTGTTTGCCAGATTTCTTTGGTGATCCCAATATTGGATGCAAACCTGAATGTATTCTTAGCTCCGATTGTAGTCGAGATAAAGCATGCATTCGAAGAAAATGTAAAGATCCTTGTCCAGGAACATGTGGTATTAATGCTATTTGCGATGTTACGAATCATATCCCAATGTGTAGGTGTCCAGAAGGATTGTCCGGAAACGCTTTCGTTCATTGCAAACCTATTTCAAGTACACATATTACATATTACTAAGTTCTTGTTGAACAAAAAAACAAATAATTACAGGTCCCGCAACCTTGAACCCATGTTTGCCATCACCCTGTGGGCCAAGCTCACATTGTAAAATATTAAATCAGCAAGCTGTTTGTTCCTGTATTGAAGGTTATTTGGGAAGTCCACCAACATGCAGACCAGAATGCACTAGCAATTCGGAATGCCAATTTAACAAAGCTTGCCAAAATCAAAAATGCCGCGATCCTTGTCCAGGAACTTGTGGCCGAGGAGCTAAATGTGACGTGCGCAATCACAACCCAATATGCAGTTGTCCTCCAGGTTTTACTGGAGATTCCTTTATAAAATGCGATGCTATAAGACAACCTACTAAAGTTGAACAAGATAGTCAAGATCCGTGCGTTCCTTCTCCATGTGGTCCGAATTCTCAATGTAAGGCTATTGGAGATTCACATACTTGTATATGTTTACCGGAATTCGTAGGAGCTCCTCCACATTGTCGACCAGAATGTATATCTAATTCAGAATGTTTCAGTAATATGGCATGTATCAATCAAAAATGTAAAGATCCATGCCCAGGATTATGCGGGCAGAATGCCGAGTGCCGTGTAATAAGTCATGTTCCGCAATGTGTTTGTAGCCCAGGTTACAATGGGGATCCATTTACACAATGTCTAACAATTGTGCAACCAATAGAAATTATTGACCCCTGTAATCCATCGCCATGCGGCGTAAATGCTGAATGTAAATCGCGTAATGATGCTGCAACTTGCAGTTGTTTACCTGATTTCTTTGGGGATCCCTATGAAGGATGTAGACCTGAATGTATATTAAATTCCGATTGTTCTTCAAATAGAGCATGTGTTCAAAATCATTGCAGAGACCCTTGCCCTGGAACTTGTGGACCAAACGCTGAATGTTATGTTAGAAACCATTTAGCTAATTGTAATTGTTTACAAGGTTATACTGGAGATCCATATGTATTCTGTTCAAACATCCAAAAGCGTAAGTGCACTTAAGATCTTTAGACAAGTAATTCCCAATTATTTGACAGTAATGAAAACCAGTTTTTAAAGCGACAAAAGTTCTTTTTATTTTAAGAACAATCTCAAGATCTTTTTGCAAATTTTAAATATGTGTTTCATGTTAAGTTATATTCGTTCAAACCTCTGGTTTGTTTGCAGGAAAGTAATAATTGCATTCATATCGTATTATTAATTTTTGCTGAACTATATAATTTGTAATAGATAATCAATTTTAATTCTCATTTACTGACGTTCTTTCCTTAAGTTAGTTAAAAAATTTAAACTGTTTAGTAAAAATAATAAGCATATTATGTACTTGTACTTTCATATTCAACTTTTATTTTGCTGTAATAAGTTATTTTTGAAATCATATCAAAAATGTAATATTAGTAATGATTTTAATTTGTTTTAAAAACTATTGAAAATTTATAGCAAACATGGTTGAGATAAATTAAAACTATTAAAATTATTTTTAGCTGCTTTAGACGAACATAAAAATCCATGTCAACCTTCTCCTTGTGGTGCTAATAGTCAATGTAGAGAACAAGATAAAAATGCCATATGCTCTTGTTTGCCATCTTACAAAGGAGTACCTCCATCATGCCGGCCAGAATGTACTACGAGCTCTGAGTGTCCTTTAGATAAATCTTGTATTAATCTACAATGTGTTGATCCTTGTCTGAATGCATGTGCGACAACTGCTCGTTGTATTGTTAAAAACCATAGTCCAATATGCTTGTGTAGCTTAGGTTTTACAGGTGACCCATTTACAAGATGTTATCCGTTGCAACGTAAGGAGATTGTTTACCATAACCTAAATTTTTATCAAATATTTATATCCAATATAGTTCCTGAACTTGCAATCGATGAGGAAATTAGGGATCCATGTGTCCCATCCCCTTGTGGGCCTAATTCTGAATGCAGGGTACTCGGAAGCTTACATTCATGTACCTGCAAATTGAATTTCTTTGGAACTCCTCCAAATTGCAAACCGGAATGCACTATTAACGCTGAATGCGCCGGCAATCAGGTTTGCATCAATCAAAAATGTAAAGATCCTTGCCCTGGTTTATGTGGTATATCAGCAGTATGTAACGTAGTAAACCATATTCCGTCCTGCACTTGTATGAATGGCTACAAGGGTGACCCTTTTACCAACTGCCAATTTATTCCACAAAAACGTGAGATAGCTCTTTAATTTTTTTTGTTGCTAACTAATATACATTTATATTAAAAACTTAGAGGATCAAGTAAGTGATGATGATCCATGTGCAATTTGTGGTCCGAACACAAATTGCCAAAACGGTGTTTGTGTATGTATTCCGGACTTTCTGGGAAATCCTAGCGTTGGATGTCATCCAGAATGCATTCTTAACTCAGACTGTGATAAAAGCAAGGCATGTATACATAAAAAGTGTCGAGATCCATGTCCTGGTGTTTGTGGAGTGAATGCTATTTGTAATGTGTTCAACCATATCCCAATATGTGTCTGTCCAAAAGGGATGTCTGGAAATGCTTTTGTTCAGTGCATGCCAATATCAAGTATTTTGAATTTTTTGATATGTTGAACCAAAGTTTTCATTTTAGAAATTATAGAACCGCTTCATTTAAATCCATGTTCACCATCACCATGTGGCCCGAATTCTCATTGTAGAATAGTAAACGAACAGGCAGTTTGTTCTTGTGTTGAAGGTTTTTTGGGCAGCCCTCCTACATGCAGACCAGAATGCGTCAGTAACTCTGAATGCGAATTTGATAAATCATGTCAAAATCAAAAGTGTCGAGATCCTTGTCCAGGAAGTTGTGGAAGTGGAGCTAAATGTGATGTACACAATCATAGTCCCGTCTGTACTTGTCCTGCAGGATTTACGGGAGATGCATTTGTAAAATGTGTGATACTTACAATACCTCAAATAAGTGATGAAAATATCAAAAATTCTTGCATACCTTCTCCTTGTGGACCTAATTCTCAATGCAAAGCGGTTGGAAATTCATATAGCTGTTTGTGCTTGCCTGATTTCGTAGGAACTCCTCCAAATTGTCGTCCAGAATGTGTTTCTAATTCTGAATGTCCCAATGACAAAGCATGTATTAATTTACAATGCAAAAATCCATGTCCTGGGCTGTGCGGAATAAATGCGGAATGTAGGGTAATAACTCATGTTCCACAATGCGTTTGCAATGTTGGATTTGTTGGGGATCCATTTTTGCAATGTACGTTAACCCCACCACAAGCTGAATCTACGCATCCATGTGACCCTAACCCCTGTGGAGTTAATGCTGAATGTAAAGCTAGAAGTGGTGCCGCTACATGCAAATGTCTTCTTAATTTCTTTGGAGATCCATATCAAGGCTGTAGACCGGAGTGCATTTTAAACTCTGATTGTTCGTCTAATAAAGCCTGTATAGAGAATCGCTGTCAAAACCCTTGCCCAGGAACTTGTGGAAAAAATGCAGAATGTTACGTAAGAAATAATTTACCAAATTGCAATTGTTTGAGGGGCTATTCAGGGAATCCATACTCTCACTGTTTCTTTATCCAAGAACGTAAGTTATTATTTTTTTTTAATTAACGTTGACTGAAAAGATTTTTCAACAGCTGTTCTAAGTGAATATAAGAATCCGTGTGAACCAAGCCCTTGTGGTTCAAATAGTAAATGCAAGGAACAAAACAACCAAGCTGTTTGCTCTTGCATATCTTCCTATAAAGGAACACCTCCATTTTGTCGACCAGAATGTACGACAAATTCTGAATGTGCTCTAGATAAAGCTTGTTTAAATTTAAAATGCACTGATCCTTGTGCTAACGCATGTGGAGAAAATGCAAAATGCCATGTACGTAACCATAGTCCAATTTGTTCATGCACTGAAGGATTTACTGGAGATCCATTTTCTCAATGCTTTCCCTCACCACGTAAGGAATATTATGTTTAAGTCCCTATATTTAATTTAAAATCTGTATTCAATAGTATTGCCGATTGCTATAGAAGATGAAGTGACATATCCATGTATTCCATCGCCATGTGGACCTAATTCAATATGCAAGACAATAAGAGAACTACCTTCTTGTAGTTGCCTACCAAGTTTTCTAGGTGTGCCACCCAATTGTAAACCCGAATGTACAATTAATTCTGATTGCGGAAGTGAAAAGACTTGTATTAACCAAAAATGTGTGAACCCCTGTCCAGGTTTATGTGGAAATTTAGCAGTTTGTAGTGTGATAAACCATGTGCCATCCTGCTCATGTTTATCAGGCTATGAAGGTGATCCATTTATTGGTTGCCAAGCAATTCCTGAAAAAAGTAAGATAAAGATCAATTAAACAAAAAAAATATTAAATTTTCCGAACACTCAGGGAAACCTACTAAGCAAGACGAGCCATGTTCTCTTTGTGGACCTAATACACTTTGTGAAAATGGTATTTGCAGATGTTTAACTGATTATAATGGAGATCCTTTAATTGGATGTAAACCCGAATGTGTTCTTAACTCAGACTGCAACAGAGATAAATCGTGCATAAGACACAAATGTAAAAATCCCTGTCCAGGAGTATGTGGGGAAAATGCTATTTGTGATGTTTTTAATCATATTCCAATTTGTAAATGTCCAGAACAAATGTCTGGAAACGCTTTTGTAAAATGCCACCCAGTGCAAGGTAGAACTATATGCTAACTATTTACATTATTTTAAGTTTCTAAAAATTATTTCAGATTCGATAAATATAAATCCTTGCACTCCATCGCCTTGTGGTCCCAATTCTCATTGCAGAATAATCAATCAATTACCTATCTGTTCCTGTATTGACAACTTTATTGGTAGCCCGCCTTCTTGTAGACCTGAATGTACAATAAATTCAGAATGTCAATTTGACAAAGCGTGTCAAAACCAAAAGTGCGTGGATCCTTGTCCAGGTGTCTGCGGTCATGGAGCTGAATGCTATGTTCATGCTCATAATCCGATTTGCCAATGTCCTCTGGGATTCACTGGAGACGCTTTTACAAGATGTAACATCATAAAAGAATCGATTGAAATTGAAATGAACAAAAACCCTTGTGTCCCCACCCCTTGTGGACCTAATTCCCAATGCAAAGTCGTTGGTGACTCACACACCTGCACCTGTTTAGCGGAATTCGTAGGAGTACCACCAAATTGTAGACCTGAATGTGTATCGAATTCGGAATGTGACATTCATTTAGCTTGTATAAATCAAAAATGTAAAGATCCTTGTCCTGGTTTTTGCGGTCAAAATGCGGAATGCCGTGTAATAAGTCATGTTCCGCAATGTGCTTGTAGTTATGGATATGTTGGGGATCCATTCACTCAATGTTTTATCAATGTACAACCAACAGAAATAAGTGAACCATGTAATCCGACTCCATGTGGTGTTAATACCGAATGTAAAACGAAAAATAACGCAGCTACGTGTAAATGTCTACATGATTTTTATGGTGATCCTTATCAGGGATGTAGACCTGAATGTATCTTAAACTCCGATTGTCCATCTAACAAAGCATGTGTTCAAAATCACTGTAGAGACCCATGTCCTGGAATATGCGGTCAGAATGCTGAATGTTATGTCAGAAATCATTTGCCTAATTGCAATTGCTTACCTGGTTTCACGGGTGATCCGTATTTTTATTGCTTAATGATTAAACTACGTAAGTTCTTAAAGTCATTTGACATAACGTTCTTTTGAATGAAAAGCATAAAATTTTTAAGTTTATTTCATATAGGTATTTTGCGAGTTAAAATAGCAAAGAAAAATCAATTTGAGAACACCAAATAAGAACAAAAAACTGAAATATTTTGTTTTTTAGAGATATGTGTCGAATTTGGTTGCCTAACAGATCACAATTTTTAGTTCTCTTTTAATTTTTTTAATAAATTAAACGGACGTTTAATTTTTGACTTATATCGATGTTTCACGTCGATGTTCTTATCGATATTTTAAAACAAATTCACTAACTAAAAGAATTTCTTTTAAACTGTTAAACAACTTCTTGTTACAATAAAATTTAAGAGCATATTTTGCACTTCAGCTGTTTCAGATGAGTACAAAAATCCTTGTGAACCATCTCCCTGTGGACCTAATAGTCAATGTAAAGAGGAGAATAACCAAAGTATTTGTTCTTGCTTACCATCCTACCAAGGAACTCCTCCATCTTGTAGACCGGAATGCACTGTTAATTCGGAGTGTGCCTTAGACAAATCATGTGTTAACTTAAAATGTGTGGATCCTTGTTCCAATACATGCGGAATAAATGCCCAATGTCGGGTTCGTAATCATAATCCTATTTGTTCGTGTATTGCTAATTTTACAGGTGATCCATTTACACGATGTCTTTCTATGCAACGTAAGAAATTTCGGTACTGAAGCACTATGATATCAGTTAATTGAATTCTTTTTCATAAATTTATAGCAATCAAGGAGATCGAAGAAACAAATCCATGTGTTCCTTCCCCTTGTGGACCTAATTCCTGGTGTAAATCTTTTGGTAACACGCCATCATGCTCATGTTTACCTAATTATTTGGGCTCTCCACCTAATTGCAAACCTGAATGCACAATAAATTCCGAATGCCTAAGTGATAAGGTTTGTATAAATCAGAAATGCTATGATCCATGCCCCGGCTTATGTGGATTATATGCAACGTGTAATGTTGTAAATCATATTCCAACATGCACATGTTTACCAAATTATGAAGGAGATCCATTTACAAATTGTCGTCCTGTTCCCGAAAAACGTAAGATTTAAAAAAAAAGTATTGCAAAAATTAATATCTCCCAACTTATAGAAGAGCCTGTTGTAACGGATGACCCTTGCTTGTCATGTGGTTCAAACACATATTGTCAAAATGGCGTTTGCATTTGTAGCCCAAATTATGAGGGTGATCCCCATTTAGGGTGTCGACCAGAGTGTATACTTAATTCTGACTGCGATCGAAACAAAGCTTGCATTGAAAGAAAGTGTAAAGACCCTTGTCCAGGAACTTGTGGCAAAAATGCTCTCTGCGACGTATTTAACCATATACCAATATGCAGCTGTCCTGAAGGAATGTCTGGTAATGCCTTCATGCAATGCAGTCCGATACCAAGTACCACAAAATTTTCTATGTATTCCATCATTATTTATCATCATATTATTTTCAGAACCAATAATTTCCAATCCTTGTTTACCTTCTCCGTGTGGCCCAAACTCTCATTGCCGAATACTTAGTCAACAAGCTGTTTGTTCGTGTATTCAAGGGTATTTGGGAAGTCCTCCATCATGTAGACCCGAATGTGTATCCAATTCAGAATGTCATTTCGACAAAGCTTGTCAAAATCAAAAATGTCGAGACCCTTGTCCAGGAACATGTGGACGAGGTGCCAAATGTTATGTCCGTGACCATAATCCATTTTGCAGTTGCCCTCCAGGATATACTGGTGATGCGTTCACTAGCTGCGAAATTATTAAGGAACCTATTAAAAGTGAAGAAGATAATCCTTGTGTACCTTCTCCATGTGGACCAAATTCTGAATGTAAAGTATTAGGAGAATCATACAGCTGCCTCTGTTTACCAGAATTTATAGGAGTACCTCCGGATTGTCGACCTGAATGCGTATCAAATACTGAATGTGCTGCAAAATTATCATGTATCAATAAAAAATGTAAAGATCCTTGCCCCGGCTTATGTGGAGAAAATGCAGAATGTCATGCAATAAGCCATGTACCACATTGTGTATGTAACTCTGGATTCAACGGGGATCCATTTACACAGTGCTTACCTGTAGTTCAATCTAATGAGATTTCAAATCCTTGTAATCCATCTCCATGCGGGCATAATGCTGAATGTAAAACTCGAAATAATGCTGCCACTTGCATTTGTTTAAATGGTTTCCTCGGTGATCCTTATCAAGGATGTAAACCTGAGTGTGTGCTTAACTCTGATTGCGCATCTAATAAAGCGTGCATACAAAAACATTGTAGAGACCCATGTCCTGGAACTTGTGCACAAAATGCAAAATGTTATGTTAAAAATCACTTACCAAATTGTAATTGTTTGGACGGTTACACAGGCGATCCATACTCTTATTGTTCTTTTATAACACAACGTAAGTTTAAATAATTATTGTTCTATATAATTGAAATACTAATTTACTAAATCAAAATACTTAGCCGTTATTTATAATATATAAAACTAATACAAGGTAAATTAGAACCTTTACCGTTTCGCTTTGCGACCGATGTACAAAAATGTGCTAATTTTTCTTTGGGTTGACATGTATATAGGTTCTTGCTTCATCGAATTTTTAAGTTGCAAGCTATTATACAAATTAAAATAAAGTGAGATCAAATCATCAGTTTGTAAAGAAGCACTTTTGCCTCAAACCTGTGTTTCATAACGCTTAATTTTAACGGATATTTTGTCTTTTTTTAATTTTCAATTTGAACGAAATAATTTTATATAAATTATTTAGCATTGACAATAAATATTAATAAAAAAAAATCTGATGTGGTCAGCACATAACCGACCGCATTGTGTATTATCTAGTTAAATGAAAGTGTTACAGAATATTATAAAAATATCTGTTAAATACTTCTTTCCAATTTTTAGGACATTAGTAAGCTTAAGGTTAACATACTTAGAAAAATGTAAATTTGGCTCTTAGTAGAGTTTCGCTTTGTGCTACCCGAATTCCCTGAAATGCTCGCCAGTTAGTTTCGGTAACAACCAGAACTCAAATATCAAATTTCAAGAAATTCCATCAATTTGTTCTGTGGATATGGTGAAAAATGTAAAATCAGTTTTCGAGCTCTGATCTTTCCAAAAAATGTATGTGTTCATTGTTTTAATACGAAGAATACAAATATTAAATCTCAATGAAATCGGTTGGTTATTTCTCTTTATATAAGCAAAAATGTATATTTGGCCCGTAGTAAACGTCTAGTTGCCGATGCCTGATTTCTTCCAAAAGTTAGGAATTTTTTCGTATGATCGAGCAAAGCTTATATATAAAATTTCAAGTAAATCGGTTGAATACTTTCTTCAAAATGGTGAAAAATGTAAAATCGGCCCGCAAATCCGTTTTCGAGCCCTGATCTTTCCAAAAAACTTATATGTTCATTGTTTTAATATGAGGAATTCATACGAATTAAATTTCAATGAAATCGGTTGGTTATTTCTCTTTATGTACACAAAAATGTATATTTGGCCCGTAGTAAACGTCTAGTTGCCGATGCCTGATTTCTTCCAAAACATACGAATTTTTGCGGACGGTCGAGCTGAGCTTATATATAAAATTTCAAGTAAATCGGTTGAATATTTTCTTCAAAATGTTCAAAAATGTAAAACAGGCCCGCTAAAAAGTGCAGTTCCCAAGGTCTGATATATACCAAAAGTTGATCGATCCGTGCCATGGTTGAAACAAACTTACATATAAAATTTCATCAAAATCGGTTCAGCCCAACTTGATATACACGCGTGCACACACAGACCGACAGACGGACAGACTGACAGGTTGCTAAAAATAGTTTATTTACACTTCCCTACTATGGAGAAGTACGTTCCCACCGAAAACTCCATATGCAAAATTTGTTGCCATCACATAACCTACCTATTGTTTACACAATACGGTCGGTAAAAATTAATGTACTTATAAAATTTAGTTGGTATTTGTTTTCAATATTGAATAAAACAAAATATCTATTGCCATTTAGCCATAGTTGAAGTATTTGAAAATGTTTGTCAACCTTCTCCATGTGGACCCAACAGTCAATGTAAAGAACAGAATAATCATGCACTTTGTTCCTGTCTCCCGTATTATCAAGGAACTCCACCATTATGCCGACCCGAATGCACTGTCAGCTCTGAATGTTCTCTGGAAACATCTTGCATAAATTTCAAATGTGTAGATCCCTGCCCAAATACATGTGGAGAAAAGGCTCAATGCCATGTACGCAACCACAGTCCAATTTGTTCTTGTAATACTGGATTTACTGGAGATCCCTTTACGAGATGTTACTCAATACCACGTAAGAAGTGCTCCGAAAAATATATTTGATAAGCCATATAATAAAATTCTTATAGAACCCGTAGTCTCGACAAAGGATGAAATTATTGATCCATGTGTTCCATCACCTTGTGGCCCATACTCTGAATGCCGAACAGTTGGCAACTCACCATCATGCTCTTGTTTACCAAACTTCTTGGGAAATCCACCTAACTGTAGGCCAGAATGTATTATCAATTCTGAATGCTCTAGTGACAAGGTTTGTGTGAATCAAAAATGCAAAAATCCATGTCCAGGATTATGTGGTATATCTGCACTTTGTACTGTAATAAACCATACTCCATCATGTACATGCTTACCTGGTTACGAAGGTGATCCTTTCAATAGCTGTCAACAAATTACGATAGAAAGTAAGACCATTTTAATTTTTATAAAACTGTACACATAATCAAATTTGTTTAAAACCAGAAGAACCTGTTAAACCAGATGATCCTTGTTTACTATGTGGATCAAACACACGTTGCGAAAATGGGGTTTGCTCATGCATTCCAGATTATCATGGAAACCCGTTGATTGCTTGTAATCCGGAATGTGTTCTTAATTCAGATTGCAGCAAAAGTAAGGCCTGCATAAACAGAAAATGTAAAGACCCTTGCTTTGAAGTTTGCGGAACAAATGCCATATGCGATGTTTTTAATCATATTCCAATATGTAGCTGCCCAACAGGAACGACTGGAAATGCTTTCGTTCAATGCTCGCTGATTACAAGTAATTTACACTGGTGAAACTATACGCATAAATCTACTTAATGCATCTATTTTCAGCCGAAGTGAATTCAAATCTATGTGCACCCTCACCCTGCGGACCGAATTCACGATGCAGGATTGTGAACCAACAAGCAATTTGCTCATGCATTGAGGGATATTTAGGCAGCCCCCCTTCTTGCAGACCAGAGTGCACAAGTGACTCTGAATGTGAATTTGATAAGTCATGCCAAAATCAAAAATGTCGTGATCCCTGCCCTGGCACTTGTGGACACCGCGCAAAATGTAATATTCACAACCACATCCCAATTTGCGTTTGTCCGCCTGGACACACGGGTAACCCTTTCCAACAATGTTTGGTTATTAAAGAACCCGTAGAATCGGAGATCGATATCAAAAATCCGTGTATACCAACACCATGTGGTCCTAATTCACAATGTAAAATCAGTGGAAATTCGTATATCTGTTTATGTTTGCCAGGATTTGAAGGAGCTCCCCCAAATTGCAAGCCAGAATGCATTTCCAATGCAGAGTGTGCCAGCAACTTGGCCTGTATTAATCAAAAATGCAAAAATCCATGTCCAGGATTATGTGGGAAAAATGCTGAATGTCGCGTGATTAGTCACGTACCACAGTGTGTCTGCAATTTTGGCTATAATGGAGATCCATTTACATTGTGTGTAGAAGCAATCAAAACTGCCGAAGTGGTAGAGCCCTGTAACCCATCACCTTGCGGCGTTAATGCAGAATGTAGGGCTAAAAATAATGCAGCAGCCTGCGTCTGTCTACCAGATTTCTTTGGAGATCCTTATCAAGGATGTAGACCCGAATGCGTAATTAATTCTGACTGCCCATCTAATAAAGCATGTATTCAAAGACATTGTAGAGATCCATGCCCGGGAGTGTGCGGTCAAAATGCTGAGTGCTATGTTAGAAGTCATTTGCCTAATTGCAATTGTCTTCCAGGTTTTTCCGGCGATCCATTCTTTTACTGTTCCGCAATACAACAGCGTAAGAATTTTATATATCTATTTTGACGACATTTACTACACATACATATTACCAACATTATTTTGTTAGATATATTGCATATGTGATTGTGGGAATTTTTTTTATTGATTGGCAGTTTTTTTGGTATGAGACAATTACATATGTGATGTGTCTGGTTTGATAATCTTGAATTCTTTTTATTCAACATTTCATTTAAATAAATGAATATAAACAATATTTATGTTTGTTTTAAATAGCGGTTAAAGATAAAACTCAAGAACCCTGCCAACCGAATCCCTGTGGGCCGAATAGCAAATGTGATAATCGTAATGGACAACCTATATGCTCATGTGTTGAAGATTATATTGGAACCCCACCAATGTGCAGACCTGAATGTGTTCTAAATTCTGAGTGCCCTTCTAATAACGCATGCCTTAACAAAAAATGTGTTAACCCATGCGTTGGAATTTGTGGCTCAAATGCTGTTTGCAGTGTTAGAAATCATAGCCCCATATGTGCCTGTGAAACTGGTTTTACTGGAGATCCTTTAATGAATTGCTATCCAATCAAATGTAAATTGCAAACCAATTTTCAGAAATATTGCGAAAGTATGTATGTTCAATAACAATGTGTAAATTTCAGCAATTGTACCAATAAAAGAAAAGGACTTGTGCATTCCATCACCATGTGGTCCCTTCTCCCAGTGTAGAGAAATTAATGGTAAATCAGCATGCAGCTGCCTTCCTAGTTACGTTGGTTCTCCACCATACTGCAAACCAGAATGTCTTGTAAATTCGGAATGCCAATCTAACTTGGCATGCATCAATGAGAAATGTAAAGATCCCTGTCCAGGCTCTTGCGGTGTCAATGCTAAATGCCTTGTTACTGATCACACTCCTTCCTGTTCTTGCCCATCAGATAAAACAGGGAACCCTTTCCATAAATGCTTTGCAATAGAACCTATACAAGGTATTATAGTATTAAAGTCATTATCATATAAAAATTGAAAATTTATTTTAAACGTACGATATTAGAAATTCCGATAGAACAGGATCCTTGTCATCCTTCACCTTGTGGAATGAATACAATTTGTAATGCTGGTGTTTGTTCATGCATTTCCAATTACATTGGAAATCCAAATATTGGCTGCAGACCTGAATGCGTTCTTAACTCGGATTGTCCGTCTAATAGAGCTTGTTTGAATGAAAAGTGTAAGGATCCTTGTGTTGAAAAATGTGGAACAAATTCTATTTGTGAAACCATTAATCATATTGCATTTTGTAAATGTCCGAAAAATATGTCCGGAAATCCCTTCATTTCATGCCAAATAGTTGAAAGTAAGTTTTAAGATAGTTATCATTCACTAAATATAGACGTTATTTATTTTTGAAGGACCTATTGTTTCTGAAAACCCATGTAATCCTTCACCTTGTGGATTAAATAGTAGATGTCAAAATATAAACAATCAACCTGTTTGTTCTTGTGTTCTTGGTTATTTTGGTTCCCCACCAAACTGTCGACCAGAATGTTATACAAATTCAGATTGTCAACAAATTAATGAATGTGTTAATAACAAGTGTGTAGATCCATGTCCTGGAAGGTGTGGGTTGAATGCTATTTGCCAAGTAGTACAACATAAAGCTGTCTGCGAATGTTCGCATGGGTATACTGGAAATCCAAATAGTTACTGCAGAGTCATTGGTATGCTTAACTCTTTACCAAATAAAACTGAAATTATTAATTTAAATTTTGCACTAATATTCAGAACGACCATTACCTTCTGTAATTGAAACTGACCCATGTCGACCATCGCCATGTGGACCTAATGCTTATTGTAAAAACATTAATAACAAAGCCGAGTGTTCTTGTTTAAGTAATTATATAGGTGTTCCACCAAATTGCCGCCCAGAGTGCACGAAAAACGACGATTGTTCCAATAACTTAGCATGCATAAATCAAAAATGTGAAGATCCTTGCCCAGGATCTTGTGGAGAAAATGCTCAATGTATCGTTACAGTGCATATACCAAATTGTATTTGTAATATTGGTTTAATTGGTGATCCCTTTTTTAAATGTTATAAAAAAGGTAAGGTTTGTATGTTGTATTGTATTAATTATATTAAACTGTTCAATTTTTATGGCTCTATAACAGGATAAATATAAATAACTTTATTAATTTTATGATCAAAGCTCTACAAGAAAAATATTAATATTTTATAGCTCAACCACCAAAACCTGTAGAAGAAAATCCCTGCGAGCCATCTCCATGTGGTAGTAATGCAATGTGTCGCATCAGAGGGCAAAACTACATTTGTGAGTGCGTTAGAGACTATATTGGCAATCCCTACGAAGGATGTCGACCGGAATGTATCGGAAATTCCGAATGCCCATCAAATAAAGCTTGTATACGATACAAATGTAAAGATCCATGCCCAGGAACTTGTGGATATAACGCTTTATGCACGGTTACTAATCACATTCCGATATGCACGTGCCCACCAGAACTAACGGGAAATGCTTTCCGTAGTTGCGAGGCAATTCGCAGAAATGACACTATCCTAGAAAAGCCTATTAATCCCTGTCATCCTTCCCCTTGTGGATTAAATTCAATATGTCGCGTGCTTAATCAGAATGTAATATGTGAATGTATTCCGGGGTATTACGGTGATCCCACTGGACAAGGTTGCACACCAGAATGCACATTAAGCTCAGATTGCACTAAAGACAAAACATGTGTAAACTTCAAATGCATAGATCCATGTCCTGGAGCTTGTGGCTATGGAGCTCAATGTCAAACTATTAACCATAATCCAATATGCTCCTGTCCTTCGCCAAGTATTGGCAATCCATTTGTAGAATGTCATCCGCCGGAACCTAAGGATCTATGTAATCCATCGCCATGTAAAACGAATGGTGTTTGTCGCATTGTCAATAATCTGGCGACTTGTTTTTATCCGGAATGCATATCAAATGATGATTGTCCCCGTGATAAATCATGTTCAAATCAAAAATGCCAAGATCCATGTATACATGCTTGTGGAATTAATGCAATTTGCAATGCAGTTAATCATAAAAGTGTATGCTCCTGCCCAAGTGGCTATTTGGGTTCAGCTTATGATAAATGTTATCCACAAATGGAACCAATACCACCACGTGTAGAATGTACACAAGATTCAGACTGCCCTAATGATAAATCTTGCATTAATCAACAGTGCCGAAATCCGTGTATTGAATCGCCAAGAATTTGTGGGGAAAATGCAAAATGTTATGTACAAAATCATAGACCACTTTGTGTGTGCAACGAAGGTTTCACAGGAAACGCAAATTCTTACTGTTATGTGATAGGCTGCCGAAATGATGACGATTGTCCAGCAACAGAATCATGCATTAACCAAAAATGTTGGGATTCGTGTTCTTACATTCAATGTGGAAGAAATGCAATATGTAAAACTGATTTCAATCACAAGGCAAGATGCCATTGTTTAGAGGGATATAGAGGTAATCCGTTAATACACTGCGACAGACCAGAATGCGTCAACGATTCAGATTGTCCCTTTAATTTGGCATGCTTAAATGAACGTTGCCAAGATCCTTGTAAATGTGGAGAAGGTGCCGAGTGTCGTGTTAGCAATCATATAGCACAATGTAGATGTTTACCTGGTTACACGGGAGATCCTCAAATAAAATGTAATTTACTACCTAAAGAAGTAACTGAGTGCTTAATCGACGCTGACTGTCCTAGAAGACTTGCATGTTTTGAAGGTAAATGCAAAAATCCATGTGATGAAACCCACCCATGTGGAGCAAATGCAAAATGTGTCGTTGTTGATACCTTACCCTTAAGGACAATGGTATGTCAGTGTGAACCTAATTATGTGGGTAACGCCGATCTGGGCTGCAGGAAAGGTGAGAAAAAAATAAGTTTAGAATCACGTTTTCAAAACTATGTGAAAGAAATTATAACTACAATAATTTCTTATATGAAAATCTGCACATAGTTTGAAAATGCTAACTTGTTTGAAATAAATTGATTAAAATTTAAAAAAATTAAAAAATTTATTTTTTTAGCAGCAATGAATCAATTTCCTATGTACAATATAATATAGTATACTTGTAATTAAATCTTGTTAAGTGATATATATACAATATTGAATATATATATATATAGACATCAATATTTATATTCCAAACTGCATTGTAAATAATATACAATTTTTGTACATAAATGACACGAAAGTGCACGTGATTAACTTAACAATTTCAAAGCACTCTTTAAAACTATTTTTAGTATAAGTAAAAGCTTTCTAATCCTTGTTATATGCACTCAAATTTCAGAAATTACTAAGGAACCAGGCTGTTCCAAGCATGAAGATTGTCCTGATTCAGAAGTATGTCGAAGTGGAGTTTGTAGAAATCCATGTATAACGAATTCTCCATGTGCTAAAACCGCTGAATGTTCCGCTAAAAATCATAGAGCGGTATGCAAATGCCCACAAAATTTACAGGGTGATCCATTCGTAAATTGTTATACCCCGTCTCTTATTACACCTGAGTGTACAACTGATGCCGATTGTTCCCCGACTATGGCTTGTTTTAATCACAGATGTGAAAATCCATGCGCTGAAGCAAATCCTTGTGCTGGAAATGCAGAATGTCGTGTGCATCAAAATCGTGCGTTATGTTACTGTCCGGCAGGATGGGGAGGCGATCCAAAAAATCAATGCTTCAAACGTAAGTATATTATATGAGATAATATTTTCGTATTTTAAAAATTATAATTTTAGCTGAATGTGCAATTAATTCGGATTGTCCTTATGATAAGGCTTGTATTAATGAAAAATGTGTTAATCCTTGTACTTACGGATCTGTACGGTGTGGTACTGGGGCAAAATGTAAACCAGAAAATCATCAAGCTACATGCGAATGTCCTATCGGAACTCAAGGAAACCCATTTAGTGCTTGCATTACTGGAAAATGTCAATATAATGATGATTGTGCAGATCACGAAGCATGTGATCGCCTTAATCGTATATGCAAAGCAGTTTGTTTTGCGGGAGCATGTGCTAATTTGGCAAGTTGTTATGGTAGAAATCATCAACCTCTGTGTGAGTGTAAACCTGGAACAACTGGCAATCCGTATGTTGAATGTACGCAAAGTCGCCAGCCAGCTTTACCAGAACCAGAGTGCAATACTGATATCGATTGTTCTTCGCATTTGGCTTGCATTAACAGAAAATGTTCCGATCCTTGTGCTTTATCTAATGTTTGTTCACCCCAACAAACATGTACTGTATTGGAAACAACACCTTTAAGAACCCTGATATGCACATGTCCACAGGACACAATAACTGATAACTCAAGAAACTGCATTCCTATTAAATTTGACGAAGGTTGCCGCTCTAATAGCGACTGCACAGATCCGGAAATTTGTCAAAGAGGCCAGTGCATTGAAGCGTGTCGTTTGGAATCTTGCGGTATAAATGCGCTATGCTCTTCAAAGAATCATTATGCCCACTGTTCCTGTCCGCGAGGATATACTGGAAACCCACGTATTGAATGCTTACCTTCTAAAACAAAACCTACTGTGGCTGCTCCTGAATGTACTAGAAATGACGACTGCCCAAATGATCGTAAATGTGTAAATGAAATATGTTTGAATCCATGTGTATTACCAAAAACATGCGGTGTTGCCGCTTATTGCCACGTTGAGTTGCATCAACCAATATGTCGGTGTCCAGCAGGTTATAACGGAGTGCCTGAAATAAGCTGCAGACCTTTGGAACCCACTTTGTTAGAGTGCGAGTCCAATTCAGATTGTTCCTTGACAAATTCTTGCATTAACGGACACTGCATAGATCCCTGCAATTGTGGATCAAATGCCGAATGTTTCGTTCGTAATCATCACCCGGTATGTTATTGTAGACCAGGCTATTCTGGTAATCCTCAAAATGGTTGTGTTCCAGTCGGTTGTCAAGCTGATGACGACTGCAGTTTGGATAAGCAATGTATCAACCAGGAATGTATTAACCCATGTGCTATCAATGATCCGTGTGCAATCAATGCAGAATGTTATGGAAGAAATCATAGAGCTACGTGTAGATGTCCTGCTGGACTAGAAGGTGATCCATTTAAACGCTGCGATCGTGTTGAATGTCACTCTGATTATGACTGTCCACTCAACCAAGGCTGTATAAATAGTCACTGCATCAATTTATGTCAAGAAAGAAATCCATGTGCAAGAAATGCAAATTGTTTTGTTCTAAACCATGCAGCGATTTGCAAGTGTCCAGAACATTTACCTTTAGGTAATCCTTTTGCTTATTGTGAAGAACAACCACCACCACCTCAACAAGTAGCCGAATGTACAACAGACGGAGAATGTCCTAGTAAGCAAGCTTGCATCAATGAAAAATGTGTTAATCCTTGCAAAGAGTTGCAACCTTGTACTCAGAGTGCACATTGCTTTGTTCTAGACAGTGTCCCAGTTCGAACAATGGTTTGTGAATGCCCTGAACATTTTATACCGGATAACAACGGAGAATGTTCGCCAATTAAAACAGCGCTCACTCTTGGCTGCAGTAGTAATGATGAATGTCCAAACAATGAAGCTTGTATTAATCGTCAATGTAGAAATCCGTGTAATTGTGGAACTAATGCAATATGTTTAGTTCAGAATCACCGTGCAACTTGTAGTTGCGAAGATGGACACGAAGGAAATCCGTATAGTTATTGTAAAACTGTCGGTTGTCGAATAGACAATGAATGTGAATCTGGAAAGGCTTGTATAAACGGAAATTGCGTCAATCCTTGTTTAATTACTGAATCATGTGGAAAGAATGCGGAATGTTATGTGCAAAATAATAAAGCAGAATGTCGTTGTTTAAATGGTTATCGTGGTAATCCTTATGAAGGTTGCATAATCATTGGATGTCGAACTAACACTGATTGCCCTTCCGAAAAAACATGCGTAAATGCTCAATGTGTGAATCCATGCATATATAACAATCCATGCGCACCACATTCTGAATGTAGACCACAAAATCATATTGCAATTTGCAGATGTCTTCTAGGCTACATTGGAAATCCATATATTGACTGTAAAAAGGAGGTGCTTCCGGAATGTGTATATGATTCGGATTGTCCATCACGTTTAGCCTGTATTGAAAATAAATGCAAAAACCCGTGTCTTATATTAGAACCATGTAATAGGCCAGCAAGATGTGAAGTAACTCCAACTTCCCCACTTCGAACAATGATCTGCGTTTGCCCCGATGGTTACATTAGTAGCGGAAGTGGAACTTGCAAACCAACTACACCAGTCAAAGCAGTTGGATGCTTAGCAGACTCTGATTGTCCGGAAGACCGAACCTGCGTCAATGGCATTTGTCGAAACCCATGTAATTGTGGAATCAACGCTGAATGTCGCATTAAGGATCATAAGCCAGTGTGCTCATGTCGCCAAGGCTTTGAAGGAAACGCTGAATTTGAATGCGTTAAAGTGGGTTGCATTTCCAATGATGAATGTCTCATTACTCATTCATGCATAAATCGACAATGTGTGCCTGCATGTTCTACAGATCGTGGAATATGTGGTAAATTTGCAGAATGTATTGGAACTAATCATAGAGCAGTATGTGAATGTGTACCAGGATTCGAAGGAAATCCAAGACAATCATGTTTGCCAGTTGGTTGTCGCTCTAACTCCGAGTGCCCAAGTGAAAAAGCTTGTATTAATAATAAATGTCAAAACCCATGCGAAGTAACTGCTGTTTGTGCACAAGACGAGATTTGTAAAGTTTATAACCATAAAGCCCAATGTACTTGCCCTCCAGGTTTCATTGGTACTCTTAAAAATGGTTGCATGCCAGAGGAACCTGAAGCAATATGTAAATATGATGGAGATTGCCCCTCTAAAGAAGCGTGCTTCAGGGGTGAGTGCTTAAATCCATGTTCTGAAACTCAACCATGTGGAGTAAACACTGAATGTAGAGTTCTTGATACAGCTCCAATACGCACAATGATTTGTGAATGTCTGCCAGGATATCAGGGTAATGCAGCTGTTCAATGTGATAAGATGTCAATATGCCATATTGAAAAAGGTTTTGTACGTGATGTTGATGGTCGTTGTGTATGTCCCCCCGGCGCAGCCTTAGATGAATATGATTATTGTGTTCCATGTGATAAAGAAAAAGGTTATCGCATTGACGAGAATGGACATTGTGCATGTGCTTTAGAGAAAGGTTTTATAATTGATGAACGTGGTCGCTGCATTTGTCCTCTGGAACATGGATATTACCTAAATGAAAAGCTTGAATGTATTCGCAGAACCGATAACGAATGTGAAAGTAATTCAGATTGTCCAGACAACAGAAGTTGTAAAAATCGATTATGCATAGATCCTTGTATTGAAAGAAACTGCGGTAATAACGCATTATGCAATACAACTAATCACCGACCCATTTGTAGTAAGTATACCTTCTTATTTATTACCAAATCAAACGATATTTACAATATTAATGTTTTTTATATTAAGTTACTAGATTTAACAGCGTTAATATGAACATGGAAAGTAAAAATTATTAAATCAGTTTAATATGTTTGCTGTTTACTATAGCAATAAAACCGTTAATAATCAATCAATTTAACTAAAACTTCACCAAAGTCTTTTACATATTAAGTTTGTTTTTGAAAAAAATTAATATATGATAACACATAATTTTAATAATACTTATAAATTGAAGTAATATATGTATGCATATCTAAATATGGAATATTAACATTGGAAATTTTTAAAAATCTAATTCTTGAATTAGATTTTTAAAAATTAGAAACATTTTAAAATAAGGAATTTGTAGTAAAAATGTTGAATAAACAAGAACAAAATCATACAAGCTTTACAAACTAAAATGAAGACCCTTAGCTTGAAATTCAAACTAAATCTTTCTGTTATCGTTGACTGATCTTCATTTTTTCATTAAAGTAAAATAATTAAGCTAGAAAATTAACAGTTTAAGTCAAAAAGGCTAAATAAAAAGTTTTTTTTTTATCATGTTTTACGACTTCACGAAGTATAAGTCGATTTGCGTATAAAATATTTTTCCTGCAAGTCCAAATTAATACCAAATGTAGCGGAAAACATTATTTAACTCTAGGCTTATTTTGCATATTATGACCAGCTAGAAAATCATATTACTCCAATAAAATTTACTAACAAGTCATCTGAAAATCTAATATTTGTGCTTTGTGGTCGTGTTTCTTTTTGTGAATTTTAGCTCCAATTAACACAAATATTACATTCCGAACAGACTTCCCGAGACCAGATATGGTTGTTAGTTGTTTGGCAGATGGTGTGCAAGTGGAAATCCATATAACAGAGCCAGGGTTCAATGGCGTCCTGTACGTTAAAGGTCACAGTAAAGAAGAAGAATGTCGTCGTGTCGTAAATTTATCTGGAGACTCCGTTCCCAGAACAGAAGTTTTTAAAGTAAACTTTGGTAGCTGCGGCTTAATTCATGTAAACGGGGTCGCTAGCTTTATTTTAGTAATTCAAAAACATCCTAAATTAGTTACATATAAAGCACAAGCATATAACATAAAATGTGTTTATCAAACTGGTGAAAAGAACGTTACGTTAGGATTTAACGTATCAATGTTAACAACAGCTGGAACAATTGCAAATACCGGACCGCCCCCAATATGTCAGATGAGAATCGTAACACATAATGGAGAAGAAATCAGCTCAGCCGAAATTGGAGATAATCTAGTATTACAAGTAGATGTTGAACCAGCAAGTAAGTTTTAATGTTTGTAATAAATAAGATATATATAATAAAATAAATTATATATATGAAATTTTTTCAGCAATATATGGTGGATTCGCTCGCAGTTGTATCGCAAAAACCATGGAAGACAATGTTGAAAATGAATACATTGTGACTGATGAAAATGGTTGCGCTACTGATCCAACTATATTCGGTGAATGGGAATATAATCCTGAAACAAATAGTCTTTTAGCTAGTTTTAATGCTTTTAAATTCCCTTCAAGTGACAATATACGATTCCAGTGCAATATACGCGTCTGTTTTGGTAAATGTCAACCAGTCAATTGTAGAGGTTATAATGCTTTTGGTCGAAGAAGACGTCGTCAAATAGAGTCTGAAGATATAAACTTAAGTAGTCAAAGTAACAATAGTCAAGCAACTTCAGCAAGTGGCGTAGGTATTGAAGGCCAATTAAGAGAGGAAATAACAATCCAATCTAACGCCATTCTCACTTTTGAGAAAAGAGAGTACAGTGACTCTAACAGTAAGCGCGGTATTTTTATTACATTTTATAAAAAGCATTTACAAGTATAATATTAAAACTAAACTAAAATATTCTTATTTCTTTTTCAAAAATATTTTTTTATTTTAAGTTTTACAAAATTTTGAAAATTCAAAAAAATAATGCATTTTTTTTAATACCAAATTTATAGTTAAACCAGCTGCACAGCGTGTGGAAGATATATGCGTGTCAATGGTTGGTCTGATAATTGCTTTAGTTTTAACAGCACTCTTAGCGTTAGTTGCCGTAGCTGTAGCTGTTTCTTGTTGGTTAATGGCCTATCGTCGTCGACCAAAAGCAGTTGGTCCATTACCACACCCACCAGAATTTCCAAATCCATTATTTACAAACCCTGATGCTATACCAGAACCAACACCAGATTATCTATCATAAACCTAAAAAAAAAAACAAAAAAAAAACATAATACATTAAATATACATATTTAAATAACTACTATTAATTTAAATAAAATTTCAATTTTACAAATTTTTTAAAAAACGATGAAATTTACGGTGCTGTCTATGCAGAAAATAAAAACTACATTTATTTAAATTGAAAACGAAAGTGATTCAAGACAATAAATTCACATATTTTTGATGCACACAAAATTCATATCAACTGAAATAAAATTATAAGTAATGCGGGCGCACCACAATATTATGAAATATAAAACAAAAAGAAAAATCCTTATTTTTAAGGATATATTGCTAAAATAAGGATTTATTAATTTGTAAACTATAGTTATAGCTCAAAAAATTATTAGAAATACTATATAATGTTTTTTCTTTTTTTTTTTATCTGGAACAATAATATTTAAACACGATACGTTCGTACTTTAATAGATAATGTAGTAAAATTATAATTACTGTATGAAATTAAAAAGTTAACGCAAACATTTGTATTATTAGAAATGGATGAAAATGAAAACTGCCAAAGCCATCTTTATAAAGTAGCTTCTAATAATAATTAAAAAAATTAATTAAACCACGTTTTTTTAAATATTATTGTTCCCTTTTACCAATTAATTTTCAAGAAAAAAAAAAAGAAAAGGTGTAAAGAAACGACATCTCCTCCATTAGTCGAAATTTTTATAATATTTTAGATTTTTTTTTTATTTCCAAACTTATTATAGGCACTGTATTTTTGTAAGATGTTATGCTTATCAATAAATAAAATTATTTAAAGAATCAAAGTTTAGCATGTACTAAGATAATAAATAATTAGAAAATGATCATATTATTATGTAAAAAGGCGAATTCACTTATATTTATCATTATCAATAATAAATAGCAATTCTTATATAAAAAAAATAGATAATAAAACTTTTATAAATATTTTTTTCCGCGTTATAATTATTTTTTTCTGAATCAAAAAATTCATTTTTTCTTTATTAATTTTAATAGAGAAGAAAAAATAAAAGAATTTTAGTAGAATTTTTGCCTAAAAATAATAAATAACTGTGGTATTTACAATATTTTAAATTCAATTATATTTTACTTAAAGATTTGTATAGTCTATAACTATAGCAAAACTTTAAATAATAATTCTTATAAATATTAAAATACTCGTAAATCTGTTACATATCTTTCTTAAAATAGTGAGTTTAATACGAAATAAATGATTTAAATTAATGTCCCATATATATATATATATATTATTTTGGTATAACTTCATGTAAAATTAGTTTTTATGGGATGATAGAGAAAAGTTTTTGAAAGTACTTACGTATATGATTATAATATTTTGGTTTTTCCCTTAATATTTAATAAAAAATTTAACTAAAAGAAAACCAAGACAAACCTCAAAAATCATCTAAGTTTAGTAATATACTTTTATATAGGTTTACTTACAAAATATTGTTATCATATAGTCTATTATGTATTTATATCAATTATTTTACTTTTTTTTATATATATGTATAAAATATTATCGTTTCGCTTACTTTTTTATCTGCCATTGATAGAATCTACTTGAAACTAAAACCTTTACGAATAAATAAAAATTTTTTATACTTTTAAATTACATACATAATTAAAGTTGTAATATTCCACTGCCTAATTTTGGAAAAAATATTATGATCTAAAACTTTTATAGCAACAACATGTTTAATAATTCCTAAATAAAACGATATGTCAATAAAGCTATTAAATTTCTAAAATTTTCGTAAATAATTTTATTATATTATAATTTCATATTACAAAACCAATAATTAACTAATAATATTACGTCCTTAGGAAAACCTATATTATTACAATTCAAATTGTTTATTATTTCAGTTGCGATCTACCATCATTTACTAATATAATTTATATATTTAAATCCCAGGTCCTAATTTATAAATATTACTCATTAGTCATTACAAATAGAATTCAATATATAAAATTTTGTACACATATTCATAATATAATATTATAAATATTCTCCTTTATAAACGATGTTATGTATTAGGTTGTTATTGGTTTAAAAAGTATATTAGAGAAATTTTCGATAAAAAGAATAAAAACTAAGGCACTGTGAGCTACGATTATAGCGTAGTTTCTAAAATTCACTCGATGTTGAAATAAAGATTTCAATAATTTATATTATTATGTTGTATTGTAATATTATTTAAGGAAAGCATTAAGAAATTACATATATTTTATTTAATATATAATATATAAAAATGACGTAGATTAAAGATAAAACAAAAGAATTTTATATTCGTATAAAAAAAAAAATATAATAACTTTTGTGTAGTATAAATAAAACTCGACGACTATTGGAGGATTTGAATACTTAAAATTATTAAATATTATTTTTTATATATATTGAAATTAATTCAAAATATTTTTATATAATATTTAAAAATAAAATAAATTTTCTTAATTTAAATAAAACTTAAATAGTCAATTCACATTAATTATAAAATATAAAATTTTTTCTTATAATAAAATATTAATTTAGATTTAAATCCATATTTTTTTAATTTGATTAAAAAAAAATCACTAAAATGAAATAAATTTTCGAATACAAATATTATATATGTACATCAATACTTAAGGTATCACAAAATAAAAGAAAAAAAAAAACAGATTATTAAAAATAAAATAATTAAATGTTAAAAAAAGTTAAGAATTTAAAAGTCGACAAAAATTTTAGGCAATTAACGCAGCGAATTTTTTATTTGTCTATTATTTTTCTTGATTTTTGTTCTAACAAAAATTTTTTTGTATAACTTAATTTTATATTAAAAATCAAATAAATCAAAAATAAATAAAAATCAATTTTAAAAAAATTCTTTATTACAATTAAATAATTATTTTATATACTATAAAAAATATTCAAAATAAAAATATTTAATTATTTTATATATATATTTTTTTAATATAATTAAAAAAACGCAAAAAATGTATAGTCACTATTTTAAGTCATGTGAATAGTTTATATAGATTATAGTTAAAAAAAAAATTAATAATAAAAACAAAAGAAATATAAATCATTCCTAATATTTAAAAAATTTTGTTTTTATTTTTTTATTTCTGCATATAACCATTTCATTTTGTTTTTTTTGACTAATCATAAATATGTGAAATTAGGACTTATTCTCAATATTAAATCACTAAATGAAAGTGATATTTGTTTTTAAAGTTTATAATAAGCATTCTATTATGAGCAAGATTCATTTGTGTTGATTGGTTTATGTTATAACATAATAACATGGAACTTTTTACGATAAAATATCAATGCCATTTAATAAAAGAAAATCATATATAAGTAATAAGAATTGACTGTCAAAATAATTTTATATTTTTTATTCTACAATAAATTCAATATGAAATGTCTCGCTATAATCTCGCTATTATATTTCTTCTAATTGAATTTATATTTTTTATTTAAATATTCATTGCATTTACTTTGTGAAAACTATTTTTAAATACAGGATATTCTCTCTATATCAATTGAAATATTGAAAAATGCTTTGTAAATTTTGTTTAAATTACCAAATTACTTGATTTTGTATCTAAATCCACTACATATTATGTAATGATGTCCGGGTAATTACAGGTTTACAAAAAAAAATTTTTATTTTCATTTGTGCATTCAATATTTTTTCTTTTTCAAACAAACAAAACGAATAAGGATTTGATTGGGAATAAAAACTTATTCACAAAAATGTTGGCTTTTAATATTAAGGTAATATCTTAGTGGAAATAAAACAAATATTTCAATAGCTGGGTGCTTTTTATAAAATTTATGAAGTACTAAAATAGATTAATAGTATAATACGAATTTTTGCAAAAGTATTACAATATTTCTTATTGCTTTATTTTTGTTAATATTAAAACGAGACCTTACTTTAGTTTATAGTATTACACATTTTCTTAAAACAAATCGAATGCCGCTGAATTAATATAAAAAGTTATTGCCTTTATATTTCTTATATAAGTTTGCCAAATAAACTCATTTCCAATCACTTTATGCAATATAAATTTTTTTAGATGTTATCGAAATTTTGATATTTTTTCAAAATACTTGTTTCACATATTTGCAATTTACAAATTCAATTTTACTTAATTTTATTTTATTTTATTTACTTTTTGTTTTTAATCTTTTTAATCTTAATTTCCATGTTCCTTACTCATAATTAAACCCTAAAATACTCAGTTATAAATTTCTACTCAATCATAATATTTTAAAAATTAAAGTGAAAAAATAACAAAGAAAAAAATATTAAACGCAAAAATAATTGTTATTTTTTTAATCCCAACCTTTAATTAAGAAAAAAAAAATAAAATCAAAATTTTTTTTACTAAAGTTTTAAAAATATTATAAGATTTAAATTTAAAACAAAAAAAAAAACGAAATAAAAAATTGTTATTAAAAAAATAAAATAATTTATGTAAATTTTTATACAATATAATTAAAATAAAATCAAATAAATATAAAAACAAATCGAATTTTTAACATTATTTGTAATTTTTAAAATGTTTGTTAACTAAAAAAAAGTTTCAAAAAAGGAAAGACACTACTTTTAAACCGTTTGCCTGTTTGAAGTGTGCGCTGAACAAATGGTTAACATCCAAGCTGCTTTCTTTTCGAATGTACATATAATTTTTTTTTTTAAATATTATAAAAATTGGGAAATATTTGAATCTTCAAAATATTTAGCTCTACTAATTTTTTTTTCATTCACAAGTGTTTACAAATCTAAATTGTTAAGTCATGATCTTGAGAGCACATCCCTTAAATATTTAATCAAAATTACGTTTTAAATATGAAAATAATATAGATAGCTTGCTTTCGGCCGGGATGACCTATTTTTGGTTTTTGAGCATTTGAAGAATTTTTTTTCCATATGTAATATAAACAGTTTTTTTTAAAAATAGACCTTTTATACTCACTGTCTTAACCCATAAAACCTATTCTGAAGTAGAAATATAAAATTGTAATGTACCTAAACGAGTACAAAAGTAACTGAAATTTTTTTTAAAAAGTTTAGTTTTTTTTTTAACACTTTTCCCAAAAATTTTGGAAAATGTGCTCATTAGTTTTATTCTGTCCGTCCGTGGACGTGTTTACAAAACTTCTACATCCTTTAAGATAGGAAAGCTAAAATTTCATATATACATACATAGATCTTGAGTAGAAACTTATTTCCGTAGAAAATCATTCGAGATTTAAAAAAAAAATTTTTGTCAAGATTTTCTTTACTTTTTTAAATCTTTATTTACTTGTAAAATAAAATCAATATGTCTAACTCGGTAATTTCATACGAAATTTTTTGAAACTTTGAATTTTTTTTTACAGAATTTTGCCCAGCTATTTAAGTTTTAACTGCAGTCACTATAAATTCAAAAATAACTTTTGTGGTACAGAAAATATAGCACAAAAACCATATCTATTTAAAGAATCTAAATTTAAAAGTCCTACTCATAAAATGTAAAAAATCAAAGAAGAGTCAAGAATTATAATAAAAAGAGAATAAATAGAATTGACCTTGTCAACTCTGTGATACCCGTACGAATTTGTTATCCTATGTGCGAATAAAGATGCCATAACTGATTATGGGACAGACTATGACTTTAAGTTGCCGTATTACCATAATAATTTATGCAAAATTTCAGTACTATTAATTTTTCAAAATATTGTGTGTGCCAAACTACTATTGAAGTTGTATGGCAGCTACCAGAAAGAGCTAAGAAATTTTATAGTATAGCCAAATAAATTTTGAAGTTGTACGTTAGCTACCCGAACCGATACTCCGATCATGTCCAATTTAAATAGGGTTCTGGCACTTACTACAGTAAATCATTTGTAAAAATTTGGTGAACTTAGCTCAATTAGTTTTTGAGTTATAGTTGGGACGGACGGACAGGCGAAGCTAAATCAACTTAAAATTTGACGCTGCTCAAAAACATACACTTGAGTTTATATCTAAGAGCGTTATTTCTTAGTGTCACAAACGGTATGGACCCTTCGAACATACGTTCGTACGGGTATAAAAATATTGATTTTAAGTGCTGTATTGTTTTCATTAATACTTTTGAAAATAAAATATTTTTTGCCATTTGCGACATAAAGTGAAATTATAATTCTAATTTGATTCAGAAATTGAAATTGTGAGGATTTATAAAAACCCTTGATATAAGAAAATATACATAAGCGTTTATATTTATTTTATTTATTTATTTTATATATTAGAGTGCAAACCAAATTATTGAGTTAATTATTACATAGTATTTTAGAAATTATCGGATTATCCATACAATTAAATTAATCTTTTTAAATTTTAATTGTTATGTTTTAGAATAAATTTAGTCAGTTTGTCGTTTATTTGTCAAATATTCAGCAATATCTAGATCTTCTAGAGTATCAATTTCCAATCCATCATATTGTGATATTATTACAATTTTACATAGTTTTGATTGAAAAGAATTATTTTCTAAAATTAAATAACGATTGGCAAAATAAAACATTCCATTTTCATAAAATTCTCCAGACCAATCTTGTCTTCTTGGACGTTTATCTAATTTGAAATTAATTGGATGAACAAGTTCTCTTTCATTATCATATAATTGCCATCTTAGTTTAAAACTTTGTGTAACCGAAAAAACACATTCAGAATTTTGAAATTTATTTATACCATCTTTAATATATTGATGTCGAAGAAAAGGAGAAGTACATTGAAATAAAGCCAATTTTTTTATATATTTATATTTATTTAAAAACTCTTTAACTGCATCCAATGATGAGGTTTCATCTTCAGCTAAATATTTGGGTCTTGTATGTGAAAGAGCTCCAATTTTTTGTGCTGTTTCATTTATTTCTTTATCTTCAGTTGAAACCCAAATTTCGGTAAATAAATTTGTTTCTTGAATTATTTTAATTGTACGTTCTAGTAATGTTACACCATTTAATTTTTGAAGATTTTTTCTAGGTATTCCTTTTGAACCACCTCTAGCCAATATCAAAGCATATTGTGGTTCATTTGTTTTTAACCAGAATAATTTGGCCGGACATGACAATGACATTGCCATTAGATTTTTGCAATCGAATAATAAAATTAAAAAAGTTATAGTAAAAAGTTTGAAAAGCATTTTTTTTTCAAATGTTTAGATGAAATTTTATATCGATACTAAAAGATGAATTTTTTTTTAGCTTCATAATATTTTTGAATTTTCATAGTTTGTTGCTCTAATTAAATACTTCCGCTAATACAAATACATTTTATTCTAAACGAATTTTCGTTATTGCATTTCTCCATTATTTCATAGTGTTATTTATTTTTTTCACTTTTGTTGGATAATATGTGCAACACAATAGTAGGAAATTCCATATATTAAAGAAATTATCTTTTATTTATTATATAAACTATAAAATAAGAATAAAATAGGAATGGAGTGTTTACGCGATATGTATGTAGGTGTATGCGATATGTGCGGTATATACGGTACAGAATTTCTTATTAAAGTACATAAATATATCGAAAATTAGTCCACACTATTCCGCGCTCCAGTTGATTTTTTTTTTATATATTTTTTTGGAATATGTTTCACTTATTTTGGAAAATATTTTTTATTGAATTTTCTTAAAACTATTTAATATAAGAATTAAAATAAGGATTTATATTTAAGATAATTCGTGTTTATAAACTTGTTTATGAACTCACAACAAACACAATTTTTTATGGCTATAATGAAATTCTATATTATGAACTCACAAATTAATTTTACTAAAAAAAACAACGCGTCACTAAACAAAATTATGAATTTATTTTTAAATTAGTTGATAATGATTAACTAACTGGCTGATTCTCAAATTTTTACCTTTTCAAAAAGTCTATTCCGGAAACCACTTTCAATTACATATGGCTATACATATACATATACATATGTGAAAAATATTGAAATGAATAACAGCTAAAAAAAATTTTGTTAGAATAAACCTGAAAATTTCTCTTTCCTTAAAAAATTTCATTCCAATAATCTCAATTTTACTAGCCTAATGAAAATTTAGTATTATATAAATTATTAAATATTTTAAAATGAAATATGGAATTTAATAAAAATCGTACTATAACCCGCCTATATAGCTTAAATTATGTTTGATAACATTTTAAAATACTCCAATTATTGACCTTATCAATAGAGTATCCAAATAGTTTTAAGCTTAAATTATCGTTAACAACAATATTAAGAACATTATTATTAATCTATTTTCGGTTTAAATTATATCATTAAAAAAATTGTTTAAATCAACATTAAACTTTGTTTAGGGAAGACAACAATATAATAGTTAGTTGTAGATTGTAGATTAATAAAAGTTTTATTTGTAGAAAAAAAATTGCATAAATTTAGGAGAGAAACATTTAGATGTGCAACGCAACATAACCATCATACTGAACTAGTACTAAAAATAGTACACTTCTACTGTATACCAATCAATTTTTTTATTTTACAATTAATAAAAATATTTCTATCAAGCTTATATTGCACATAAAATAAAATTTACTAGCTATAAGTAACATTTTTAAATAAAGAATAAGAAATTATTTTGGAAAACAAATTTTTTAAATTAATTTTCTATTTTCATTTAATTTAATCGAAATTCACGTTCCCCGACATTTTGCTTCGTTAATGAAAAAATAACGTATTGAGGGGGGCTTTAAACGTGTCGACTATTTTTAAAGTAATACAAATAACAGAAATTTTATGAGAAAAATGTTGATTTAAGTATATTAGAGATTTGAAAATGGCGTATAGTTCCACTGTGACATAAGTATAATCAGGTAAATAATATTCTTTTGCTATTTATAAACCAAAAATAACAGCAGAACTGAATATTATTTTTTCAAAATTATTTTGGTTATAAATGAGTTTCTCAGCATATTTCTAAATCTTTCATGGCATAATTGACTTTTAATGTTTTTCTTCTTCAATTGAAAATAAATTTTATCATTGAACATTTGGTCATAAAGAGGATGATTAACAAACGAAAATAATTTGTTTGCATATAAAAGTGTTTTGTTTTCTCTCTTATCTTAACTGATGATATAACTGGTGTGGTTCTGCAATAATTGGACAATTCAAAATTAATTGAATTCAGTTTTGTGATAGAACGGAGTCTAAAAATTTTTTGTTAATTAATAAAATATAAAACAAAACTTACATCCTAAATATTTTCATACTCTTGCTCTATAAATACATATGTATGTGTGTACATATCCATATATATTAATACTTGTTACAACAGTTCATATTTTCTGTAATCATTTTTTTTTTTTCAGTTTATTTTCATAAATAATTTTAAGAAATTGTAAATGGAATATGTGATGATTTTATTTTGTAAATGGCGATTTCAATATAACAGTTAACAAAAAAAAAGAATAAAATTATAAAATTCTACATTGTAATTTTTACAACACACAAAAATGTTTTACAACTTTTTCAATTCTAATAATAGCAATATTTTATCGTTATTGTCTCATAAATATGTCCAAGTCATCTACATAATAATAAATTAAAAAGTGTAAAAAATATTAAGCGAAAATGCTTTTAATTAATCTTATTTTTTCATACAAAGCAAAATCACCGTTCTATATTAATTGCTACAATTCTATATTCTTGCTACAATTCTAAGTATGGAAAAGTGAAAAAACGATAGCGCTCTTATATGTTTTTTATGTGTACACAATATTATAACACGTGTGTAAGAATACCATAATGAAGTGTTGTTGCTTTCCACTGTAATGTTAATATGGTATTATTTACTGCTCTATTATCACTTAATTTTAAATATTTATTCCATTATTCTTTTGTTTACGTCAAATTTTTTCGTATTTAGGTTCGTATCTAACGAGTTGAGTCTCATTTATTTACCATACAACACTAACAAAAAAATTTTACTTTGTATTTTAGAAATTACATTTATTTTACAGTTATACCGGGGGATACTCCTGCCCCACTCGGTTCCCTTGAGAAAATCTACAATCTACAAATCTACCGTTATTCTTAGTTATAGATCTTTAGAAAATACTCCGTAAATATAGGTTACGGAACCTTGGTGAACATTTTAAAAAAATTGGCGATTTCATTGGTGAGCACGGATAACCTTATAGATTTTTATATATAAATATTGTTTTAATATTATAGATTATCGATTATATTGTTTTACTTACAGAAAAATTGGATCTTTTAAATCAACTCATAAACTCATTCAATCGTTCAATTTTTAATCAGATATTTTGCCATGTTGTGCTCCTAAATGATTTAAACAAATGTCATGGTATAAGAATTTTTTATTTTAACAGTAACAAATAAGTAAAAATTGTATTAAGATTAATATTCTTAGTGGATTTATAATTTTATAAGTAGCAGTGTTCCTAAACAAGGTTGAGTTGATACTCGTATTATATACAAATTGCATGGTTAACTTCATAATTTCATTACCTTAAAACTAAATTAATAATTCCTAGTCACTGCGGAGTTAAAGAGAGTATTAATCAAAAAGGTGAAATCTTTTCTATAATTAAAAAAATTAAAAGTTTTCGTGATATTGTAAAAAATGGGAAACTTTTATAACATTGCTGCTGTTTTTGGGCCAACGAAAATTCATATAGAATAAAGGAAGTACTCGCAATGAAGCAATTTTGATTTTTTGAAAAGTGTATGTTTTATGTTTTTTTAAATCCGAAAAAGATATGTACGTGTAATATTTGATATTGACTTACTTGAATGTTATAAACAGTTTTCTTGAAGCTTAATAAAAACTTGAGCTTTTAAAGCACGATATAAGAGCCATGATGATTTTAGTTTAATCATAGTATGGAGTAGATTTTAAAAAACATGTTAAATATTCCGAATGTAAAAACTTGTAAAATATTCCGATTTAAATTTTAAATTTTAAATTTTGTTCATTTTGGCGGCTAATAAAAATAATTAATATATTTTGAAATTTTAGAGAAACAAATCGTACAATATAAATTTTTGCGATACATGCATACACATATCAACTCCAAAAACACATAGTAAAAGTATAAATTATGGAAAAAAGTTTTAATTCAGTGAACTTTTCATGCTATTCATCAAAAATATTATTTAAAAAAAATTTCTTTTCTTTTATATTAAAAATTTTTAATTGTTGTCATAATTTAAATTTGTTTTAATTTTAAATGAATTCAAAAAGAAAGTTACACATACATACATAATTATATCGTAAATGTACTGAACACAGAACAATTTATATTATGAAACAATTGTAGAGTCAAATTTTACGTTGACATCAGTTTTTATATTTTATCTAATATAAATAACCCTTTCAGATCAAACACTTAACAGGAGCAAATAGAATTGATTGTGTTAAACTTCTGATACCTCTACGGTTACAGTTACTTCACGATAACAGTTTGTACGATTCATATTATCTCATCTGACAAAATTTCTCTCATCTGACATTTTGCTTCTGTTTAAATTTAAAGCTGCTACAAAATTTGTATACTCTAGATATGATCAAATTATTTCAAAGTTCTATGCAAAATATTGCAAGTACTTAGAAAATCAACTCCAAATTTTATCAAAATATCGCCCCTTTGGTGAAATTCATTTATGTACTGTATATTAATGAAGTTTTGTAGAAGCTACTCGGACGGGCTCTTCGATCGAATCTGTAAGTTAAATTATAGTTTCTACAAACAATTCTAAGTAATTGTGAAAATTTAGTTATCCTAACCGAATAAGATTTTAAGTTATCACTGGGACTTACAGCCAGACATGTGAACGGACTGATATAACTGTAGTTTGACTCTGAATTCGATACCGAAAAAAATATATTCATATATATATACCTACACCATGACGATGTTATTTAATTTCAGTTTAATTATTTAGAAATCAATTTTTAATTTTCAACATACGAATTTATTTTAACATTACAATTTTGTAAATTTCGGAGGAAATTTACATTGATTAAATTTAATTTACGCTGCGTGTCAAAGAAATCGTTTGTGTCTGAAAGGGATAAATGAGACCAAAGTCAATGATTGAAAATATAAAATAAAATATTAATAGTAAGTATCTATTGTTCAGATAATCAAAATTGTTCTTTAAATAAAATTCTAAAACACATAGTATCCACATATGCACATAAGCTCATGTATCATTGTAAAATATTAGTAGTTTGCTTCTTTTTTATCAAAATTAAATAAAAACACTGATAAAATTGTGTTTATGATTCGTTCATATAAGTATGTATGTATAGTAGTAATTTTGAACTAAGTTCAATCAAATATAGTTCTATATTCTAGAATCTAGAGTTTATAGTCTTAATCAATAAGTTTTTTTGGTGAAATTATACCCTTGAATAATATGTAAATTTTAGAGAATAAGTCTTTATAGTGCAATAATTTTTGATCTGCTCATTGGCCCCATTACTAAAAGTCTAAAAATGTAATTAATAAAGCCTAGAATTAAAATTATTAAATTTGCAACAACATTAAGACATTCTAAAATGAAAAATAAAGTATAAGTATATTCTAATTGAGTTGATTGAAGTTTGGACATAATGAAAGTCCCATTTCATTTAAAATTTTTATTGAAAATAAATTAGAATCGTTGATCCTTGTTTAATATACAAAAATTTACATACATACCGTGCTTCCTCTCATTAAACTCTTTCTGTAACCTGAAATATTGAATTCTCAAACTGAGTTTAATAGATATACGAATATATTAATTAAGAACATACAAATTACATACAAGTACATTATGTATATGCAGCCACACACGTACTTATTAAGTAAACTGTTATACAAGCTAAACTATACGAAAATGTATACCAGAAAGATACCCGAACATTTTACGATTTACTTGTTTTTGTTCTTATTTTATAATTTGATTTTTCTTTTTTTTTTTGTATTAGATTTCATCAAATAGATTTTATATTCAAAACATATTATATGCAAGATTTTTCGAAAATTAATACTAAAAAAACTGATTACCAATTATTCTAATTTATAAGTTTTATTTAAATGGATTTTGCATGGGGGTGTCTATAAAATATACAAGTTGAGTTTTCAGCGTGTAAAATTTAAGTAATCAAAATATTTTCAACCAGTTATATAACACAGACCGTGGTAAGGAAAAAATCAGAGCGAAAATGTACAGCAATTCAATGTTTTGCTACAATCTACAAACTCCTATTCAAAAGGAAAGTATATTTCTCAATACTACCATTGTAAATATTCATAGGTTATATTTGCTAAAATGAAATTTATAAATATCAAGTACGTATACACATATATTCGTCTCGACAAAACTATGATATTTTTTGACAACGTCAAAGTGTATCTTAAATTAAATAAAGTTTGTCAGCGAATATATTTATGTTCTTTTAATGACAGCAATATTTAGTTCATGTATTATATATTTATAGTATATAAATATTGTATTGTTCACCCTGTACTAAAATAGTGTACATCTTCATATATAAGTACATAACAATTAATATTCATTCAAGAATTTTAAAACACACACGAGTATAATATTCGCACAGTTAATGGTAACGGACAAGATTATGTACTTTTTAGCACTTTTCCAAAAAATTTTTGAAAAAAAGTGCTTATTAGTTTCACTCTGTCCATCCGCCCGTTCGTCCGTCCGCCCATTCGTCCGTCCGTCTGTCCGTGTGTCTGTTTACAAAACTTCTACAGCCTTGAAAATAGAAACCTGAAATTTTATATGTACATAGATCTTTACTAGAAACTAAATTTCGTAGAACATAATTTTTACCATCTCCTTCCCTCTAAAAGGGTAAATACCTTACCTCAAAGCCCTAAAAATGCCATCTTTAAACTGTTTACTGTAGTTGAACCATATACATTTTTGAAATTTTACAAACTATATTTGAACTTTAAAAAAACAAAATGGCCGTTAAGATTTGCCGTTACATAATATCCGATTTGTTTTTCAAATTTTTGATGCTGTTTTTCTTGTCTTGTTAACCCTTATGTATGTATTAAAGAGGGGTTAATATAATAAGAGCATTAAATTAATTTTCGCTTTATTTTAAAAACTGCATAAACTATTCATCCTAAATATATGCAATCCCAGAAATAGTTTCGTATATGAATGAAAATAATTTTAATAGTGTGGTAGGTCCACATCGATTGTTTTGCAAAGCAGTATTTTCACTTGTTGAAGGGAAAAGTGCTACAATACAAACCATTGGTTTGACCCAACTTTATTAAATATATATAAAAGTCTATAATCAGTATTCCAATTAAGGATAACACCTAACAGAATCTAATTTAATATCAATTGAATTTATTCAGCAATTACAATTGTGTTGCTGAATATAACTAAATATCGTTACGTTGATTGAACACCTTAGTCTGAATCAAATAAAGGTATACAAAATTAAAAACAAAAACAAGTAAAAACGTTTCACTCGGTATAAACCGATTGAATTATACCCTGCACCATTCGTTATTGTATAGGAATTACTCGAACCTGTGAAATCAGTCTATAGAAACTTCACGGATATGTCTAACCTATAATTGGACATCCAACTACCAAGTTTCATGAATCTGACTTTATAATTTTTCCAAATATTTAAAATTAGCTTTTGGAGTTGTATGGCACGTACCTGAACCCGTCAAGCAATTCCATCAAAACTTCAGAAATATGTCTGACCTATAATTGGACACACGACTGCCAAAGCTCATGAATCTGACTTTATTATTTTTCCAAATACTTAAAATAAGCTTTTAGACTTGTATGGGAGCTACTCGAACCTGTCAAGCAATTCCACCAAAACTTCAGAAATATATCTGACCTATAACTCGACACACAACTGCCAAGTTTCATGAATCTGACTTTATTATTTTTCCAAATATTTAAAATTAGCTTCTGGAGTTGTATGGCAGGTACCCGAACCTGTCAAGCAATTCCTCTAAAACTTCAGAAATATATTTGACCTATAATTGGACACATGACTGCCAAGTTTCATGAATCTGACTTTATTATTTTTCCGAATATAAAAAATTTGCTATTGGAGTTGTATGGCAGCCACCCGAACCGGTGCAGCTATCCCATTATAATTTTTAGAGCATGTGTAGAATATAATTGGACACATGTATACAAAATTTTATATTTATTAGTTTTTTAAGTTTTATTAGTTTTTCAAATATTTAAAATAAACTCTTTGAGTTGTATGGCAGCTACCCGAACCCGTTGTCCGAATTAGTCCAATAACAATAGGGCTCGTCCTTGGCACAAAAGAAAAAACTTGTGAAAGTTTGGTGTCGATTGCATTATTCGTTTTTGAGTTATCGTGCGATCGGACGGACGGACGGAAGGACGGACGGACGGACGGACTGACGGACGGACGGACAAACGGACATGTCTAAATCGACGCAGAATTTGACGCTGAGCAAGAATATATATATATATGTCCATACCGCAGATGACTCCTTCAAGTAGTTACAAACTCCATACCAAAGTTAATAAAAACCCTTCACGAAGTGCAAGGATTAAAAAGTATAATATTGCATTGCTATGATATTGCTACAGCAAAAATTATACAGGTTATAACTGACTCGTACTGCTGTACTCTTGCAATTATGAAGACAGCAACATTTGAATATACTATAAATACTAAGGTTTAATTAAAATTATTGGGCAATATTTAGTAGAGAAATATTGACTCGGAAATTTGTCCGACTAAAAAATGAAGTCAATTTTAACATTTGATCAAATTTCGGCATCGTTTTGTTAAAATTTTTAGCTAACATATATTTAAATGCGTATAGAATCTATTGAATTAGAATAGGAATACTGTTTCAATAACAATATGTGTACATAATTTATCTGCTCTTCTATAAAATCGTACTCCAATGTAAATAGAATTAATATATTATAGATATCTATCTATATATGTATGTACATTAGTAGCTTATCCAAAATAGAATCAAGTAGACGAAACAGCAGAGGTCTTTGAGATCACAAAAATTTTGTGATGTACTTACAAATACATATACATATATATTACAGGTGAATCTGGTTTAATTAAATTCCAAGCGACTGAGATTTTCATTTATAATTTATAAAGGTTTCTTCATTTATCCAGAATTTGTCGGTGATTATTTATGCATTAAATTTGTTTGATATTAAAAATAATTGGCGTTTTGCTGGTTCAGAAGCTGTATTTAAGATCTAAACCTTGAATTACACATCACAGTATTTTGTTGTGGGCAAACTAAAATATAAACATTCAATTAATAAAATTGTACAAGTACCACAAAAACACTTGTACAAACAATAACTTATGAAATAAATAATAATATATTTAAAAATAGAAAGAGAAAAATCCCCTTTAGAGATAAAATCATGAAATTCATTCGCTTTTTCATGAGTAAAAAGTACTCAAAATTAGAGATGGAGAGTAAAATTGGGAAAAAAAATTTTACACTTGCATTGCAGAAGAAAAATAAGTTGCAAAAATAATTCTACTACTATAGGGTTCCCTCTAAGCTAGACTCAACTGTAATATAAATATAAATACATATATAGATACATACATACATATATACGTACATATTTGGTTTTTACTCTACTTAAAACTGTAATTCATATCTCCTCATATCAAGATAAAGTCACGGTTTGAAAATTATACACATATATTTTTTTTGCTTTTTACTTTTTCTTTTTTCATTTTTTTTCCTTTTCTTTGTTGATTTTGATTATTTTATTTTTCTTTTTTCATATTAATTCAGTGATCGCTCAGTTGACATTTGACAGTAAGCGGTGATGCACTCAAACTTTTATAACTGTATATAATGATATTATTATTTATTTAATAATGAGAAAAATGTAGAAAAAAACATAGAAGAAATACTAAAAAAAAAATTTTAAGCGCGAATTACGACAAGATAAGGAAATTTAACGAAACATGTAATTTATATGTGGTAATAAAGTAATAATAATAAACATTAAATATCTATATTAAAAGAAGAAAGAAATGAATATTAAATAACACAAAAATAAATGCGTATTATTTGAGAAATTAAAATATTTGCAATTATTTTTAATTTAAGCTGCAATTTTAATAGAATTAGAATAAAAACGTATATAAAAAAAATACAAGACACAAACAGACACATATATAAAATAATTAATAATATTTTGAACAAAAACAAATACGTAAAATGATAAAATAAAAAATAGAAAAAATAAAATTAAATTATCATCTACTTCTACTTAATTAAATCCGCATATTATAATTTGCTATCTAGTCATAGACCATAATTTCAACACAAAAATATATTAAAAATATTATTTTATAATATAAAATAATGTATTACAATTATATGTATATTATCTATTTGTATACAGATACCCTCTGATTTGAATATCAATTTGAAACGAATTTAAATAGTTTGTGTCAACTTGAAATATAAGTCCTTAATTTCATATATAACTTTAATTAAAAACCATTAAAATAAAATGTATAAAAAATGAAAATATGAAATATTTATAAAAATTAACACTAAACGTTAACAATAATAATTAATATTTTTAATAAATTGTTAAATTGAGCGAATTATAATAATTAATTTTTTATAAAATTCCAATACATAATGTATACGTATTATATATATTTAAAAATTAAATAACATAATCGCAAATGGAATACTTGAGATTACTTTATTATTAATTTCTGACAGCTACATACAATATATACATATACGAGTATAATATTTCCCACCTTGAGTAATTTTACATATATTTATGTGTATTTAATATTGAGCCGATAATACTCGTATAATAAATGCAACAATAATACTGTGTTCCTTGTTAAATTACGCCGGTCGTTTCTATAATTTATATGTATGTATTGCCTGCATAACTAAATGATATGCATCACAAACTTAGGCCCTGATCATCTATCTCACATACTAAAAAATGAGTAATCTTATTGGAAAAGTTAAACATCCATTAGAAAATACTTATAATTCTGACTTGAAAAAGAATAAAAAGTGAGTAAAAAAGCTCACGATCAGGCTGGTAATGTACTCGTACATTGTATTTACAAATTTTTCGAAATGTGCCTTTACAAGACAAAACTTGAAATATAACTCCAATTTAAATTTTGATAATTAATAAGTTTCGATACGTATTACGTCTCGACAAAACTAAGATATTTTTTGACAACGTGTATCTTATATTAAATAAAGTTTGTGAAAAAATTAAAAAATAATTCTTCGTGAAAAAAAAACACATTCACTGGAAGAGCTTGTTATTTTTGTTAATAAGACAACTGAGTCAAATATGGTTTCGTGAAGCGATCTGAAATTTTCTTCTGGAGTGAATACAAATGTTTCTAAATAAAAATTTTCGACATGTAAAATTGTTGTTTTGTCGTAACTATTTTGTTGCAGTTTTAAAACTTACGATATATATACAATACGATATATATACAATATATTTATATGATAATTAAATATCGTATATCGAAGTATTACTGTATATTTTTATTATATTCTTAATGTTATACTAATTCATATAACAATCTTCAAGAATATCATTTGTATTTTAATTTAATTTGCCACAAGTGTATAGTACTACTTTTCAGGAATGACCTAGGTATATAAGACGTATACGAACATAATGTTTTCATAATAGATAATGAAAGAATAAATAATTTAATATTTACATATAAATAAAATGTTATAAATAAAAAAGAGTGCAGTTAAACGTTCAGTGATCCAAATTGAATACTTATACAAATAATATAATGTGTGCTTATTTACTAAATTATAAGTTTGTATATTTAAACATTAATATTATAAGCGAACAAATATGTAGTTTTAAAAATATAATATTATTATGAACTAAAATTTATAATAATTATGTACAGTAATATAATAATTAAAATTTGAATAAAGTAATAACTTTCAAAAAAAATGTACATTGATCTTATATTTACATATACTCGAATATGTATACATACATACAAAATTGTTTAAAAAAATTTATTCTGTAATTTCTTTGAAAATCAATATAAAATATTAGTAAAAGCCGAAATGTTACTCAGAAAAAAATAAAATCTAACAATATTTTTTCCAATAAAACAATTACAAAACAGAAGAATGTTAAAAAATTTTTGTGAAATTTAATTTCAAATGAAAATAAATCAAATATTTTTCTAATTAATTAATTAATTTATTTAATTTATTCAAATAAAAATATTTTTAATCGAAATTTCTGAATTAAATTATAATTATTAATTTTATAATTTATTAATAATATTAAACAAGTGTAACGTATAGGCTTACACACAATATGTGTGACACACGTAATATACGTTAATTTATGTGCATGTGTGTATCATAAGAAGTGAGTGTGAATAAAATTAAAGTTGTACATTTTTTATTATTGCGTGATCATATTATTAATACATATATATATATATTTACATATACATATATTTAGTTCAGTAAACATTTTTTATAGTGTTAAATTAAATGATTACTCATATCATAATTAAATTTCATTAAAGAGAAATTATCATAGTATTTCTACTATACTTATGTATACTTACTTGTACATACATATATATAAAGAAATCTATGTATATATACTTATTATATATAAAGTGTGTATTTACATTAGAAGATTTCTTATTATTTTTTCTTATTGTTGTTTTGTTTTTTTTTTTTTTCTTATAATCTTCAATTAAAATGGAATTGTGTAAGGAAAATCAGCAAGAAAAAAAAAATATCGTCACTAAAAAATACCGGCATTAAAGAAAATGAAAGCCTTTATATGGCAATATTATAATTTGAATATATGTATATAAGTAATAATAAATATTATTAAATATTTAAATTTAATATTTTATAATATAAGTAAATACATAATGAAAACTTAAGTATGTAAATTACACATGTTATATATTTTCTTATTTACATTAAATTTGCAATAAAACATTCCATTTATAGCTATATACTTATAATACATTGATCACAAAATTATATTATATATATATATGTTTATATGTTTGTACGATTAATTCAAAATATTACTCGTAAATAAGGAAATAAATAATTTAGGTTGGGGTTTTTCTTATTGTTAATCTGAAATATATATGTATATAAGTATATATACAAAAAGAAGGTAACAAAGGTATAAAGATAAAATTTATTTTAAATATTAAATTTTTTTAAATAAAAACATAAAGGTTATAATCTTAATATTTTCAATAAAAATGGTCGGGAAAATACTCTTAAGAATTGCATACTGAATGCAGATATACCAAAAATATTGCCAAAAATACAAACAAATTAATTTTAGTAATTAAATTAAATTTTCCTCACTTTTATCAATGTTGAATTTTATCAAATTTTTAAGTCAAAAGCAAAATCTATCAAATATTAATTTATAAATTTGTTATTATTTAATTGTTTGTTAAAATTAGATGGTTACTGATATTACTTTCCTCATAAAGATGGCTATAAAGAACTTAAATTGTTTGTATACATTATTATAATGTGGATTCGGTGCAATGGGAAGACGAAAACAGCCACATAATTTTTACCCTCTTGTTTTGTTATGCTATGCAATAAATTTAATATTTTAGGTTCTGGTACACTTATATATGAAAAACAATATTGTAAAGTTAAAGATAACGTGACTTCAGTAATGCGCTTACGACGTAAACTTTACAAAGTATCACATTCTAAAAAGTTTAGTAAAAACTCATGACATTGTACACTTTTCCAAAATGCGTTCTATACTTAGTACATACGTAAAATAAAAGTAAATTGGGTATTGAAAAAATCGAGCACGCTTTTCTTATAGAACTTTAAATTGAAATTTTCAAACAAACGACAAAGTATGTATTAATATTGTAAAAACTGTATTCCAAAATGCATCAAAAACTTGAGCAGTTTTTTTTACAATGTAAAGGTAATGAAAGCTCCGTACTTAAACTTTTGATAAAGCATTATTGAAGTCACGGATACTAAAAGTTAGCCACACCAGAATTTTTATATTAGTTCTGTTTCATGAATTCTTCACATTTAAACTCATTTAGATGAAGTTACAATTTTTACGCTTCAGAAAAATTCTAATAAAAAATATTATAAAGAGAACTTTCTTGTTTTTTTTTGCTGTTGAATTCTCAAAATAATGTTTTTACCGAAAAACCTCTTTTCTATTTTTTTTTTTTTTTGTTTGTAAACTTTATTTAATCCATTTTCTTCTTATTAACTATATAACAAAAAAGTTTAAAAAAAAAATTTATTTACATAAAAAAAAAAAATTGGTATAACTAACTTAAAAACTTATTGTTTTCTTGTAGCTAGTTGTATTCTGTAATGTATTAGAGGATTGCTAGTTGATTAAAATGATTATTAATTACAATAATTTCTTTTTTTTTTTTATTTTAGGAAAATTGTTTTTGTAAAAAAACCTAAAATTAATTATTTTTTAATAAAATAAAAACCCTATCCTAACTTAAACTAAGCTTAAATTAAAGAGAAAATACTGGAAGTACGTCTCTCACACAGTATTTCATTGTTTAAAGTTGTTCTTCTAGCCACCAGTAACCCCTGTTAATGAACGTATCCCTAATAGGTATACTCATATCACATACCTCTTTTCTAGTTAACTATTACTTGACGTTCCTTAAAAGTCATACGTCAAATTCAAATTTAACGGTACAACGGTAAAATTTTTTCAGTCAAACAAATATCAACAATAGTGATTTTACAATTTTTGTATTCCGCGAAAAAAAAAATGCAATTGATATAAATTTTATATGTTTTCAACGTTTAAATTCTAAACTTTAGAGTGAAAATAGAAAAAATAAAACTCAGTCTTTCTCTTTTACAATATTTTTAACTAGAATTTTTTTTAGAGAAAAACCTATTATTACCAATATAACGATAAGAGATTGAGTTGGCAACACTG